AGAGGTCTCATTGCCGCGGATTGGAAACATCATCGCAAAGATTGGCTGTGGTTGAGTCCAGGCCGGTGCATTCGACAAAATCAGTGTCGCATCGATGACACTCGACACAGGGTGATTGGTACGCTTTGTCGACGCTTCCAAAGTCCAAGATGGCGGCGACTCGGTCGGTCAGAATGGCATGGATATCGACACGGACAAGGACTTCTTCGCATCCGAGGCTGCCCTCGGCCCCGACGACTGACAGTACCACAACACCACTCGGGCTGCACCCTCGTGTTGCTACAACCAGCAAAACTTCCTTGGAACAGTGGCCTTATGACCAGCGTAAGCCATCCAGTTCCAGTTCCTCTCTGGAACTGAGTGGGCTTCGATCGGCACGCTTGGCTAAAGTACTTCCTTCGGTCGACTTTGACTTTGACCGCTGCGAGTTGACGTTGGATCGTGCTCGCGAATTGCACCCTCAACCAAAAGTACTTGAAATTACCATTTCTGGCATGCGCAAGGGTTAATGCAGAGAAGTACTGGGGTCTTCATCTTACCAGGGGACCAGTCCCGCGCCGAGAACCCCGAGATCAGGAAGGTTGACCACCAACTCGTCGACGCCTAGAGGCAGGCCACGAAGGTCTGCAGTGCGCTCTCACCTCCTGGAGGAAGCGCGTGGGCGGCACAGCCAGCAGCTGCGCTCCTTGGCCTGAGGGTTGAGGGGAATATATGTTTCTATTGGGACAGGTCAGCCGGTCCGTACAAGTCGGGTTCACCCCCAACATACTCTTGCTAGTCTGACAGGCATTCGTCAGTTTCGTACGCAGTAGGCTTGTCTGACTGTCTGAAGAGCAGAGACAGGAATGTCTATCACAATTCATAATACATGCGGCTCCTTGAGACCTGTGGACCGGATGGGCGGTTGGTTCCGCCCACGAGGCCCTGCAGCACGGTTTGCCCAAGCGGAAGGCAAACTCGACAATGTCCATTTTTGCAAGTTCGGTCCTTCGGTGATGGATCCAGGAGGGGATTCGGGATCTCCGCCGTCCGTCCCCCATTGAGTCTTCAATCCAAGGATGAGGCAGGGAAGCAGAAAATTCTCCAAGTCCTCTCCGACGACCCAACGCAATTTTCTTGCGTTTGAATTTTCAGCATCTCCCAGGGCCCATCTATTTCGCAACACCTTCCGATATGGGTTCCCATTGTCCAAGTCGACGAACAGGGCAAGCCAGAACCTCGAAACAGGTATCACTCTACATGCCCTCTTGACGTAGACAACGAGATGGTCCTCAGTTTTGGCACACGACAAGAGTACGCCTTCATAAGAATCGTTGTACAAGATGGACCAGGCACACCAATCCCGAGTCAGACGAGAGACGAATGGCGCGGTTTGTTCATGCCTTCCAGCCCTGTGCAGCCATCATCTGTGTTGCACAATGGTTAGAGCTTCCTGGCTTTGGCAACCGTGATGCCAGATGCTGCCGCAACCCTTGCCCCGTATAATCTCCAAGCTCCGTTGCCATCCAAAATCGACAGCCCAGAACGTTTAGGTCAAAACGGTGCCTGGTAGAAATAGACGGTTCGCATCATAACGCCAGCCTGGCCAACACAGCAAGTGTACCCGCTCTTCGACGCTCGACAAATGGGCACCAGCGTGGCGTTCAAAGCTGCAGGCAAGAAAGGCAAGGGTATCCGATGGACCACGTTCTGCTCGAGTCCAGGGCGACACACGGAGCTCAAAGATATTAACTCACCCAAGCCCTATGCCCCTGGTCACTCCGTCCGCGCTATTACAGATCTGTTCTAGGGCGTACTCTGAAAGGACATACAACGAGCCCAGCGTTTACGATCGCCGTTGGGATTGCCCAGCCGTCGGCATAGAGGGAAAGGCATGTGAAGACGAGACAGTCGACTAAGACGAATGACAAAACTTGACCAGCCCGAGAACCCGGGGAGGCCAATCATGGTTACTGAATGGCGACGGCCGCACCGCATGTCAGTCCATCTTTGATAGGAGTATCAACCCTTGGTAAGGAGGTCCGTTAGTAGAAGCTGAGAGTGGAAAATCAATTGGGAGTGAAACGGCGAGAAAGACGTACCAAGTTTTGGAGTCGCAACACACCACAGTCCGCCAACGACGTCGCGCCCGCGTCTGCCCGCAAGTTCCCGTCCCCACTGGGTGGACAAAGGAAAGAATCCTCACAAGCACTCTCCGAGCTTGATGAGGGAGGGAAATACAAGAGGAATTGAGCCTGTATCGACGAGGGTTTGTCCAGTCAAAATCTGTTCCCCGTCCCTCGGGGTCGTCTCTTCATCGAGGTCCCCTTCGTCTCTCCTCCCGTCTCCGGAAACGCCTTTCATGCAGCTGTGCAGCTGAGGCTGCACGAAATATTCCTTCTTCCTTCCCCGAGGGAAGGGCCTCAAAGCAACTAATGCCCTTGGCAATATGACAGCTCATCCTTCCAGCGAAACGGACCCCTGCTGACGCATGTCGAGGATCATCTCTAGCTGGCCCTTCGATGCGCAGCATACTTGCCTCCGGATGTTTGGAGAGAAAAAAAAGACATCATACGGAATCCACGGTTGAAGCAACGTCAAATTTGACATCTCATCGGTGTGGATCCCGGGGTTTGAAGGGCGACGGACGCTGCGACCTCGTATCCTACTTGTCGTCTCCTGCGTTCGGTGAGCCAATGCCTGCGCGGATCTGCCGTCCACACCCCGGGGCGGCGAGCCGGCGAGATTGAGGCAACGGGCAAAGCTCACACCATCTTCGCGGCGTCTCTCCGCTGCAGCAACTCAGCGCGAAGGAGCGGAGGAGAATGTTGAAAATCGGGGCGGTGGTCATCGTCTAGGATGTCTTGCTCGACTGTGGTCGCCTGGAAAAGGCGCCTATGAAGCGAGCGGCAACATGCAGGAAAGCATCCACGACGCAGCTCCAGTTCAAGCTTGTTTGAGGCACCTTACGTATTCGAGAAGTGTCAGATCTTCCATGACATCCCGCGCAACGCAACGCAACGCAACGCCGTGCTTGTGTCATGCGAGCAGCGCGAATGGCGGCAGGAGGAACTTGTGTGATCGGCTTCTGTAACATTATTGACCTTTGTTACAGGTGGCCAAGTGTCAAAAGTTGAACATCTCCAGCTGCCAGAGCTTCGTGATGGGTGAGTCTCACTGACGCTGTGTTTCTCCCCGGACCATCTCGACCGTAATTGCAGCATGCAAGCAACCAGCAGGGAAAAAAGGAAAAAAAAGACACAAACAACCGGACAGCCAAACAACTCACAGAAACTCGTCCCCCGCCAGCCAGCGTGCTCCGGCAGCGGACCGCGTCAGGCCCGCAGGCCGTCTGCTTGCCCGCCCCTTCGTGTGCGACGTAGCTGCATGCCTTCAACCAGTCATCTCGGCGGAATTCGACTCTGTCACGACTCAGGTCCGTCGTCCTCCGGACAAGATTCGCCGCAGACGGACCTCCCCTTGCCGCGTCTGTCCTACGACCCGCGCTGTAATCGGCCGAGAGCGAAGGGGGGGAGATGTGATGGGGGAGCGTGGGGAGCTGGCTGCGAGCAGAACCACGCCATCCCACCCGCTTGCCTTCGCTGTACAACACAGGATGCAGACGCCACGGCCACTGCAGGACATTTGAGTGGGTGGGAGTCCATCGATCGGCCTTTTTGACGCTGGTAGACACGGTAGCACGGCATTAAGGCAAAGAAAGAGTCAAGGCGCCGCCGCCGGCTGCTGTGGTGACTTTTGTGTGATTTCTTCACCCCTTGTCGAGCTTCTGCTTTTAGAAGGAGAGGGAAACGATCGGCCCTCTGATGGCGACGGATACTTGGCTGAGGGACTGCGTCCTTGTGTGTGGTGCGACGTGACGAGGCCACGCCTGCGGAAAAACGTATCGTTTGCGTTGGTTCCAGGCAGTTTTCTGCTCAAAAGTAGAGCCGAAGCTAAGGCGGATACGAAGGTGGGAAAAAAGAGACTTACCGTGGCGATATTGATATCAAGGGTCTCGCGGATGAGTTGGAGGACGGACGGACTCGTTGCTGCCAGGAACCATCGGGATTATCCTGCGCGCTTGCATCGACGGCGCGCACACAGAGTGAACTCCCACCACCACCACAAATCTGTCTTTCTCTTCCCCCCTCCCTCTCACTGCATCCAAACGAGGGTGGTGGTACTGATGGTAGTAGTGGTTGTCAACCGACCTGCCAAGTTAAGCATCGTATCGCCCGAACCGAAGCCCGTATGCGTGTCATTGTGTGTGATTTCTGCCGCGATTAAACTTTTCTTCCCACGGAGGCGAGGCCGGGGGACGTCGTATCCCGGGGTAGTAGGGGGCGGGAGATCTCGGTCACCAGTTTCTTTTTTCTCTCTTCCTCGTCTACCTGGGATCTGGATGCAAGCGAGGTCTGGTAGCGGTGATTCTTCATTATTTGCCTGCATGTCTGTGGTGTTCCGTACGTTTTGATTACCGCGCTGCGCTAATCGATCATCTCTCCCTTCCTCTATTTCTGTCTTCTCCTTTCGCGCCTGCCCCGGTACAGAGACCCCACGGTGGACACTATCCTCAGCTGCAGCACGTCATAAGATTTAGTATCGATGACCCGGATCGACCTCTGCTTGCCCCGGATCGTGGTCCCCAACCACCCTCTCTTTCTCTCCACCACGAGGTTCCACGAAGACGAGGTCGACAGATCGAGCGGCATGCAGCGGGAAGCTGCTTTCAAGCTGCCTCGTTAGTTTGCCCGGGGCGGAAGGCCAAACATGCGTGCGCGTCCCTGTGGCTCTCCGTGAAGCATGGGATGGGGGGTAATATGTCATATTTCGCGTAGTCTTTGGTATCTCCTTTTCATGCCCATCTGAGTGTCCTCGCTTGCTCCTCGTCGGGAACCCAGAAATCGCTCTAATGTGCACATCCACCGCGTGCCAATGCAATCGGAAGGAACGCGGCAGCAGTCCAACCCGCTCCTGGTCACCATCCCGTTCCGTCCAGATTGAAAGTTGCCAGCTAAGCCTCAAGTCCACATCGGCATCACGCCCTTGCCCTTCCGTCCGACTCCTCGCGGGGGTCCTCGTGAGCCGCCGGCTCTGGGCGTCAGGCCGCCCATGATATCCATGTTCGGGTCTTCGTTGGGGAAGTCGGTGGTGCGGAAGCCGTCGCCGTCCTTGAACATGGTCGCGTAGAGATTCGAGACGGACTCGGTGAGGTCGTGCATAGCCTTGGTGCGGTCGCTGTCCGCATCTGACTGGATCTCCAGCGTGCCCGCTTGCTGGTCAATCTTGCCGTCGATCTTGCCGTCGACGATGAGAAAGCCCAAAATGTCCTGAACCTCGGGCTGCGAGATCTTGAGTTGCTTCGCGATCCAGGCCAGCTTCATTCGTGTGTAGGGGGCGATGAGCTTGAGAACGCCCTTGGTGCGCATGTTGCGGGTGACCTCATCAATGTTCTCTGCGATGAAGGGATCGGCGAGGATGTCCTGGTTCTTCTGGAGAACGTTCTCGTAGGCGTGAACATCGTCACGTTGATAGGCATCCACCAGGTCCGTCATAGCCGTGATACGCGGGTCCTGCTTGTAGGGCTTGGTCTCCTGCGAGTCGAACGGGTTGATGGTGGACTTGACCAGCATCGTCGTGAGGAGGAGGTATTTGAGAACCTGGATGCGCTGGAGCGAGCCGGCCTCGTCGTAGTTGCGGAAGGACTCGAAAAAGTCGGTCTGCGCCTCCGCCCAGTTCTCCTCGCTCATGTGCATCTTGCCGCCGCATTCGCGAATGATGCCCATGATCTTCGGATGCGGAACGGCGGACCGAACCTTCAAGGCACGCTGGTATAGGCGCTTGAGCTGCTTGTTGTTCTTCGTCTCGGCGTGCATCTGAATCTCGAGGGCGTAAATCTCCATGGAATAGGTGCCCTTGCTGGGATCGTCGCTTCCGTCCTCCTTCTGGCAGGCTCTGTGGAGGTCACGGAGCTTCTTGGACACGGTGCCGTAGTCTTTGCGGTCGAGCAGGAGCTTCGCGAGCTTGATGTTGGTTTTGAGCCAGAGTCTCTCGTTGTTGGTGCTCTGGAAACTTTCGAGAGTGAGCGAGTAGAACTTCTCGACACAGGCCACCGCCTTGGGTCCATCTGAGCCCTTCTCGATGTAGTCCAGCATGTTGTTGATTGACTTCTCGGAGTAGTTCCTCGTGACGGCTGACTTGACGTACGTCAGAAGCTCGGCGTAGTGCTCTGTCGCCTGGATCCATGTCAGCACCTCTCCGCCTCGTGTCTCGACGCCGTTTGTCCTGGTATCATGCACATACCTTCTCATACTGGCCCAGCTTGAATTCCAATTTGATGGCTTGCTTTAAGCCCTTGAAGCCCCATTCGCCTTTCTCGTCCTCTAAAGGTGGTATGCCTAGGAACTCTGCGATTGCATCCTCGGGATCGGTAAGCTTCAGCTGCTTCGCGTTGTAGTACTTGTTCTCGATGCCGACGTCGCCGGAGTCCTCGTCGTCGTCTTCCTCGTATTCGAAGTCATACCTGCAAGCAATCAGCACCTGAAGCAGCCAGGAACTGGCCATGAGGCATGAATTGAGGGAAGCTCACTGCTCCTCATCCGACTCCTGCATGAAGTCCTCGTCGTCGGACATCTTGGCGTTGGGCTTTCGGTTTGTCGGGGCGAGAAGCTGTCGATCGGTAGGTCGCAGAGATTTCGGGGCTTGTCGGTGGTAAAGAAGGGTCGACTTTTGGGGTGCTGCTTGGGTGGAAATTTGCAAGGCTGAAGGTGTGCGGTTGACGTTTACTTCACCGGGTACGCAGTAAGGTAGTTAGTTCCAGGCAGGAGCAGTTCACGTTGACGGCACCAACCGGCAGCAAGGCGGGGGAGCTTATCGATTGGCAGGCCCCACCAACCGCTTCAGCTGTTTCCACCTCAGGCTGATAAGGTAAGGCCGTGGCAGCGCACAGACCACAGCAGTAGGCAACTTTTCGTTCCACTCCTTCCCAGTGTTCCCCGGCGCATTTCTCCTTTGCCCCAGCCGCGCATTCAAATCGCTACTCGTCTTCATCGTCCGCCATCGTCCTAGTCGCTGTTGCTAGTTCCTATCGTTTCTCTGCAAAGTATTCACCCTCCGATACCTTGTTTATTCATCATCAACACTTTCCGACGCCTCGTATCACGCAAACTACCCACCACTACTCACACGCGCGCCGGTCAGCAAAATGGGTGGCGACCTCAACCTCAAGAAGAGTTTCCACCCCTCTCTTCTCAAGAACCAGGCCAAGGTCTGGGAGGAGGAGAAGAAGGCCCTCGAAGAGCGCAAAAAGACACAACAGCGCATCAACGAGCTGAAAGAAGAACGCGCCCGCGAGGAACTACAAAAGAAGCTCGAAGCCGCCGGGCACACCAAGAAGGTCGATCGCGTCGAATTCCTCTACAGCGGCCCTACCGATGGACAGACAGGGACGACGGAGGAGCGCGAGAGCTACCTTCTCGGCAAGCGTCGCATCGACAACCTGCTGAAGGGTACCGAGCACAAGAACCTCGAGAAGCAGGCCGGCCAGGAGAGCTTCATGGCCCTGCAGACCGCAAACACGGCACGAGATACCGCGGCGAAGGTCCGGGAAGACCCCCTCCTCGCCATCAAAAGACAAGAGCAGGCCGCGTACGAGGCTATGATGAACGACCCCATCAAGCGCAGGCAACTTCTTGCATCCATGGGCATCGAAGACCAGCAGAAGTCCAAGTCGAAAAAGGAGGACAGGCATGACAGGCACAGGAAGAGACACCACAGGCATCGCGATGATGACGACGAGAGGCACCACAAACGGCGACGGTCACACTCCCGGTCCAGAAGCCCACGCCGGCGCAGGGATGACTACGACGACGACGACGAGGACAGGCGCGAGAGAAGGCGGCGCCGCAGCGACTCCCAAGATAGAACCCGCGACAGCCGCCGACGTAGGAGGTCTACATCACGGAGGAAGTCTACATCACCGCGCCCGCACAATTCCGGAGATCGGGACCGTCGTCGTGACGATCGCGACCGGAGGCGTCAGGCATCCGCTCCGGACGAAGACCGGTCCGCCCGACGTCGCGAAAGGTCACCGCGGGGGGGTTACGACCAACACGATCGAAACGGAGAAGCTTCGGGCTCCCGGAGCCGCAGGCAGTATGACAACCGACGACAAGACCGTACCCGAGGAGACGGTCGCGCGAACAACGACTCAGGCGACTCGGCTGCCGATGAGGAAAGAGCGAGGAAGCTGGCGGCTATGCAAGCGGCTGCCTCGGATCTCGATACCGACCGAGACCGCCGCCTAGCAGCGCTTGAGGCACAAGAGAAGGCAGCACGTGAGGCGGATGACCAGGCCAGAGAGCGGTCGTCCAAGTATGGCGGCGACAGGCAGTTTGTCAACGGGTTGCATCGCAAAGCAGGGAACATGGGTTTGGCCGAGAGGATCGGCCGTGGCAGGCAGGGCTTCCAGAGAGACGACGATTGAAGGGGAAAAGGCGGAACAATTCGGTCATTGAATCAGTAAATGCTCCGTGGCTCCGGAACGAAGATACCAGTGGAGTTGACGAAGGAAGCGGGCGAGTCCCGAGCACCGGGTAGCGTCCGCAGAGAACGGGCCTGCGTAGCACTGGCCAACGGATCGACCATGCAGGGACGGACGGACGGACGGACGGGAAGGGAAGGCTGGATATGGATTCTGCACGACGGTTCCCAGGTCGACCCCCCGCGTAATGATTATAAATATCTGCATCGACATGCGCGTCATCGGCATATTTCTTAGCTTGTCAGATGGTATGGAGCTGGCAATGAGCACGAGGCACAATGAGTCCCTCCTAGTCGAGATGAATACCTCGAGAAAATTCAAGTACTTTAACCATGTGAATCGCGTGCGACCCCTCACTCGCTCAGCCTCAAACCAAGACTCGATTCTGCGGGCTTCTCCATCAGTCGGCTTGGTATCACCATCATCCATCGCCAGCCTCCGAGACGACGCAATTCGGCAACGTAACCCAACGCACTGGACTGCAGGCTCTGCCCCGCCACGCAGCTGCTCCATCGCGCCTCGGAAGTGCCCGCCACGATGAGGCCCGTCCAGTGACTGTGCTCGATGGCCCTATGCTTGTCTGACGGTATAAAAAAACATGGAAATCCAGGTTATCTATGGCAGGCAGATCGAAACTTGGAGGCTAAGGTATTGTTGGTCAGGCCTGTGGAACTTGGGCAGAATTCTAGAAGAAACATGGGGATGAAAACGGCACGAGGTCGGATGTTGGGAGTGGCATGGGCTTGAGTGAGACTTCTGGTTCCGTCAATGTTAACGACGCCGCCGCCGCCGCCGCTCTCGGAGCTTCTTCAGCGTCCGGCACGGCGGGGTTGGCTCACCGGGATGTGCCTGGTTTGTAGGAGTGTGGCTGTCCTTGGTCGGGGATGGAGTCGACGTTTGGATGGTGGAGCGAATTTGTTTTGGTAGAACTTGGTATTGGAAGCCGTTGGAGATGACGATTGGGGGCAAATGAGAAATGAGTCGTACACTGGGCAGAAGTTATCCCGAGCAGTCGAGCAGGTTGAGAGTAACGCGGAAGCGAGATGGGACGAGGCAGAAATAGTACCGGTAGGCGTGGAGATCAGCAAAGCCTGCGGTTGCAGATTCGAGGTAGCACGTTTGGATCTTCGGACTGGTCGGGGATTTTGGTGAGGGTGATCTGGATCTAAGGTAGGATCTAACGAGGCACGATACCAGGCGGCGAGATGGAAAAATGGTCTTACATGGCACTCGTCGAGCTGAGAAGACTAGTCGGAGATGTACCTGTCGTCAGACGTAAGGCGTGTCAATACATTACATAGTATCATGCCCCTCCATGCGGTCGTGGTCTCACCAAGAGGGATTTTGACGGACTGGGGATGGAGGATTGGGGGTCCTTTCCTTTCGGGGATTCCTGACGCCACCGGGGCTTGATGAACCAGGGGCAAGCAAAGCCAAAAAAGCCTAATCGACGATTATTTGCGTGTACCTGGGCCTTAGTGAGATGCGGAGGTCGCTTTTCGTCTTCAGCTCTGGACAACTAGTGGCCAATGCCTCTGCGGGCCATTGCTTAACATCAACAGCTGAAATGGCGGAGAGGATGGACGACGTGGAATTCCTTTTTCCTGGATAGGTTGATGCCGTCTGCAGATGTTTATATGGATACATGTTTTAGTGCATGCAGACGTAGTGCAGATTTTATGTGGCGGGGAGGGGAACACGCATTCCCCACCCTGGGTAATTGTGCCTCTTTGGACCCGGAGTCTGGTGATGACGATGCGCTGTGCTGTGCTCAATGACGGACAGGAGGCAGTATCTTAGGTCCCTTAGGTGGGCGCCGCCCTGAGCAGGTGCAGCTTGAGGTGGCATCGTCGCCCTGGCTGAGTCCAGGTGGTGAGGGCGGTGGAGGAGGTGGAGGAGGTGGAGGAGAGGGCGCTCAGTCAGTGACATTTCCCCCTGTAGCTGGCCGCCTCATGATGGACCTGGAATCAATCCATCCGGGCCGGGCGAGGCAGTCGCGGCCTCGCCCCCGGTCCTTCCCTCGATGCTGAGAGACGGGACGTTGATCCAAATAGCAGCAATTGGCTCTGCTCCTTCTCTATTACGCGTTTACTCGCTTCCTTCTCTACTTGTTTGTGTTTTTCATCCAACACAGAGAGAAAAAAATTAATTCTTTTTAGATCCCTAGTCTTATTTATTTGTTTTTTCCAAAGTCTTCACCACAACAAAACAAAAGCACAGTCCCTCTCCTGTGAATATCCCTTTTCTACAAGCCTGGCCCTTGTAAAAACACCTGTCCCTGTCTGCTCGCCTGCCTGCCCGTTCCTTCTTCTTTGGAGGACCCATTCGGCAGCCCTTCTGACTTTGTCTCAGCCAATTGAGCAGCGCACTATTTCCCAACCCAATTTCCCTCTCTGCAGCAATTCTCATCCACTATTCGGCCATCATCAACACAGAGAGAGGCTAGAGCAGCAGAGGAGAGGATACCTACCTAACCTTACCCGCTATCAACCATCCCCCCAATCCCACCTCATCCATCCTCTTACCTTCCACTTCACTGTCACTTTGGCATCCACGGAGTACTGCGTGCATACAGTCAGCTTTGCCCACCTCAGCTCACCTGTACCCGTACCCGTCCCTCTTTGACTTGCAGGCTGCATCTGCATCTGCATCTGCATTGCACTTGGTTGCACTGACAGTTCCACAGGGCAGCACCTCACTCAGTGTTGTAACTTCCGCTGTGGTTGAACTGAGTGTGGAAGGCGCCTTCCTTCCCTGACTGTCCCCGCTGTTCCCTCACTGCTCCTTCCCTCCCGCGTCACCGTCCAATTTACTCCCTTCTCAAATCTCAAATCCACCACTTCTCTCACATTCACCACCCATCCGTCACCTCACCTCACACCTTGACCTTGGGGTCCAGCCTTTTTTTGCTTTGTCTGTTTCCTTTTTGCTGCCACACACCAATCCAGATCCAGCCGCAAACAACCACCACTCACCACTCACCTCTCCCGTCGCCTCAACTCAACGCAGCTTCCTCCCCTTGCTGCCTCCAACAAACCACAACCTTCTCGACCGACGATCACCCACTTTTTGCTCTTCACCAACAAGCACTGTCGCCTCGGTTGCTTGCTTGCTTGCTTCACCATCCCCCTTACCCGGCCTCACTTTTAATCCTCACGACTTCTACCACCCGTCAATCTCGCCCATCATGCCCTTGTGCGGAGGTTCTAAGACGGTCCAGCGCAAGCTGGTTCTCCTGTGAGACTTGATCCCCCCCTGGTTGCTGTCGCTTGGCTCCGGCTGGCGGACTCCGGCTGATTCGATACCTCTCCAGTGGCGATGGCGCTTGCGGCAAGACTTCGCTGTTGAACGTCTTTACCAGAGGGTAAGTTTGATGTCGCCTTCCCTCCCACTGGGAAGCCATCTCTAGGTTGCGATTATTTTTTGCTGACTCGATTTACCTTAGCTACTTCCCGACTGTCTACGAGCCCACCGTCTTCGAGAACTACGTCCACGGTATGCGCCAATCCCCTGTCCTCAGTCCCTCGACCGAAGCCATTCGCGCCTCGTCCTCGACCTCGTTCCTCGCCTCTCCCTCGATGCTGCAATTTCCTCCCATTCGAATCGCTGGCTAACCTGACCTCAGACATCTTCGTCGACAACGTCCACATCGAGCTTTCGCTTTGGGATACCGCCGGTCAGGAGGAGTTCGACCGCCTTCGCAGCCTGTCTTACGGTAGGGATACCTGCGCACGAGATTACGACGCTGCTCGCTAATTTGTTGTGCCTCAGATGACACCGATCTCATCATGCTGTGCTACAGCGTCGACAGCAAGGACTCTCTCGAGAACGTCGAGAGCAAGTGGGTTGGCGAGATCGCCGACAACTGCCCCGGCGTTAAGCTCGTCCTTGTCGCCCTCAAGTGCGATCTTCGCGAGTCCGATAACGAGGAGGAGGAGGCCGCCGAGGGCCAGCAGCGCGAGAAACGCCCCATGATCAACTACGAGCAGGGATTGGAGGTTGCTCGTCGCATCAACGCCCTCCGCTACCTCGAGTGCTCCGCCATGCGCAACCGCGGCGTCAACGAGGCCTTCACCGAGGCCGCCCGCGTCGCCCTCAGCGTCAAGAAGGACCGCGAGGAGTCCAAGTGCGCCGTCATGTAAACGACGCCCGCGCTTGTGCCTGCGCCATCGCGATTCCACTTCTCTTTCGGCCTCGCGCATTCTCCTTTCGACATTCTACACTCACGTACGACACGATCGATCGGGCGGGCTTCTTTCGGACGGGAGGAATACCAGTTTTCACTGTTGCACTTGGGAGGCGTCGGCGTTTCCACGGATTGGCTTTTACAACCCCTCATCTTGCCCTTACCGATTACGTCTTTTTATTGCAGCCCGTCCAACTCTCGTTGGACAGATGCTTCGTTTTTCGCAGTCGGCTACTCTACGGACTTGTAGCTCGACATGACGTTCTTGATACCTCTTGGGCATCGGCTACTTCTGAGCAAAATGTAAATACCCTTTTCACTTCATAATGCACATAAGGTCTGGGGCATCGGGTTTTCCTTCTTCTCTCGTCCTTTTCATTACGTATACCGGCGCGCCGCATGGCCAGGAGGCACGGCGTGCTACGCACAATACTGCGGATGCACCTGATCTGGCTTCTAGATTTCCTTGGATGGGAGAATAGCACCACTCGACCCCTCTTCAGTCTTTTCTTCGGCCTGTACAAGCAAAAGTTCTCAGCCTAGACGATGTTTAATGAACCACCACCCATCCACCCACAAGTCTGTCCACTGCAGGCGATCCCGTCTTCGGCGACGGGCGACTGCAGACAAGCATTAACTTTCGGCCATTCACAGGAGCCCCGAGCGGGCAGCCCCAACGCAACCAGACAATGTCTCAGCAATCCAATCGGAGACTATAGCATCGTGCGATTTCGAAGTGGTCGCCGGTCGGAGCTTGAGAATGCGAAATGGATTTGAGTGGCGTTCGCTGGGTGTCATGGTTGAGGGAATAAGGGAACATCCCTACCAATCCTAATGCCCAAAGCACCCGTCGTAGTCGGACTGGAGAAGGGGAAAATCAGGGTCCAGTCAGCAGCCATTTTTTGTCATGAAGACCCTGATTTCGGGCGGTTGCTTCAAGTTGCTCTTCCGCAACCGTTCCGCCTTTTAGTCGTCGACTGGAATTTTTAGCTTGCCAACTTTTCTTGTCGCCGCTGTCGGACGTCCAAGGAGCCGGTCCAGTGCGTCGGGAATGCCTGATGAGTGAGCCAATGAGACATCTGACCGAAGAAGTGCAGCGGCCATCGACGCATTATCGCCAAGTCGAGGTGGAATCCGATGTTCCCAACGAAAGGTTCCAATCACTGAGTCACTGACAAGATTTTGACATTTAAATCCCTTCCGCTTCGATATCGCTGATGCAACAAATGCAGACTTAGGCGGACGTCACCTATGATGTGCCTTGAAAAAGCATCATTGACATGAAAGACTGACATGATGTTCCGCCATGCCGGTTTATTCTCTACTCATACATCTAACTCCAAGAAAGTGTTCGCTCAGCATATGCATACAAATACAGATAATAATACACCAAAAATGAGAAGCTCGACTCCAGACGTTTTTCCGATTCGCCATGACGTGAATCATGGACTCGTACCGACAAAAGAAAGTTTCATCAAGCTCATGCTTCTTCGACATGTAGCCAGTTTAGTCACCGTGGCCTAAGAGGCTGTTAGTATTACGTAGCAAGCTGACAATGATGGGTATGAACTTACGACCAAGAGCCTTGCCCCGCTTGGAAACCTCGCGAGCATGGTACTGCTTAATCTTGGCCCTCCTGGCTTCCTCGCGCGCCTCATCCTCGAGACGACGCACGTCAGCCCTGGCAGCGGCAACACTCTCCCTGGCGGCCATCAGAGCGCGGTCGGCCTCCTTCTCGGCTGTCTCGGCGCCCATGACGCGCTCGCGGGCCGAGACGATGCTGGGATCCATCTCGACGCCGCCGCTGCCGCCAAACTTGTGGAGGAGACCACGGCGGCCGGACGAAGCGTCCGTGGAGCGGCGGAAGAGACCGCCGCCGCCTCCGCCGTTGGTGTGGTGGCCGTCAGGCGAGGTGTGGTATGTGGTCGAGGAGAGGGAGGAGCGCGAGGTGGCTGATGTGCGGGTGGTGGGCGTGGGAGAGGGGTCGCGGCGACCGAAGATGCCGTGCTTTCGCTGGGGGTGCTCGGCGACGGGCTGGTGGAGGACGGGCTCCGGGGAGGGGTCACGGCGTGAGCCGAAGAGGCCGTGTTTGCGGGGCGGTTCTTGGACCGGGTGCTGGGTTACTGGTTCCGGGGAGGGCTCGCGGCGAGAGCCGAAGAGGCCGCGGCGCTGGGGCTCCGGGGGTGGTGGGGTTGGTTCCCGTGCGGGAGAGGGTTCGCGTCGGCCGCCTCCGAAGAATGGCATTGTGAATGTGGGTGTTTGGAATTGGGATGGATTAGAAGGGGTGCTTGGTGAAGGCTTGTTTTTGCCGTTGGAGTCTTGTGATGGGAAAGCTTGTGTGTAAAAGCTTGGGATGCTGGATAAGACGGAACACAAGATGCTCGGCGGGAGGGTCGAGGAGGTTATAACTGCGTTGCCAGTCCCCCCGTCATCTCAATATCACTCATGACCTACTACTTCTCCTGATCTATGTAGGTATGTGCTACTACCTACTCACACCGACCGCAATCCTTCCCCCCCTTGTGCCGAGACCCTGACCAGCACATTGTTGGCAAGCGATGCTGCACAATGATGCCAAGATGGACATTCAGCTTCGTTCTTCCCCCCGTCACGCCCAGCTTCCCCGTTGGACCAACAGCCATCGACGGCGTCGGAGGTCTTGTGTGCTGTGCGACGTCAAACCTGTTTGGCTGGTGGTGATCGGCGGGCTTGAGATCACTGTCGTTCGGTGACGTCAGGGGAATGGGCGGGTTAGCAGGGGTCGTCGCGAGGTGAGCTGGCCAATCAGACGGGGTTGATGACGGCAGCGCGACTTCTTCTGGCAGGACCCCTAGATTCCGCATCGCTTCCTGAGAGGTCGGCTTGGAGGGGGGGGATTGGCATGCAGGGTCTTGATCAGGAATGTCTTATCCGTTGCGTTTGGGAGAGTCTTGGAGTTTCGTTTGGGTGTGTTGGTGCTAAAGGGGATGCGGGAATCGGGTATGACATCGTCCATGTCTCTGGAGGAAGACGCCGGCGATGTTGGGCCCGGGTTTCGATTGGAGAAGTGGGCTGTGCTGAAGATGCAAGGGGGGTCGGTCGTGACGATTTATCGGGTTCTGGCATTCGCTCGTGTGCTCTGTTGTGTCTGATGAGCTGGCGTTCTAGTCCGCTGAGACGGTAGCCCACGGGACGGTTCACGGTAGTGCTGGAGGCTAGGGATGACCGTTGACGTTGTGGCTTGCTCGACGGCCCTGTGGTTGGACAGCGTGGCTGGCGAGCAGCAATTCTCGAGGGAGACTTGACGTTGCGTATTTTCTTGAGCTGACGAACAGCGAGCAGATGAGTTTCTGTGTTCGATCCGGGTTACATCCGGGGTGGGCTGGAACATGGATATCAAAGGATACATCGCGTGAAGCTTAATAGCGCCCAAACTGTGGGGGTTGGTGGTTCCGAGCAAGGCGGTTTGAGGTCGTTCCCTGTTCGTGGTCGACGGTGCCCTGAATATCTCGCCGAAGATCATGTCCTGGGGGGCGTTCGGAGAGTGCCGAGGAGAAACGATGAGTCTCTTCAGGGTCACGGCTGCTGTTGTGCGTCCTGACAGGCTTTGACCATATCACATCTCGACTACTACTGGGGGAGATGGTCGACTTTTGGGTGAAGCCTCTTGGCTTGCCGGTATATGATGCTTCTGGTTTTCTCCTGCCTTTAGAGATAATAATTCTTAGTGATCATTTCGCAGAACCTCCAACGATCTTTACTCATGGTAGCTAGCTGCCTTCGGTTGTAAGCTTTCATGTATGTGTTTCTACGCTGATAGATATTGTTCGAGGCCTTCTCGCAAATACAATGGGGAAGCTTGCTCGTATGCCTGTGAGTCGTCGTTCAGAACATGCACAATCTGATGAATCCCCCAATGACGGTTCACTTTTCGTTTCTAAATGCTGTAAGGCTCGAGATTGGGGCCTCGAAGTATGTGCGCTGTTTTTCCGGAAGCTTTCCTGTGCATGAAAGACTCCGGAATAACGAAGACTCGTCGTTGGTCGCAGAAGATTGAGGCACGAATCTTACTATATAACTGAGATGCGACTCATCAACACACCTTTGCATGGGAGACCAATCAAGAACACACAAACGCGGAGTTGTAGCGAACCAACCGGATTTCATGTTGGGCAGACTTCAATATGTAACCGCTCTTGGTTATCAACAGAGCCCAAACTGTTGGGCCCATGGTGTCGAAATGAACCCATTCAGCGCTTGAGGATACTGCATACCAAAGAAATGAGGCGAGTTGATGCAGCAGGCTAGCCATAGACCACACACCACCACGCTCATCTCATGTAATGCGACTTTACGTGGCAGGCGCCCAACCTGGGGATTGTACATGCGGATGCTGTTGGTTGTGCTGTACGCATGCAACTGGCCAGTCTACTTGCTCTTACCAAGTACCTGCATGTGTGCATGCAAGTGATACTTTATGGCTTTATTTATTATGCAAAAGGAGCCTGTACTCAATTCGAGACGACTCGACTTTGTCCTTTCATCATATTCCCTACACAGCTCAGATGGTCCCTACAGACACCCACATATTTCCTCGGAGCATTCGACTCGAAACAAATGCAGATGAAAATCATCGCAAACCTCCACCAAAGTCATTGCATCTATGGGTGGATCTTAGAAAAGACCCGAATGAGGTTATTATCAAACGGGGAGAGATTCAGGAAGCGAGAGACAGGCTAGAGAATACTGGCCTTTACGACGTGATATGTAGCTACAACCTTTACGTCGGGTCGAGCACTGGAATATGTGTTCCAGGTCAGACTTGAATTCCATATAGAACATATATGGCAAAGACTGATGATCGACAGGGCACGCGCCTTTGTGGCACAACGACACGTACGAGTATACTCCGATACCAGGCCACAGTGATACGCTTGTCACGAGCAGTGTGGAGAAACCACCAATATGGGAGACCAGTTGGGAGGTCTGGACGGCAAGAGAATCTCAGACGAATGAAATGGAGGACGGGATCGTTTGGCCTGCTCGCAAGTTCCCATTCGAGGCGCTCTTTCGCGCCGCAGAGGTGATGAGCCCTGCTTTCACTTTTAATGGTGTGGATGTTGTTGCCAGTCGACATAGTCTGAAAAGTCTGTTCGAGTTTGTCAGCAAGGCGAACCCAACGAAATCCTTCCGTTTGAATCTCTTCCTACTCCCGGGATCCCTTGATGCGGCAGACTGCCTGATCATCGAACCTGCAGAAGAAGAGTACGAGCTGGATATAGGACCACGAGATTTGGGCATGGAATGCGAACGAGCTTTTACCAGGCGGTTGTCTTACTTGGAAGAAGCCGGTGGGCATTATCGAGCGATAAGATACAATTTGGGAGAACTGAATATGGTGGTGCGGTGCGAGGTCGACGCATCCTTCGAAATCGAAGACTCCGAAAGTCACACCATGGCTTCAGCGCCATCGCCATTTGATACACAGGACCAGAGGCCTGCAGCGCAGTCGGAGACACCTGTTGGAGTTTCTATGGCAAACAGCACGAGTGCCGAGATCAAAACGGTCAAGTCAAAGAAACTCAATGCCTTGATAAAAACCGTTCAGTGCCGTATGCCGCAGCTCTGGTTTGGTCGAACACGCTGGCTAATGATGGGGAGCACCGACCCGCCGAACATCAAATGGCGGGAGCCCAAAGATCTACTTGTCGACGACGTGTGTGGGCTGAACCTTCATGACTGGCAGACCAGGGAGAAGTTAAATCTTGCCAAATTAGTTACACTATTGAGGAAGCTTCGGATGGAGACCCAGAGGCATGAGGGTAGGAATTGTGTCGTGGTGTACCAACGAAATTCCAACAGACTGATTTTGAAGGTTTGTGGACGGAAGAGAAACGTCCTGCCAGATGATATTCTGCGCCGGTTCTGGCCTTCGTTTTCGCGCGATGGCGTCAAACGCGAGAGTAGGGGATTTATGGATTCGAAATGGCGGCCATGATATGCGATTGCTGGCGAGGACTATCTCGGAATGTCAATATCCGCGGCTTGATAAGAAAATGTTAGGAGCAGTTTCGCTTCGAATGAAATGTCTTAGATAAAGATCCGAGACTGGTTCCATTATTATACCAAGCGGAAGCCTGATGAAATTAGTTATGCTCCGAGGTCATGACGATGCGCAACTTCTATCTGGGTATATGCACGCATCATCGACCGTTTTCTCTATGAATGACCAAAACTGTTTGGACGGCACGAACGCTGAATAACTCCTTCAGTTCTTCGCAGCACCCTTCTCCAACTTGCTCTCCTCCGGCTGCTTCCTGTCCCAAGCCATCCAAGCAAGGGCGATGAAGAACTTGACGGCACCTGAAATCCACAAAGCACCAGGCATACCTGCACGACTTCTTTGCAACCAGCCACCGATGATGCCTCCAAGAACCAGCAAGACAACGGCCAAAAACCTCCTGTTCCTCTTGGGATTCTCCTTGAGGGGCGCGAACAGCTTCGGGTCGGACAGCAGATCGCAGTAGACACTCGTTAGGACGTTGGTGGGGACCTCGTTGAAGCCCAGGATTCTGCTGGTGACAATTTGCCCACCAAATTGGAAGGCCAGAAGAGCGAGGGGTACCATGACAAGAGGATCCTCAGAGGTCTTGAACTCGTGGTCTCCGCCGGCCTCGACGGAAGACATGCCGAAATCGGCAACGACACGAGTCTGGGCGAAAGCGGCGGCCACGAACACGAGAGATGCTTGCAAGGCGAAGGACAGGGCGAGGGTGCTCCGGCGCTTGGGATGGATGTGTCTCGATTTGGAAAAGAAGAAGCAGCCAAGCCAGAAAGCCGCAATTGAGCTGAGTGACTTGAGCCAGAGCAAGGGCTCGCCGGCCGGGAGACGAGAAGCGCCAAGAGCCATGAAGATCGTGTTACCTGCGATGCAAATCAGATACGCATACGCTCATTCTCGAATGTCAAGGCACACAAGCTTACCAGTTTGCATACTGACGAAGACGCCGGCGGCGTTCACAGCCACACTGTCACACAACCCGGAAACCAAACAGCAAGCGAGGACGGGGACATCAGTGTAGCGGACGTTGACATCGTCTCGGAGCCAGTCGATGAGGCCGCGCTTAGGCTGGACTTCGTGTTGCGGTTCGTTGCCGGCGTCGGTGTCTGACGAGTCTGCGATTCGCAGCGGGTTCTCCGGGGCCATGACGGCTAGGGGTCTGAGTTGGCGCTGCGGTTGGATGCGGTTTCGATCTCGTCGCGTTGGTAGTCGTTGTTCTCTGCCGTCGTGGTTGGTCGTAAGCAATGATGAGGTGATCACCAGGGAAGACGGGAGAGCAGACGCGGAAGGGGGTCCGCAACGATATATGAATGGTTCGCGGCCGAAAACTTTGATCGCATCCCGCGGGCTCGGCTAGGGGGTTGGCATTGCGTTATCGCGTCTAGGCATGTCGTTTTGCTGTTTGACAGGGCGAGTTTGGCAGGTTTTGGCAAGACTATTACGCCTCGGGTAAGGGTCCCGTCTTAGACAAACCCACCGCCGCGTAATCGGAAGCGCGCTGGCGGCCGTGAGTCACGTTTTGTTTGGTGAGGTTCGGGGACGATGTGGGCTTTTGCACGGATAGATTGCCGAGATTGGTGTTGGCATTGTGCATGGAAGGAAGACGGGTTGACCAACTTTGTCTTTAACTCTAGACTGAACGTCGTGCTTTTTTGGTATCATTGTAGCCGAGAGATCAAGTACTACAGCCATTGAGATGCTCTTCATCCATGACGTGCCGAGAGAGGGAAAGCGAGAAAGCATTTTGGCTTGTGGCTTGATCTTAGACCGAAATCGGCCCAGCCAAGGCGTCGGGTTCTGTCGTCTGTCGCGGTGTCACCAGCGGCACTGGCCGAAAATCCTGCGCGTTAGCGGCAGCTCAATCATTTAAGAATGTGGGTCTCGGCCGGCGGTGACCCGGGCGCTTGGGCCGTGCGGCGCCGAATACCCGAGGATTTGCCTCTGTCCAGTCCAGTCTCACTCTCACCAACTCACTCATTCTTCGCTCACATGAACAATCTCACTTACAGATCGTCTCACTTGCTTCGTTATTGCCCACATCCAACCTCATCGAGTCTTTCACTCCAACAAGTCCGACTCTCATAGTAGCAGCAACGAGGGTCTCTGACCATGCTACGGTGCTGTCAGCATCGTCGATGTCACCTTGGACATGATGGCTTATTTGAAATGGCCGTCACAACCAATTTGTTTTACAGCTAACGCTTTTGCAACGACGCGACTCATATTCTCTAATCTTCATCGCGCAATCATGCATCTCATGAATGCAGGTGGTCCCGATAACGTCCTTCCGCTCTTCGGGCTCTTTCTTTCCTTCCAGGTTGTCTTTTAAACTCACAGTCTCACAGTCTGCCACACGCCTGTCGCTCATTACCACTCTCGTCGGCAGTCCTCGTTTCCGCTTCCTCAGATTTTGCACAGCTCCGCCTCTACAGTTTTCAGCCCTCTGATCTGCGCGATCCTCTCGAACACGAGGCTATCCACAGCTGAACAATGGGTTCATCTCAGTTATCGCTCATTATTGGGCGCCTTATGCGAAGTTATGTCGAGCCTCATCTCGTGAGCTAAGCTGAGCTCAGGATCCCTTAGCCAACAGGCCTGAGGCGGGCTCATTGTTGGGCTCGTGCCTCCATCCCCATCTTTCATCCGGCAATAATCATCACGCAGGTATCCATCCATACACAGAAACCACCCAGTCATGAATTATTTTTGGCCCAAGCAAAACCACTCGAGTCAGTGCAGACGAGAACCAAACAGTCGCCACAAAGTCGCCTGCGCCTCAAATCGTGACGGGCTTCACCGCTCTATAGCATTGCTTTTCATGTTTGTCGTGGATTCAAGCGGGTTCAACGCCGGTCTTGGCGATTCGGTTTCAAGTGTCCGGCTCGGGCAGGTGCTTGCTTCTCAGGTCTCAGTCCTACGAGATCGCCTCCTGATTCAACTCTCAACCCCCGTTTTCCTTCTCTCTCTGTTAGCGTTTACAGTGGTACACTTTTCTTTTCTCCGAATGGCCCAGAAGCCAATATGGACCTCGCAAACGCGAGATATGTCCTCACGAATAGCGTACCTCTGTTCTTCTACAAAGCCAGCCTATGACGCAGACAAACCCATCCGCTTTGGAAGACCTTTTCGCCCCCGGGCTAGGATGCCGCGTTTGACGGGGTGATCCACCAACAATCTCGGGGATAGTCTTCACATTTGCCCAGTTGGTCGCGTAACAAATGCTGGAATAATTTCCTTTCGGATAACCTTGCACTTGTGGCACCGGCAGTGGCACAAGGACGCGGGCACTGAACGGCTGCCGCTCTCTGGTTCGACCGATAGTCGTGACACTAGGCCGAGTTGGCTCTGGTGCGGAAACGCTGCCCGTTGCAGATGCAACTCCAAGAACCCGAAGAGGAGCAACAGACATTGGCAACCCCTTAAATCACCATGTCGCTTGTCTCGCTTTCCAGCATCCCCTGGCCTGTCTTGCCTCTGCCGCTCCGCTTCGCCCACACTGGACGAGGTCGCCTCCTATCATTGCTCGAGGAGTCGAGTTGCCATCAACTCAATTCGTTTGTCTGTGCTTCGGCTTCTTCCAATGCGCCAATCTGAGCACCTGCGCTATCCAGCGCTTTATCCACTCTCCTTTTCAACTCAATTTTGAACCCCCACCATTGCTGTTCCTTTAGAATCTCGCAAGCTCGCGAGAGGTCACTTACTTCTCTTCCTTATTTTTTAACAAGCAACACGGCGCCTCGTCTGTGACTGTGTGTCTTTTAGCACTCCTCTGCCCCAGACAACGGGCAAACACGCTCTCTTCCCCTCACTCTCGTCACTCCTTGACTGATAATACACGTTGCCGCGAGCGCGTTGTGTTCTGATCTCTTTCTTCTCGCGATACTTGACGTATTGCCTTGCGTTAGCCACTTGGCAAGCTCGGCCATTTCACGACTTGGCCTCGAACTTCCTGATCATTCCTTTACTCAGGTCAAATCAGTCACTTCGTCCCTATCTGGCCTATTTCGCGTATAGCTACAATTACTCGACACAATGCTGTCGCAATACACTCTCTCGGCAGTGGCGCTTTTGGCGTCGCTCGCCCAGCCTGCCCTCGCCCAGGTCTCGACCAAATGCAACCCGATGAATACCACTTGTCCAGCCGACCCGGCCTTCGGCATGGATTTCAACTTCAACTTCAACGCCACTCCCTCCACCGATGCTTGGGAGACCACGGTCCGCCCTGTCAAGTACACCAGCGAGAACGGGGCCGAGTTCACGATTAGCAAGCAAGGCGACTCCCCTACAATCCGAACCAAGTTCTACTTCTTCTTCGGCCGCACTGAGATCCACATGAGAGCAGCTACTGGCAAGGGAATTGTGAGCTCCATGATGTGGCTCAGTGATACACTGGATGAGGTTGATTGGGAATTCCTGGGCGTCAACAACGACGCTTTGAGCAACTACTTCGGCAAGGGTGTCGAAGACTTCAAGAACGGCGCCGAACACCCCGTCACGGGAAGCATTCATGACGACTTCCACAACTACACCACTGTCTGGACCAAGGATCAGCTCGAATGGTGGGTAGATGGTAACATGGTTCGCAAGCTACTTCCCGCCGACGCCAACAACACCAAGGCCTACCCTCAAACCCCCATGCGCCTCAGTCTTGGTATCTGGGCAGGCGGTGATCCTCGTATGGCTCCAGGTACCAGAGAGTGGGCTGGAGGAGACACCGATTACGCCGCCGGCCCGTACACGATGTACGTCAAGTCTGCGCAGGTCACCGACTACAGCTCCGGCAAGGAGTACTCCTTTGGCGACAAGTCTGGTTCGTGGGAAAGCATCAAGATCACTGAGTAAGTGTCCCTCGACTTGCATCGTATCTCAATTCAGATAGGCTAACATATCCCCAGCGGCAACTCTACCGTCAAGGAGGCTCTTCTCGCAGAGCCCAGCAAGTCTGTTAGTGAAAAGTTCGACTCGCTCAACCCTACTGCCAAGACTGCTGTCTATGCTTCCGGCGTTGGTGTTGGCTGCGCTCTCATTGCCTTCGGTCTCTGGTACTTCATCCGTCAACGCAAGCGCGGTGCTGCCGAGAACCGTTTGAGAGAGGCCAAGGCTGAGGAGGAGCGTCTTGAGATGGAACGCTTCCAGAAGAGTGGTATCGACCCCGACTCTTTCAACGGATCAACGGGCACCGAGTACAATGCTAGGGATTGGAGCAAGAACGGCATGGTTCAAGAGAACTCCTACAGTGTCCCTGCGACTCAGGAGAAGTCCGTCTGGGATGCCGCCCCGGCTGCTGCCGTCGGCGCCGGTGCCGCGACTGGCATGCAGTCTTACAGCGATTCCCGCAACGGTCAGACTCCCGTTCTGCCTCCGCTGAGAACGCAAAGCCCGAGCGCGCCCCCTTCGGGCCCCCTTCCCATGGCACCTAGCCGCAATGTTTCTAGCGGCGGCTACTCAAGACTCGGCTCTCCTGACCAGCATAGCCCTCCGCCTATGAGCCCTCCTCATGGCGGCTACAGCGACAACGCTTTTGGCAACCAACAAGGCTTTGGCAACAACAGCTACGGAGGCGCCAACCAAGGCTACCAGGGCGGCTTCCGGTGATACCGGATGTCCTGATTTCATGATCGTTTTCACTTCTGTCCACTGACCTTTTCACGGTCGTTTCTCATTACAATTTCCTACCTTGCATGAACATTGAGCGATTTCTTATTCCCCCGGCTTTGATCGAACGACATGAAAGGAGGCAAAGAGGATTCCGTCCTTGAGGGACGAGTCTGCTCTCTACAATACTGGCGCCAAGATATCCTGCAGTGTTCAGTCCAACAATCAGGACTTTACGAATTCAATACACGATTGATTTGTTCAAGATTTGCTTCTTGTCTCATGCTTTTCTACGAGATTGTGATTACTCCTAAGAACGCATCCGGCGTTGTGGTGCTTTTTGCGGGCTTCTCGGAGTGAGAAGATTTTGGCTTCGTCTAGGCGTCCGTGAGCGGCGCTGCATCGTATCGTCATGAAAGCGACTATTGCCAACAACGGGAATTATCTCATTCGCCCGAGACTGAGTGTCAGCACTCCTGTTCATGCATCTAATGCAAGGCGCCTGGCATTGAATTGTCTTGTCGCTCACATTGCTGGATAACTCTAATCGCCACGTATGGATGGATGCCTACCGGCGGCATCGGAATGTATCCAGCGCAACATCGTTCGATGACATCAGCAATCGTCCTCATGCAATCCACGTGGGCCCGGGCGAACTATTCACCAAACAACAGATATGCTTTGCCGGGCAGCCATGAGCCAACTTAGCTGGACCACACACCCACCTCTCCAGTCCGGCCGGAACTTGGACATCAGCCAAATAACCAGCCGCAATAATGCAGCAATCCAGGTCCATGGATCAGTGTCTAGTCATACTAATTGGGTAAGCTCCTACTTTGCCGAGCATGAGGGTTTCTTTCGGCAGCTCTGCCATGCAAACTTATTCTTGAGGGTGTGTTTTGTGCTGTCAATCTGAGGGGGCACGTCAGTCATAGGCTCAGCAAGTGGCGGTGCACGAAGTCCGGGCACACTTCAGTCATGCCCCATCCTTTGAAATAAAGTTGGGACTGTGGAAAGAATCTCAGTGTTCAGGTCGTTGGGGTAGCCGTTCTCGGTATACCCGTCATTTCCAGGTGGATTTCTGGTCGTCCGGTAAAAGGCATCCGAGTGGTGAAGCCCGAGATGCTTCCCAGCCTGGCCATCGAGTTCTAGCAGTAGAGAACCCAGGCTGTCAACTGTGACTTGAATTCTTCTTGCTGTTGCGATTGGGGACCATCAGGGGAGAACGAGAGATGTCTGTTGGTCTACTCTATACACAGCTGGTGATCGCTGTACAGGTTTATTTGTGATCCGCATTTCGGAAAGTCGGAAGGTTCGGTTCGCAATTAAAGTTTGCAATCCTCCGCAGCTGTCTAAAGGTGAACTACTGCCACTTGGAGATCTGATCATCTTGACGGGAAAGCTGGCCTCGACTTCCCCGCCAAAGCTTGTCGTTCTCCGCGTCTACGCCAGTTATTGCCGCCGCATATGTAAACAACAGCTGAGCTGAACATTGACGTAGCCGTACAATGCAAATCGCTCAAAGGAGATGGCAAATATCCCAATTCAGCCAACAATCATGCTATTTACTGGCACGCTCGAGGTGGTTGCTGTCTAGGTGGTGCGATCAACCAAGGTCGATACCATACTACGCTTTAACAGATTGTCGGAAGGAGAGGATTCCAGAGGATTGTGCAACAAGTGCAAACTTACAACAGCTTGTATCCAGGTGAAAGATGTGATTTGAGAGTTGTAAAGTTTGGGATTCCACAGTTGCATAGTTCCATATCCTACTCCAGGCCAACAGCATATCGCCAAGATCACCGTTCCATGGAGACCTGAAGCCAAAGAGGAAAGAAACACACCCTTTCGATTTGACAGCAGAGTTCCTTGGCCAATCAAATTGGGCAACTGAGAGCCGCATTAAGAAGTCCCCATGCAACTGGGTTGATCAACGAAGAGCAAATTAAGTTAAGCAGCACACCATCTTCTTCACCCACCCCAGTTGCTCAACCGGAAGATTTACCAAATTCGCAAGGAACCCTTGCTTGGATTTACGGATCCCCATAGCAAAGAAAGCATGCCATTGTGGAGCCCAAATTCCATTCACCAAGAGCTCTCTCTGCTAGACAAGGCGTAACGGTTGCTCGTGGCTTCCTCCACCAGGCACCATGCCTAAAGCGAAGCTGACAGCTACATGTGCCACAGGCCATACCTTGGTTCAAAACGTGTCGTCTGATGAGGAAGCTGTATGGAAGCCTTCGGGACAAGGCCGAAGACAGTAGAGACTCCTGGTTCGTGTGGAGATACTCCTGGCAGCGGATACTTCGGGAAGAGCTCGAATCCTCAAGCTATGGCATATTGGATACAGTTTACGATGTGTGTGTTGATGGCTAGAGTGCTATCGAAACCGACAGTCGACAGACACAAAGGTTTCTTGGCGCAACATGTTCGGAGCCAGAAGACTCTCTCGCCGGTCATGGCTCAGGTATGTTTTCGACCTATAAAGGGTGCCATCTTCTTCCTGTTGTTCGAGTCTTTCTTCTCTCATCAGGCAGCCTCGCAAGCAATTCATTCAATCAGCTCATCATATACCCATCTCTGTCTTCGGCAGTATTTGCAAGTCTTTACATCAGAAAGATGCTCTATTCCACCTTCTTCGTTGCTGCTCTCGCGGCCATCTCTTCCGTCTCTGCCATGCCGGCTGAGGCGGCTGACCGTGACCGCGACCGTGATCGCGATCGCTACGACCTCTTCCGCCGCGGCGAATGCCGCAGCGAGAGAGATGAGCTCTACTGCGGTAGAGGCATCAACCAGTACTCTCGCTATGGTACAGCCTTATTTGATCCATAGATCAAGGATGAAGCTAACATATCTCCAGATGAGGGCAGCCGCTACTGCCGCAGAGACCGCGTGAACAGAGTCTTCTGCGCCTACCGCGAGCAGCGAGAGTTCGTGAGGCAGATTGCCGAGGAGTGGCGTCGCATCGAGGAGTGCGAGTTGGACGAGTACTGGGATATCAGCAGGCGCCGATGTGAATGCTACCGAAGACGGGATGTAAGTTCATCGTGTGCCCCACCTATCAGTTCATGGATTTGGTGTTGACAAGACTCTTACAGAGGGATGGCGACCGTGACCGCGAGTGCCGCCGCCGCCGCGGAGAGCTTGAGGGTGACCGCGACCGTGACGGCGACCGTGACGACGACCGCCGTGGTGACCGGGATGGCGACCGCGGCGACCGCGATCGCGATGATGATCGTGTTCGCGAGCGAGATGCCCCCAACTGCAAGAACGGAGACATTGCCTTCTGCGCTGCCAACGAGGATCAGATCGTTACCTTTGGTAAGTTCGAATCAACTTGGGAGAGAAGACATTGGCTAACGCTGTGCCAGAGCGCCAGAACATTCTCTGCACCAGGGGCCGTGGCAACTATGTCTTCTGCGCCAGCCCTGAGCGCGACCGTGCTCGTGAGAAGGCCAGAGACCACTTCCGCAAGGAGCGCAAGACTGCCTAGTCCATCATTGCAGCCCCAGCGGTTGGTGGTGCTGTTGAATGATGGCTCCATCAATTTGGGAAGTCGAAGTATGGATATGTGGTTATTCAGTTGCTCAAGACTTTTGCTGCCCTGTTTGATTGTTTTGGATTCAAGAGATTGAAAGTCGAGTTGCAGTAATTGTCGGATGGGTTGGTTAGGTTTCTGTCTTCTCATGTTTCAACTGCACTAATAGTTTTGAATGAGTTGGCTGAAGTTCCAGTCCAAGCAAGACTACCCCTGAGATTGTAATTAAGTTCTTAAATAAACATCATGTTGTGCTCATTCAACGATTAATATGGAATCATTGCATCTGAAATTCACTACGCTTGAGGGTCATTGTGGAGGATGACAATAACGTTGATAAATTGTTTAGCTAGCCTAGAACAGAAAACTTCACAATGAGAATAACCGTGGAGGACTGTAGTTTCCACAGAAAAGTGACGATGACTTTGTTGTTCTGGAACGTATCTACTCAACCCCTGAGAGCTTGAGAGATTGCATCTAACCCAGCCTTCAGTTCCTCTCTCGTAGGCCACCCAAAGCCAATGCGGAAGTAAGTGTCCGGCATCTCGAACCAATGCCCAGGTCCAACGTACGTATGATAGTCCCTCAATAACCTTGTGTAGAATTGCGCTATCCCGCCAACAGGTTCCTTCTTCATATGCGGGAAACAGACGACGCCGCCGGCTGGTCTCACCCATTCCAGCAAGTCCTCCTTGTCAACCCAAGCGCTCACCATATCCAGGCGAAGCTTCATCTCGGCAGTCGTTGCGGCAATGATGGACGATTTCTTCGACAAGATTTGCTCGGCTATCCACTCATCGATGACACTGCCACTGATGTTGATTTGCTCCTTTGCGGCCAAGAACGTTTCTTGCAGTTCCTTGTTCCGTGTCGCGAGCCAACCCACACGAATACCCGGCACACCGTAGGACTTTGACAAGGAAGCAACGCTCAAGACATGATCCCCAAGAGATGCTGCCAATGGCAGGCCACTGTCGTACTGAACGTCTTTGTATGTCTCATCTACCAAAAGCAGACAGCCCTTGTCCTTGGTGATAGCAACAAGACGGTCCAATGTGGCCTGGGAAATCACAGTCCCTGTGGGATTGTGTGGGCAAGTGATAGAAACAATCTTGGTATTGCTCCGAATGGACTTCTCCACGAAATCGACGTCCACATCGAAGCTGTTGTCGAACTTAAGGTCCACGAAGGTGATGTCGCATCCAATGGCCTTTGGTGTTTCCAAGTTGGTAGCATAATTCGGGCGAACGACAACAAGATGATCATCTCGGCTCAGTTGGGAGGTCGAGATGATGAAAAGAGCACCGGCAGCGCCTGACGTTATCAGCACGTCGTCTTTCACCAAACCCGAGTCGCCGGCAATCAACTCCCGGAGACGACTGCTTCCTCGATGTTCATTGTACAAGAGCGTGAGGTTTGGGACTCTTAGGTTGAGGGAATCCAGACTCTGGTCGGTAATTGAACTCTCAGAAAGGTTGTACTTGATTTTGTCGTAGCCGTACTCTTCAGGAGACTCGATCTCGATGGGCATACGCTCATACTTCATGGTGGGCAGATGACAGATTTGAGGTTGAGGGATAATGGAGATGATAAGATTTGTCTGCGAGACAACTCTGAGAATCTGAAGACGTTCAGAAAGCCATATTTATACTTGAATTCCTTCAGTCAAAGCAGTCAGTCAAAGCAGTCTTTCCAATATGGAGCGGTGGAATTTCGACTTACACCTCCAGTAGTCTCGCCTCGACTTTCCTTCCCAGAACTCGGCTCGACTTTCCGTCCCAGGCCGTGCGTACGGCTGAAGACGCGGGGTTCTGGGGTAGGAATAAACGAGACTCACACCCGAGAACTTCAACCCATCAACGCGAAAACACGAGACGGCAATCATAAGTTGGTGCGGGCAAAACCTACTTGCTTTGTCAATTTTAACCTCGCAATATACGACATTTTAAAGCCGGGTTGTTTCTTCTATCGACGCGCCCTCTGCAGTGGCTATGCCCCGGCCGTTGGCCCGCAGCAGCGGCGGATGTTGGACGTGCCGCATTCGCCACAGAAAGTGCGACGAGTCCTCTCCAGCATGCAAAGAATGCACCGAAAGACAGATCAAATGCCATGGATATGGGCCAGAGCCCGAATGGGTGAAGAATCCGAACAGGCTCCGCGCCGAGTTGCAACGTATCAAACACGCCGTAAAACAGAATTTTCGACAGACACGAAAAGCACAAGCTGCCGGGAGCCCGCGCAAAGCTCTACAATCCAGGCAGTCCATGAGAAATGATCCGCAAATATCTGCCTCAACCGGAAGTTCGGAATTTAGAGAAGCGGAACTGCTCATGTACTATCTCGACTACATCTTCCCGCTACAGTACGCGTATTACGTCGATAACCCGGCCACTGGAGGAAGAGCTTGGCTTTTTTGGCTATTGTCTAAAAGAGGGCCGCTACGCCATGCCGCTTTTACACTGTCTGCGCTACATCAGCATAGTATATCACACACCAAGACTGAAGACATGGAGTCGGAACTCATCCGATATCACACAAATGCCATGCAGGAACTTCGGCAAGTGCTCTGTCACTGTGAGACGGATGGGTTTTCTAGTCACCCTGAGTATCGGGTCGAATTTCTTACCTGCGGAACCTTCTTAATCAGCTTCGAGGTATCCGCTCCGTCATATCCTTGTTCTCCTCTCACATGCTGACTTGTGAAGGTCTTCCAAGGGGGAACATCCAAGTGGGAACCACACTTGAATGCTCTTTTATCGGTCGTCAGTCAGTTTTCGCCAAGAGACTCGGCTTTTGAATTGGAAGGAGCGGAGACTGGAATGCAACGAATGATAAATGCTGCTATGAGGTTTCACATGGCACAACTTCTCTGGTTTGACCTTGTATCATGTGTGGCAACCGCTAAAGCCCCAAATCTGCCGTACCAAGAATGGCTCGGTCTCGATGATCTGGATGTTTCCTGCGTGATGGGTTGCCAGAACTGGGCTCTCTCAGCTCTCGGTGACGTTGCGTCGCTTGAGACACGACTTCAAGACATGGACAGGGCCGTTGCGACTCGAACAATATCGGATATTACGGATAGAATCTACCACGGCATTGAAGGGCTCAAGAACGATGGGAAAGAGGTTCGTGAATTTCTCTTGCCAATCATCGATGGGGAACTGACAAATATCAGCCTGAGGCTTTACTGGTATGCCACGCCGTGACTCGCGTCTACGCCACTGCCATTCTGGTCCAGATATGCGCTCTATCTACTAGCGATGAGAAATACAGTGAAGAGATTCATAGGTCAGTGGAAAGAGTTATTCAAGCCCTGCTGAAAGTACCAAAAGGGACCTCTTTACGAGGCATGACTTGGCCAATATGTGTGGCCGGCGCCGTGGCATCGCCAAGCCAACAACCATTTTTCAGAGACTTGCTGGAGGAAATACTTGAAAGGTCTGGTACTGGATTCACTAACTGTGGCACGGTGCTTCTTATTCTGAGAGAATGTTGGGAGTTGGGTGATGGCTCTAGTTGTAACAGAAATGCCGTCAGAAGCGCTATGGAACGGCTGGGCATTAGGGCTCTCCTAGTTTGAGGCTACGAAACTGGTTTCTAATGTGTAACAACAAGTTCTTGTTTGTTTGTGTGTTTTCTTATGAGAAGGCATATGAAGTAAGTTGGGCCTGAAGAATAATCAGGTCTTGTATATGACTGAATGCGACAGTCGTGCAGCTTGCATGCTAAAGCGGTGGAACGCAATACGGCAGTGAATAAGAGTAAAAGAAAGACAATTCGAATGCCATTTGCATTCAAAAAGCAATAAGACAACACAATCATTCAACCACTTGTGCTCATCACTGGTTGATTTCTACGATACTAGGCACACACTGCTGAACTCAATGTACTCAACACCAGCCCTGGAACGCCCCTGGCCGCCACCTGGTAATTTTACCGCCCCAAACCCATCATAAGCTGCAGATTTGGCTGGAACCTGTGTTTTGCAGGCCTTTTGTCTCAGTCGTCAAGTATTTGAACCTTCAAGGCCAATGCAGTGGGGTCTGAAGCCGTCTTGAAGGCTTTCTCCCCCTCCTCAAGAGTATAGCGATGAGTGACCAGCGGCTTCAGGTCAATAACCCCCTCAGAGACAAGGCCGATGGCTCGGGGATATATGTCACGGTATCTGAATTGAAATCGTAGGTCGATTTCTTTTCCAGCCATGTACATGAAGGGAATGGTCGCAAATCTTTCCCACAGCCGATGACGAAAACCATTCCACCAAAACGGCATGCCTATACACCCCAATTAGCAGTGAAGAGAGTATGAGATTCCATGGAGCACTCACGTAGATACCGGTGATGACACTTGATTCCACACCAGTGCATTCCAGGACCAATTTGGCTTCCTGACCCAAAGTCGTCTTGACATCTTCAGCAACCGCTTGCGCGTCCTTACCCGCGGTAACCAGTACGGTTCGCACTCTCGGAACTGCTTTCTTTGCAATCTGCAGTCTGCTCTCGTTGATGTCCGTGATGACAATTGGATTGGCACCGGCTGCGTTGGCCGCCATCAAGGTGACGATACCGATAGGCCCAGCACCGCAAATGACGACTGGATCACCCAGGCGAACGCCTGATCGTTCGATGCCAGTCAAAGCTACAGACAACGGCTCCAAAAGCGATCCTTCTTCAAAGGATATCGTATCTGGGATCTTGTGAAGCCAGTCTTCCGGGTGTGCGTGGTAGCGTGTCAGCGTTCCATGGTATGGTGGTGTTGAATAAAACACGACGTCGGGGCAAGCATTGTACTGTCCCGTACGGCAGAAGAAGCAAGACGGCTTTGAACACGGCACGCCGCATTCCATTGCGACTCTATCGCCCACCTGGAACTTGCTCGTGTTGGGTCCAACTGCGACGACAACTCCCGCGCTTTCGTGGCCAAGACCATTCTCTCCCGTGACGACCATCTCTCCGATGTGGCCTGCCTTCCAGAAGTGGACATCGGAGCCACAGATTCCTGTGGCGCGGACATGAACGAGACATTCTCCCTCGCCTGGAGTAGGAATTTCCGTTCGCTTCAGGTAAAGCTCATGGTCGGGGTTGGTGTAGACGGCAAGGTTCTCAGGCTTCCGACGAAGGACCTCAGCTTCGTTGGATTCAGCCATGGTATTGAAACGAATTCAAAGGTGAAGACCGTTGTAGGGTGTGGAAAACGTTGAGATTAAGGTCACAATAGAAGGAAAGATATGTGAGATCGAAACATTACAGGATGAGCGCAGTGATAAATCAGTCTTATTAATCCCAAGTCATGCCCTCGGAGAGGGGCCGTTCTCGTGCAGTCTCAAGGCGCTCTTGTGACACAAACCCGGGTCTTACCCCTCATACCCCCCCTCCTTCCTGTCAGAAAGCATTCAACCTCAACAACATGGCTGGATAAAAGTCATGAATGAGTGACGCCAGAATCTCGGTCAAATCGCCGTTACCCCACATTCGGCGCACGCCCTCGGCGGTTTCTCCGCGACTTATCGCCTCGGTGGTTTCCCCGCCCGCCTGCAGTGACTCCGCGCGGCCAAGATTGTGCCTTGGAAGAGCCGCCACATCTCTTGATCGCCTTTAAAATTCTTCCAGTTACAAACAGCAGAAGAAATTTGTTCATAGGGACCAAGCTAGCAATACGTTTCGCCCCCTGTTGACCTCTATGGTTATCCCATTCTCTCCTCTCGATACTATCTCCACATACAACCGTCTCACAACTTTGGACCATGTCTCTTCAAGGAAAGATTGCAATTGTGACTGGTGCAGCTCGAGGTATCGGTGCGGGAATCGTACGGGCCCTTGCCAAAGAGGGCGCGAAAGTATGTTCTCCCCCCCAGCATCCCTTCCTGCAACGGTGATCACCTTGGCAGGCTCTGGAGGAGTCTCACCCGGGACCCCTCCATGAAATAAGAAGTCCCATAGCTTACGTTCCTTGATACTCATAGGTTGCCTTCAACTATGTTTCCCAGTCATCTGAATCCGCGGCGCTTAGTCTGGTCGAGGAAGCGAAGAACCTCGGTTCTCGCGCGGTTTGTGTTCGAGTGGACATGGCGTCATTGGATGCTCCCAAGACCATTCTTGAGACAACTCTCAAGGAATTCCAGACCGACAAGATCGACATTCTGGTTAACAATGCTGGCCTGGGAGGAAATGCGCCGCTGGAAGAGGTAACAGTTGAGGACTACGACCGCTTGATGACAGTTAATGTCAGGGCGGTTCTCTTTATGACGCAGGCGGTCTTGCCGCACATCAATCGCGGCGGGCGCATCGTCAATCTTTCTTCGATATCTTCCCGAGGGGGATACTCCACGCAATCTGTGTACGCTGCTTCTAAAGCTGCAGTTGAAGGCCTCACTCGAGTTTGGGCCACAGAGCTGGGTCACAAGTACGGCGTGACTGTCAACTGCGTCAATCCTGGGCCTGTAGATACAGACATGTATCGCGCAGCAGGACCTGTGCATCTTGCCCGCATGGAAGAGCAGAACAAGAAAGTTCCTGCTGAGCCGCGATGCGGTACGGAGCAGGATGTCGCCGATATCGTTGTGTTTCTATGCGAGGAGCGGTCAAGATGGGTTACGGGAGACACTGTATGTGCCAACGGAGGCATGGTATATACTTGAAGTCGGAAAATTCATAGTCTTGTAGTCTTGTAGCGTAAAGCTATTGGAATCACGATTCACTGGGATTGACCAATATTCATGATTGTTGTTACTCAGGCAACGCATATTGCATTATCCTAAACAGACTTTTAAGACGTTAAACTTGTAGGACAAGCTTCGGTTGAAAGAAAGAGAAAACGAAGTGGCAAGCGAAGACATCACATGCATCTTACACATTTCCATGCTCGTTAGCTTGCCAGCGGCGGTACATCATCTCGTTTCATGCAACGCTCAGCACTAATTCAGCGATTTTGATGCCGTAAGACTCCACAAAAAACTCTTTCTTACTCGTTAACCTGACTTGGGGGTGATACCCCTCGTACGCCGCAACGCAACAACCGTCGGACATTTGAACGGTCTTTCCACTATTCAATACACTTCGAAGTCAGAACGAAGCCTATGACCGGGTTTTGATCGGGTAATTCAAATCCATATCATCGATTTGCCATGGATTCTCTTGCTCCTCAGACTCCAAGCACTCTGGCGCAACCTTCGCCGGGCCGCGTTGAAACCAAACCTAGAGAAGGCAGTCACAAAGCCTGTGATGTGTGCAAACGGCGTAAGGTCCGGTGCTCCGGCAATAACCCTTGCCAGCAATGCTCCAGAAGCAAAGCAGTATGCAGTTATTCCTCGACTCACGGCAAGATTGCTGCACTGGAGAGGTAGGTGAACCGGTTTGACCTCTAAATAGTAAATGGAATGGCCTTCGGGCCCCACGTATCTTTATCCAGAAAGTAATTGGCTGACATGGGCTCACGAGCAATTATTCTTAGGCGGCTACGACAGTCTGATAGGCGTATGCAGAATCTCGAAGCGGCTTGGAGTCGGTTTCTTCCGAACGTCAACTTGTCACACGCACTAGAAGCAACGGCAAACGAAGACATTGGCCATACACCGCAGTCGTCGTCGATAGCAACCAGTAGCAATGTTCCAGGAGGCAGCATTAGCCAAATACCAAGAAATCACAGTGTGGATGGCCACGAAGTGCTGACACCATCCCCGCCAGACCTTGAGTTCGACACCATCGAGGCCTTGGAGTGGGATGAGACTTTAGAGCAGAGCGTCCTTACTGATGGAATTGGTTCCTTGTCGCTCCAGTCCAGAGCATCTGGGTACATGGGGCCACAGTCAGGCAATGCACTGTTGCGCCATTTGCAATCGGTTGCTCATTTCCTCTCCGAAGGTGATTCTGAGCTCGATTTCTCCTATATTCCCGTCAACCTGGTCAGCACTTCAGACGTGGAGGCACGCATTCGATCCGCGGCATTCAGGAACCAGTGTCTAGATTGGTATTTTCGACATTTTCATAACGCATACCCACTCATCCACGAAGGCTTCTTCCGAGCACAGTTCATGGGCAAGTAAACTTCCGTATTTGAACAACTAGCTGACTCCAACTGACGCGTGGCCGGATCCTAATGTAGGCGCAATACCGAAACCCAAAGACGGCTCATGGCCGGTACTTTGCAACATGATTCTGGCTGTCGGGGCCTTTACAGGTCCTGAAAGCTCCAGTAAGGTTGATGTGCATTTCTTCAATCTAGCGCAATCAACATTGTCATTCAACCTGTTACAACGAGGGTCTATTCATCTTGTCCAGGCTTTTTTGCTCATGGCCAACTACATGCAAAAGCGTAACAAACCAAACAGCGGGTTCACCTTGCTTGGGATTGCGATGAACATGGCCTTAAGTCTAGGGTTACACAGAGAATTCTCTGACTTGTCCATAACCCCTTTCACCATGGAGATTCGTCGTCGCGTTTGGTGGACCTTATTCATATTCGATTCTGGAGCTCGTCTTACCTTCGGAAGATCTTCTTTGTCATTAGCGGGGGACAACGTCAACTTGCCGCTGAACTTAGACGACTCCGACCTTGCAGTGGACAACGAAAGCCTTCAGGAGTCTCGCGATCACCCTACCGTGGCTTCGTCCTTGATATGGCAGTGCAAGCTGGCCAGCATCAGCAATGAGGCCAACGCCAAGCTCTTGGAACGACGCCTGCCATCGAGGACGGACATGCTGGATTTGGACGACCGCATCCTTGGATGGCAGAACTCTCTGCCCGATTTCTTCAAAGAGGCACCATCAAATGACTATTCGTGGTTCGACATACCGCGCATGGTACTGCTTTGGCGTTCACAGCATCTTCGAATCGTGTTGACCCGGCCGTTTCTTCTCGATGCCCTGCAACAACGACAGGCTTTAGACACCAGCGATGTTAACGACTTGGTCGGTCGATGTATTTCGGCAGCTCAAGATTGCACGCAGTCTATCATTACCTTCTGCTCAACCCAGAGCAGCTGTCCTGGTGCTTTGGCCTGGTATGCAACCTATTGGCTCGTCACGTCCGTTTTTGTCAACGTGACGTGTCTTGTCTACGATCTTCATCACCCATCGGCTTTAACGTGGCGAGGTCAAATTGAGAAATCTCAAAAAACGTTGCAAACAATGTCAGTGGTAGAACCAATCGCGGGCCGGGCAGCTCTCATACTCTCGAGGATTATGGGTAGGTACAACACGATCTTATACGTTTAAGTCAAGGGTAATAACGTTTCCTACAGATCTTCTTCCTTGCAGTCCAAATTCAATGGCGGATCTTGCTGCGAATGATGCTGTGAGAATGGGTATAACTGATATATGGAGTGAGTCATGGCTTCATGTTGATTACCAAACGATCAACGACCTAGTGCAGGCTGCGCCGCCGGCAAATCTTCCCATGTAGCAGTGTAATGTAACAAGACACTCCGTGACGGAATTCAGCTCATTATGAATTGACGTAAACCATTGACACGTCTGGAAGACATGACCCAAAAACCACGCGACGAAGCTAGACCTGTCGTCTGCGTGCCCACCTCTCGAGTAAGAATGACTTGGAAGAAAGCAGAACTGTCAAGCAGAACTGTAATCCAAAGTATTGCAAACATAGTCTTACTATTATTCTTGTCTAAAGGATCTATGTATACTTGTCCCCCCCAAAGCCCCTGTGGAAAACGAATCGTCACGCTCTCTTAGGCGTCAAGCGTTTGACGGGGCTGAGCGCGGCGCATGGAGTGTTAGGCTTGCATTTAGCGTCTCGAGCCAGCTTCGACACTCTCCTCCATTTCGAAATGGTACAGCTGTGGCTCGGTGACGTTCTTCTGTCCCAAGAGATATCTTCTAAACCACCAAGGCAGGACCTCCTTCAACTGGTACGACGCATGTCGCCGAGTCGTGACGGAAAAGACGTCATCCAACTCTTCCAGTGACCGCTGCTTGGTCTCTGGCATGAATAGAAAGATCGCAATGAAGCAGATGATGTTTGCAACAGCGAAAAACGCGAATGAAGCTTGCGGTTTCAGGGCCTTGAGCATAGATGGCCAGGTGAGAGCCACAATGACAGCCCAGAAGTTGTTGGTGGCCACGGCCCAGGACATTCCGACTTCGCGGTGCGAGAGAGGGAAAACTTCTGCCGAGTAGACAAATGCACATGGTCCCTCTCCAGGACCATAGAAGGCGGCGAAGATGTATGTGAATGCAGCAATTACACCCAAGTGCGCTGGACTGGATTTGGGAATGTAGAAGGCCATGCCAGCAACTAGCAGTGTCCAAGCCATGTTGGGAAATGTTGCAAGGAGGAGTGACCTCCGACCCCAAGTGTCAATGGTCCACAATGCTGGGATGGCAAAGACGAACATTGCCATGCCGAATCCCCAAGAGGCTATCAGGGCAACTTTGCTGCTGGCACCTGCCTCCTCAAAAATCGTTGACGAGTAGAAGGACATAATGTTGACTAGGTGGTCACTGTTAGTACACTATAGAGATAACAGCCACTTTGGTAACAACTTACTACCGCAAAATTGCTGAGCTGCCATGATGATTCCAGATGCTTGGGTTGCACGACGGTTACGTGGGATACTGAAGAGTTCGTAGCATCTGGTGAAGAAGTTGCCCTTGTCAAATCCCTTGGATGCAATCAAGTTCCGCTCCTCTTCAAGCTGACAGTGAATGTAGTAAAGGTCGCGAGCCGCCAGAAGCGGGTGTCCCCGAAGCCTCAGGAGTGAACGATGAGCCTTGGCGTATCTCCCCTTCTTGAGCAGCCATCTAGGGGATTCAGGAGTGAAAAAGATGCCGAGCACCAGGGGAACAGCCGGAATCATGGCCGAACCAAGTTGGAGTCTCCAAGCGAGATCTCCAGTGCCGGCAACGGCAAGGTTGGCACTGAATCCCAGCATGATACCAAAAGCAACAAAAAGCTGCCATGACATTACCAGCGCGCCACGAATGTTGGCAGGGGCGTTTTCCGCCGAGAATACCGGCACTGTGACCTCCTTCAGTCCCATACCGACACCGAGAAGGATTCGACAGGCGAGAATCTGCTGCCAGCTCTGGCAAAAAGCCTGGCCAATGGGTGAAATGACGCCGAAACAGCCACCGAGGAAAATGGTTCCTCGTCGGCCGAGCAAGTCGTTGATAGGGTCGGATAACCAGCAAGAACTGCGGAGAATATTGATTAGTTCAGGCAACATCAAACTTGTCCGCGGGTGACCTTACAAGAGACAAATCGCCATGTAAGGGGCGCTGTTGATAGCACCGATGATCCATGCATTTCTCTCACAAGTACCATCAGCTAGACACGCTGGACCCTTGTCTGATATTCCAAACGCTTGGGGAAAGGAAAGATTGGCGCCGTTTGTACCAGTCTGGTCCCAGCCTTGGATGGCAGCGCCAATGGAGTTCATGACGATAGTGAAGTAAAGCGCGAAGGGATGTTTCCATCGATTCTCAGTCTCATATCGTAGTACGGACCGGTCGTCGGGTGTGAGTTCCACGATATCATCGTAGGCTCCCGGGTTCTGAGCAGCCAAAGCGCCCTTTCGGAAAAACTCGATGTCATCGCGCAAGCCGTTGCTCTCCGCGAATCGAGCAACGTTGTTCAACAGCCTGTCTTTGGGTATTCCGGTCAAAGGATTCTTGACTCTGCATTTTGGGTCATTGTTGGAGAGATTCATCGCGTTTCGTGAGGACATAGAAAACGCACTCTGCAGTCTCAACTTTTCCATGGTGCAGAGACTCATGATGGGTGACCTTGACACTGTCGAGGCCACCATTCGTGCCCGACCTAGAACATCCATACCCGTTAGAAATGATCACACGCCTCCATAATGGCATGATTAGTACTCACGTCTTGTCTTCTGAGGTTATGGCCATGGTGTTTCTCGATGGAAGTAATGAGTGACTGCTCTCTCCTGCTCCCTGAATACAGCTGGAGTGTAACATTCTGAGATCTTCGAGGGAAATCCGGGGACGGCCGGTTATTTGAGGCCCTTCAAGGTATCACAGCTAGTTCCTGGGGCCCCGCGGGGAAGAGGAGTGGCATCAATAGCTCGGTACTTACGCCGAAGAGGTTCCCAGGGTTTGAGCGCGCTGGCGTGAGGAGGGTATTCGAAAACATCCACAAGTGTGATAAGGTTTCAGATGGCTTTCTCGGCGTGGGCACCGAAGAAAAAACCCATGAAAACCCGCTGATCATCCGATGTCGTGCACACGTGGCTCGGGGATTTCGCCGGCGCGGGGTTCCCCATGAATCAAACATTGTAGGAAGTGACTCCTTTGCCTATCAGATCCAGACACAGACACGAGTCTAATTCAACCTGACACCTCCAAGCATCGTGTTTCTTGGTAAAAACGCATGTCGTGTATTCTGAGAAGGACCTGGAAACGTATTCTTGGTGGACCGAGATGGAGGGGAGTACCTAGAGATGAACCCCCTTGACCACACTCCACCTGAGAGAAACTTCCACCGGACATTTGGCGACTTACCAAAATAGGCATCAACCTTTTTACTGAACATGCACATACACCAATTTATCATTCTCTGCATGTATGGCTTGGAGAAAGGATTGGTTGAGGCCGCAATAACGTAAGTTGGTGTCGTGACGCCGGAAAGAGAACAGCTGTGGCATGGCTTGATCAGTCGTGTCTGCGAGGTTTCTAGGATAATCGGCTGTAAGAAAGTATAGGTAAAAGACCAGAACGTCACGAGATGGCTTGATTTTGCATCCCCCAATGAGGTAGCTCCGGTCCTTGACACATTCGACCTTTCACTACCAAACCTCATCCTTTGGGACCGTAATATTCCCTCTATGGTCCAACTTGATTCCCATGATAGCGGGTACAAACCGGTACAGAGTACGTTGGCTGTTGATGGAAAGAATTCCACACTTGAAAGTGTGCTGCTGACGCAACTTTCAAGTCAAGACCGTCTGCCCCCATTGCCTGGATTACGAAAGCAGGCATCCGTCGGGTTCCCGTGCGTTCAATATTTGTTGGGCCCATTACTCCTCAAAGCTTATCTGGACAAAGTTTTATTCTCGCATAATATGGAATGTTGAGTGTGTGCTCGTGGAGATATCGAAATAGAGCAGAAGCACAAGGGTAGCTGCATTGCATGGCGAGATATCGCAATTGTTGGGCCAATTACACACTGACAATTAGTAGAGCTATCTTTGGCGCTGGATGTTATGGCTTCAACCACATGAAGGTACAAGAAATTCAGACATGTCTATTGGTAAAACAAATGATCGGCTGGAATGAGAAATCCAACATGCCAGCGCGACGTAGGACCAAACGTACTCTGACATCGATCAACATGCCCTCGGCAACTTAGCTACTGTAAACCCTGGACAATGGAATCTGCAATCTTTTCTGCCAATGCATAAATCACTGCTTGTGGGTGTCCTGGTGGCAGTAGAGCCAGCGTACTTGCGTCCACAACGCGCAGCCCTTCAACACCAATAACCCTCGCCAAGTTGTCCGTAACGGCGGTGGGATCATCCCGCCGGCCCATCCGCGCGGTGCACGACGCATGCATAACTGCCATGACACTCGTTCGAATGTTAGCCAGGATTTGCTCGTCAGTCTTCAATTCGAGGCCTGGCCAGTACTCCGCGTCGCTAGCGCGGATGCTGCGAACTTCTTCTGTATTGAAGATTTCACGAATGCGCTTGTACATGGCCACTGCCACCTCAATATCTCCCGGATGTGTCAACCAGTTTGGATTAACGAGAGGTGCATCCGAAGGAAAATTGCTGGCAAGAGAAACGTTCCCACGAGACAAGGGAGCGGCCAACGCTGCGATGATTGCCGCGTACATCTTTCCATCCTTGGGCTGGTCAAGCCACGGAATATTGAAGGAACCGATGTGGCCAGCGGCTGGGAAGTACTCAATATGCGGCCAGTCTTCCGGAAAATTGAGAAGCTCATCCCACGTCGACTGACTGAGGTTCGCGCTGTTTGGCATCCGCTCCCATGCCAGGAACTCGGCCAAGTTGCTGGTCAGTGGACCGGTTTGCGTAAGACCGTAGTCAGCCACGGCTTCTGCAAGAACAACAGGATCCCCAAGGACCTTATTGAGAGTGTCAAATGTTACTTCGTAGGTTGGGCCGAACAAAGCATGGTCGCTCATATTCTGACCAACTCCTGGACGGTCGGCAATAACTTCGATGCCATGCTCGGACAGGTGTTTTGCGGGGCCAATGCCTGACAACATCAGTAGTTGCGGTGAGTGCAAAGCGCCGGCTGACAGGATGACCTCCTTGTTGGCAGTCAAAGTGTATTCTTGCAATCCCAAGCCAGCGACCTCAACACCAGTGGCCCTCTTGCTCTTGTTGAAAAGTACCTTGTTGGCCCTTGTGCCCAGGTAAACTGTAAGCTTTTCGCTGATGTTTGTGTTTCTAGCCGCGTACATGAAGTCGGCTGAAGTAGATCGGGTTTGAGTTTCGGGATCTATAGTTGTTTGAGCATAATGATAGCCATTCAGAACTCCCTGGTTGAAACGATCCGTCAATCTCATCCCGAGAGCTTCAAGACCCTTAGCTGCCCAAGTAGACCACACAGGGGTCCAATTGGGGTAGGTTACTTGAATGTGAGAACTTGAAGAAGGGTTGAAGTCGCTTTCAACATATGCCGTTGTTGCGTTTGCGAGACGCATCTCGGTATTCGGTGGAGTGAAGTTGAAACTCTTCTCGAAGTACGGCAGGAACTTGTCGAACGTGTAACTCTCGTCTCCAACGGCGTCAGCCCATGCGTCTAAGGCACCTCGGTTCGGTCGGTGATGGATCATGAAATTCAGCGCTGAGGTGCCACCAAGACATTTGCCTTGAGGATAGTGCATTTCGCGACCTCCTGCTCCAACTTGCGGGATAGTCTTGATGCCGTAGTCTACCGTTGGAATACTATCAGCGGGATTGGAGCCCACGCCTATGATGTCTCCCAGAGGTGCCGGGCCAACGATAGGTTTGCCAACCTCGTACGAAAGCCCGGCCTCGACAACGGCGACGGTGTTGCCGGCTTCGGCCAGACGGTACGCGACTGTGTTACCAGCTGTGCCGCCGCCAATTACGACGTAGTCGTAAGCTTGGCCAGCACCGATGGTTCCCGCGAGACTTCCCAGGGTTGTCTGAACAAGGCCATCTTGCGTTGTCCAGATGCTATTGGTAATGGGGTTGATGATGGAGTCGAGGAGTGGGAGCGCTCGTACTGCGGGAACAAGTAGTAACCCCAGCGGATGCATCTCAAGAATGATGAGTTGGTGGATATGAACAATGTTTGATAACCAATATTATCGCGGAATAAAAGGACTTGCCGGTGGAAATTGATGAGGGCGAACGAAGGTTTTAAACAGACTCATGGAGCCTGCATGTTCCCGTCGTTCGTATAACGTTGAGACATCATCGTCAATTTTCGTTTCTTTTACCATGACTGAGCGTTGATCTTTCCTATTCTTGGCCCCCATGCTTCTGCATGACACGATACACGAGGGTCATCACGGCTGCCCGACGGACACCGACATATCCGTAGAAAATTCTCGTGATCCTTCGTGCTCCATCAACCCATTGCCGAACATGGATTCCATCCTTGCCCCGCTATCTGTCCGCGTTTGGTAGAATTTCCATTCCAAACGCAGAATCCGCAGTCCCCTGTACCTCCGCTGTAACCCTATCATTCTGTGGAGGGAGAATGGGACACGCAAAGCCCGACAAGGATTGAAAATAAGGTGTTGTGGGTGTCTGGCGAATTAGCTCATGGGCTTTCAGCTTGTGGATGTGCGGGCTGGCGGATTCTGAGTTTAAAGACAAATGAGATGATGGCGATCGACATAAGGATAATTGGATTTCCGCAATAAGCTTGGGATTTCAGGGTATCTGGCGATGTGCTTTCCCTAAAAAGACCTGTCACTTTGCCGGCCGATCCTAAACGAGGGGTCGAAGCCATCCCGGTCCATGTGAGTTGGCAATCCAACTTCACACGTCGACATAGCAATGGCTTACTTAAATCTGGTGCCTGTCTCCAGAAAGCTGAACTGCATGTCATCTTCCTAGCGGTTGAGTCGACCATCTACCAAGACATCTTCAATCAACCGCTATCTTACGCTTGCAGCCATCAGCATGAGACTCAGCGTCGCATCTCTGCTCGCGACTTTCGCAGGGCTGTCCGTGGCCCAGTGGGACAACGAGTCGCCGGCCCCGATTCAGCTTGCGCCAGCGCCATGGACGCTCAAGGGCACCGTATATTCCGTCACTTTGGTACCACTGTCAAATGACCTGCCAACAAAGGCGTTCCCGCCTTTGGAACGACAATACGCCTCCGCCGTGGAAGGCGAGTATCTCGGTATTCTCGGCATGATTCAGATCATTCGATACACGGAGAGCCCTGTCGGTCCGTATGATGAACTGTTGATTGTACCTGGATTCTTCAAGTACAACCACACGGATGCCTCCGGCGTGACTGAGGAGAAGAAGAATGTGAGGGTCAGCAGGATCTACGTGAGCCAGAAATACACGTGCTGGAATGGAAGAACGAGTAGGTTTGCAGTGATCGATGTTTGTGGGATGGCGCAGACGGCTAACCGTTGATTTTCTGGATAGACTGGAACATCCCCAAGCACCTGGCTCGATTCGACTGGACGGAAAACGACAATGGCGAAACAACTGTCAAGGTTTATCCCTTTGATACAACCGGGGACTTGAGCGAGTCCACGCCCACAGAAAAGCCCTGGTTCAAGGCTACTTTCAAGCCAGACTTAGTCAACGGGCTGCCCTTCAGCACTGATCTGTACAAGATTCTGGGCGTCAACGCAACCTTGGCCCAGCCACCTCTGCCGTCTGCAAACAGCACGTACGATGAGCTGGCTGGAACCGATCACTGGGCAGCTACTGTACCGGGCCAAGTCACTGATAACGCATCTCTGGGTATCTTTGACTTGGACCAGGGAGATGGAGATGTGGAGGAAGGACAGAAGACGAACGCCGTGGGCGATGAGTACTTTCCCAACTTCTGGCCGGGACTGTTGCGTCTCAACGCCGGAATAAAGTTGGAGAATGCTACCATCACATTCAGCGAACCTGAGATCTGGTCCAACTAGAGATCTGGTCGATTACTCGTTCCAAGCGTCTTTCTCCATGGTTCGAACGTCCACTACAAATAGAAAGGCGAAAGACACAGATGTGACCTTTATTCCGTAGCTTTTACTGAAAGACATCACGGAACAAGTATTAATGAAACAGTTAAACTGCAATTCTCAAATCCCAGTTGTCCTGTTGAAGACCCGTCAACAGCTTTTTCTGCGCCTCGTCTAAAACTGACATATGAAGTCGACATTCCGTATTAAGTTCTGATTGCCAAATAATTAACTTTATTTCACTCTCTCCTCGAAAGCTATAGAAGCTAAGAATATATCGTATTGTTTGTCATTTAACTGGAGTCGTCTATCTAATTTATATGAAGTTCACATCCTGTTGGTTGGGAAAGTTGGTTGGGACAGGGCACAGACATAGTTCCTTCAAACGCATAGGTGTGCCAGTAGATCGTCGCAGAAGCGTAGTTTACCACAGAAGCTTCGGAAACCAGACTCCGAATTTTGAATCTATCGTGTTAATTGATGCTAGTCATGTAAAAGCCCTTCCAGAGATAAATGCTGGCGCCGTCGACGGCGTGCAAACCCCACGCTCCACAGACTAATTAAGATGCTTCCTGATTCGGATCATTAGGCGACGTGGCCAATGGAAATGGAGTCACAAGTGATAAGAGTGGGGCCGCGGAGGCGTGGCTTGGTGTCTTGTTCCACCTCTCATCCCAATGAACCCCATCCCTCGTGCATCTGTCGAAGAAGGGCGCGCAAAGTCAAGATTTTGTAATTCATGAATGTCAAAAAAGCCCTAAAACTTCTTTCTTAGTACATACCAAATTCTTACTTAAGACCTCGAGCGTCACTTCAACACTGCCCATGTTTGGTAGAGGTTCTCGAAACAACGTCTCCCACACTCAAATACCAACTCATCAGTCTCAATTCCTTATTGAATTCCTTACTGCCCTCTTTGAACTAGTCTCAATCTTTGAATCGACATCATGGTTCAAATCAAGCCTTTTGAGGTTGAGGAATGGATGGATCGTCTGGAAACCACGCCTGGCGCTCTCATCCTCGCCGAAACCTGTTGCGAATCCGTGTCGATCCAAGAACTTACCCAGTTGTCAAGCGACCCGAAAGCCCCCGGGCCATTTGATATCGCCACGCAAAGGCTTACATATGGATCTATCTACGGCTCAGAGGAGGCTCGGCAGAACATTGCCAACATGTACCAGAACGAGGTGTCGGGGACACTACCAAACGACCAGGTCATCATCACCCAGGGTGCCATTATGGCCAACTTCCTCCTCTTATATACCCTTGTTGGACCAGGAGATCATGTCATCTGCATTTATCCAACATATCAACAGCTCTACGACGTTCCAAAGAGTCTCGGAGCCGACGTGAGCTTGTGGAAGTTGAAGGCCGAAAACCAATACATCCCAGATGTCCAGGAGCTGAAGAGTCTTGTAAAAGACAACACAAAGGTACGACAATTAGTGATAAATGTTTTGAGTTTTGGACTGACATCAAATAGATGATCATCATCAACAACCCGAACAACCCCACCGGAGCCACAACTCCGAAGTCCGTTCTCCTCGACATCGTCGAATTCGCCAAGGAAAGAGACATAATAGTCATGGCGGATGAAGTGTATCGTCCCTTGTTTCACAGCCTTCCAGCCGGTGAATCCGCGCCACCATCCATACTTTCTCTGGGATACGAAAAGACGGTTTCGACTTCCAGCATGTCGAAAGCATTCTCTTTGGCCGGAATCCGCCTGGGTTGGATTGCTTCCAGAGACCGCAGCATCATCGACGCCATCAAGAGTGCCCGCAACTACACCACCATCAGCGTCTCTCAACTTGACGACAGGGTAGCGGCGTACGCCCTTTCCGATGCTGTCAGACCGAACCTGCTGAAGAGAAACATGGACCTTGCGAGAACCAACCTGGCCCTCGTCGAAGAGTTCATCAACAAGTACCCGGAAAACTGCTTTTGGGTTCTCAAGCCCACTGCGGGAACCACGGCCATGATCGGGTTCAAGAAGAACGGCAAGCTGGTGAAGGACGACGAGTTCTGTCTGGAGATCTTGAACAATACAGGTGTTCTTGTGATGCCTGGCTCAACTTGCTTCGGAGACGGCGTGGAGTTTGAAGGCCAAATGAGATTTGGATACGTGTGTCGTACGGACTTGCTGAAGGAGGGTTTGGACAGACTCGGCAAGTACATTGAGAACAGCTTTTGACTGGTAAAATGGAGGACAAAAGGCGATAATATCGTAGAGGCTTGATTGACTTGAATGCTTGCGCTGAACTAAGAAATTGAAGAAACCTCGCTGCATAAAACCCGATAAATTCTCCATGTCGTGTACCATCTCATGTACCTTCCAGGAGAGCTTTCAAGATACGAATAGCCTCGGCATCAAAGGCCCTGATCTGACGCCTTAGCTCAAGGCCGTTCACTTCTTGCAGGCCTGCCACTTGATGTTGATCTGCTGGGTGAAGGCGACGGTAGCATCGTCGTCGGTAACAGAGCCGTAGGCCTGAGCATTCTTAGAAGTAAGCGCGATGCGGTTGTTGATGTTCAGAATTCCAGTTGCACCACAAGGAGCCCAGATGAGTGAAGCGGTCGGGATGCTGTCCTGCTTGGTGTAAACCTGACCATCGAGCCAAATGCCGCCACCGGTGATGGATGTCTGTGTAGTGGTGGTCGACGAGGCATCCTGGGAGAAGAAATAGGTCGAGAAGAAAGTCCCAGTGACGCCTTCATCGAGCTGGGCGTAGCCGTGGTAGGTGCTCTCGACGACGGCGAACTGGAAGCCACCTGGGTACTTGAGGCTCAGGTGAAGGGCGCAGTTCTTGCTGCGCTCGGCGATGGGAAGGCCTGGGCCGATGTAAGTCTGGAATCTGTCGAAGCCGAAGGTGATGACTGTGCGGTCCGGGGAGATTGTGGTTGAGACGGAGCCCTGTGGGCAGCCGCTCCCAGAGAAGCTGGCGTTTACAATTTGGATCTCTTTGGGGTCTGGGAAGTCGGACATCCCCGTAGGTCCGAGAGGAGTGGCCACGGCAAGAACCGGGAGGAGGAAAGCGAGAAGATTCCTCATCGTGTGTTATTGGATTAGGCGATGCGAGAACTAAAGACTGAGATGTTGTGTTTCGAGGGCTGATGATCTGATCAGAAGCTTCTCGATCTCGGCGATCCAAGGTGGCTTTATATCTAAAAGTATTGAACGTCCATAACCAACAGCAAGAGTATCTGATTCAAATCTGAGTCACCTGCTTGTTGGCCATAGGTTTGTGATCTAACCAGATTCTTGGCTTGTCAAACCCCTGATGATCCGGTACAAGAAGGGAAAGGCTCATACTGCGGCTTGAGATCAATGCCATCGGTCAATTCTGCAATTCGTCAAAATGGCTCACACGACGGAGCATCTCAACTGCAGGATGGTGTTGCCAGGGCATTGGGGCCGTCAGTTTCAGCTGCTTTCTTGGCTGAAGCTGACCGGCTCGTACTCTACCAGTCGGCGGTTGAAAGCACATAGATGAATGCATATTAACCCAAACGCCTCAACAGAAGTTGAAAGGTCACAAGGCCTCGTTCCTTCTACCATGTTTCTACCTTTCTGGTCCATGGTCTTGGCACAGGACTTATCTATAGAAGAAGAAGTGCTCTACAATACCATGCTAACGGAGCCTTGTACCATGGCAGACAACTTTAAGGTAATCCTTAGAGACAAACACGTAGTCTCTCGGAGACATTTACGTTGAGCAAACTGACACCATCAAATCTTCTAGTCTTTTTCATAAAGCCCACCGCACGGCTCAAAAGGTAGCATATCTTCAACATTTGTGCTTGAAGTAGTCCTTTTTCAGCTCATCAGGAGCAAGTTTGAAATTGGGCTGCTGAGCTCGGCGTCAAACCATCCCGAAGACTGAACCGGAAATAGCAGTATTGTGACTAATCGGAAGAATCAAATTAAATTAATGTAGCTCTATGAAGAATGCTCTAAAGCAGGCCGCTTCAAATCGGTTGTATTTAAAGGGCACATAAAACCTCCTAGGCGAAGCTCAAAGGTACCTCACGGTGTGGTCGGAATCACGATACTCTTTGTCGAACAAGTCACCGTATATTGCTGAACCAAACTCCTTAAAAACCCTTACCTTAAGCAGAGGGACCCTGATTATCCGGAGCGTTCCGAAGATTCTGTTGTAGAGTCCTGACGTGCTCGGGTAAATCCCATGACCATCACAGGCTGAGTCTTGATGCATGGCGTATTTTTTCTATTTCGTATCCGTGTGGACCCAACAATGTCTTAAGCGCTAAGTTTGGGTACAAGTCATAAATGTAAAGCATGTTTAGATGAACAAATACGAAGAGATTAGACAGTGTTGATCTGCTCGAAATGGTTGGCAGTTGGCTATTTATCCTGGAGGCTAACCTGGGTTCACCGGCTGAATTACATAGCTTCTGCGAGAGATGCCTATCCGTCTCCGGAAGCTTTGATCCGAGCAAACGGTACAATTCAGAAGCAACTTCGACTTATTCTCGTGAGTGACATGCGCGCAATATCAACCCATCTCTTAGTCACAGCCTCGGACCGTGATGGCGAGATCTAGACAACGCCCCCGCATCAGCTTCGTCAAGCGAGACCAAAGAGAGGTGGTGGAGGACGCGGTAGATTACCCTGAGCATGGAGACTTTGTACGCAGCCCGAGAGGCAATAATTTGAAATGCGGACGCCCTAAGCAATAAAGCATCTGGCCACGAGGGAATTTTGACGCGAATGCGACCTCGCCAGCGTGCTGCCGCTGGGCTTACTCTACGCCCAAGACCATGGCTGACATGAGAACGGCCGATCTCGTGTATTGGTTTGGTGGTGGGTGGACGGGTAGAAGCTCAAGGATGTGTTAGGTAAAACGTATTGAAAACTTGCAGTAAACTAGTTTAACTCCGGCTATATCTAGACGACATGACTTGACGTGAATCATTTTAGTGGAAACTTTTCCGACCCCTCATCTTTATTCTCAGTGCTTCCCATTTACGAACTCTCAGCCTGCTTGAGGAGACCCTCCAAGTTGATGCTCTTGGGGCGCTCGATAGGCAGACCAAGGGCACGATCCCAGATGAGCTGGGCCAGAGGCCCCAAGCCACGGGAGACACCGAAAGTGGCGGTGTAGTACAGAGTCTCGTGGAAACCATAGTGGTGGAAGAGAACGCCTGAGCTGGAGTCGACGTTGGGGTAGGGGTTCTTGGTCTTGCCGTGCTCCTTGAGAACCTCGGGGGCGATGCGGCTGTTCTTCTCGACCAGCTGGAAGACGGGGTCTTGAGCGATCTCGGGGCGCGCAGCGGCGTAATCCATCAGGGCCTCGAAGCGAGGATCGGGCTTGCGGAGGACGGCGTGGCCGTAACCGGGGACGACTCTGCCCGACTTGAGGGTGGACCACAGATAGTCGGTGACATCCTTGTCGGAATAGGACTTGGGAATGTTGTCCTTCATCTGGAGAATCCAGCGGAGAACCTCCTGTGCGGCGAGTCTGTTGATTTGTTAGCGTCGTGGTTCACCAATGGTTTTGAAATCAGTGACAGTTTGCTTGTTCAAACTCACCCGTGAAGAGGTCCAGCGAGACCTTGCAGACCGGCACTGTAGCTAAGGAAGACATCGCTCAAGGCGCTGCCAACCAAGTGGGTGGCATGGGCCGAGACGTTGCCTCCCTCGTGGTCACCGTGGAGAGCGAGATAGAGTCTCAGCAGATCCTGGAAGTTCTCGTTCTTCTTGCCACCCTTTCCGAGCATTGCAGCAAAGTTGTAGGACCAATCTTGCTCGAGGTCAACTTCGGCAGGGAGAGCGCCACCGCCGCGGTACGAGTTCTGGTAGATCTTGGCGGCGATGGTCGGAAGCTTGGCCAGCAGCGAGATGGCGTCGTCGAATGTAGGCTCCCAGTAGTCGGCCTTGTTGAGACCCTGCTCGTAGGCCTTTGCGAACTTGGAAGTGTAGTTGAGGGCGGAGACGGCGATGGCAAACTGCGTCATGGGGTGCAAGTCCTTGGGGAAGTCGTCGAGCATTTTGTTGACGAAGGCGGGCAGCTGAGCCTGCTCGGCCAGCTCGCGGGAGAACTTGCGGACCTGGTTTGTGGAAGGGACCTGGCCGGTGAGGAGCAGCCAGAACATGGCCTCGGGCAGCATCTCGGTGCCAGTCTTGCCCTTGGGAAGCTCCTTTTGACAGTCCTTGATGGTCCTGCCGTGGAAGCGAATACCCTCGTTCGCGTCAAGGACAGAACCCTCCCAGACCATTGCTTTGAGGCCGCGCATGCCGCCGAGGGTGTTCTCAACCTTGACCTCGCCAATGACCTTGGAAGAGTGTGCCTTGACCTTCTTCAAGAGCTCCCGCTTAGCCGGGATAGCTTGCTTGAGTGTGGTCTTCAGGTCTGGCTCGGACGAGGAGGAGTACTGGCGGGCATTGAGAGCGGAGCGAGCTGCCAGGGGCTTGTAAGGGTTAGCTGCGAAGATTCCTCAGTCACCTTGGGCTTGGAGAGTGGTTATACACGTACCCGCAGAGCTCCCAGAGCCCTGGTGCTTCGTGTGACGTTCATCGCCATTGTACGGCCGACCGGAGAAGGTCAAGGGAGGAAGATGTTCGGTGAAGGAGGGGTAAATAATGGCGGGGAAGATGGATAAGCTAGACTTGCGTGTCTAAGGAGCTTGATTCAATACTATCAGACCTGCTGGCTTGAGCTGGCTAGGTCAATGATGGAGATAAGGTGTTCGGTAAAGGTAAAACCTGTGAGAAGAAGCTGGAAAGCTGGGAGAAAACAAGACGAGAAAGGCAATGGAAGACGCCCAAGAGCTTTCCTGCGGCATACCTAAGCAGCCAACCTACTTTAGGCCGAGACAGACGGATCTTAACCCGAGGTTGGAGGAGCCTGGGCCATGAGCACTGACGCCGCCGATGGCCCAGCTTAAGCCCGGCCTCAACTTGATATTAGGTGAGACGGGGTACTTCTCACAAGATGAAAACATTATGCAAACACAGCCGGAATAGCAGCAAGCAGCAAGTACCTGTGCAGACTCGCCCTGCCGTTATTGCCAGACGAGGACACTGGATGGTCTCAGTGGGGATATGGGGGCGGGACCCCAGCTTTCCCCTCCACGATTAGCGGGCAAGAGACCGCGGGCAGTGCGGGTTGACCTCACTGAGGAGCCCGGTGCTCACTATCCGTGCTCTCTGATTGGCAGCGGAAGGCGGATGTCCCATATCGACTCCCCTGTAGCAAATTGTCATTCACCCCCTTGTGCTGAGGGGAAAAGACAGCCCGCGCAGCGCTGGAGGTGGACCGAGGCAAGCCGAAAGCACTCGACGGACGAACGGTCATGTCAATTGGCCAATAGCTCCTTCTCTTTCACGTGGGCTATTGCCGCTGCTTACCAAGGCTCAAACCTCGCTTTAGCCCGGCTAAGTCGATTGTCTCTCCAATTAAGCTATTTTACGTATTTTCCACGTTATTCCCATTCTAACGGCCAGGGAATAGAGACCTTCTTGCTCTCTTATGTAAGTCTCATGTTTCGATCTCCGAAGCGGTGCCGCTCGGAGTTGTCTTCTGCAAGGACTGCGCTTGCGGCGATACGACGCTGACTGTATGGTGGCCCAAGATATTATTACCCAGTTAGATACCCATTTCGACGCCGAGTTTCCTACCCAAGTCGTCAATAACCTCTCAAATCTTGGTTTCCACCCAAACCACATCAATCTCGACCACCATGTTGCGAAGAGCCGCAGCACGAGCAGTCTCTCGAAGGACTCCCCTCCTCAGACCGACGTCGTCGACCCCAGCCATTGCCGTGCGCTGCATGTCAACATCCCGCATGATGGCTCAGGCCCCCGCGAATCCTTTCTCTACCGCCCCTCCCAGCGATGCTTTCCAACTACTGCCCGAGTCCCAGAAAGCCGGAGCCGCCGAAGACGAGCTGTACGAGGCCCAGCTCAAGGAAGTCGAGACATGGTGGCAGTCTCCTAGATACGAGGGCATCAAGCGCCCCTACAGTGCTGCCGATGTCGTCTCCAAGCGCGGATCGCAGCAGCAGACCTACCCTAGCTCCGTCATGGCGAGGAAGCTCTTCAACCTGGTCAAGGAGCGCATAGCCGAGGGAAAGCCCATCCATACAAGTAAGAACCTCCAGGATCGGCCATGATGTCACACCGAGATGCTAATCACTCGCTGTCAGTGGGCGCCATCGACCCCGTCCAGATGACTCAACAAGCACCACACCAAGAGGTCCTCTACATCTCCGGCTGGGCTTGCTCCTCCCTCCTCACATCCACCAACGAGGTCTCCCCCGACTTCGGCGACTACCCCTACAATACCGTACCGAACCAAGTCCAGCGTCTCGCCAAGGCGCAGTCGATGCACGATCGTAAACAATGGGATAACCGCCGAAAGCTGACGCCGGAGCAACGCGCAAAGACGCCCTACACCGACTACCTGCGACCCATCGTCGCGGACGGCGACACGGGACACGGCGGTCTCTCCGCCGTTCTTAAGCTCGCCAAGCTGTTTGCGGAAAACGGTGCCGCGGCTGTACACTTCGAGGACCAGCTCCACGGCGGCAAGAAGTGCGGCCACTTGGCTGGCAAAGTTCTCGTTCCCACCGGCGAACACATCAACCGTCTCAACGCAGCCCGTTTCCAATGGGATGTTATGGGCTGTGAGAACCTTGTGCTCGCCCGGACGGACTCGGAGAGCGGGAAGCTGATCAGCAGCGCCATCGATGTGCGCGACCACGAGTTCATCCTCGGAGTAGCAGACCCGAGCCTCGAGCCCCTTGCCGAGACCATCCAGGCCATGGAGGCCAAGGGCGCGGCGGGCGCCGAGATCGATGCGTTCGAAGCCAACTGGGTGAAGGGCACCAAGCTCGTGACCTTTGACGAAGCGGCGGTCGAGCACATGAAGAAGGAGGGCGTCTCTCAGGACAAGATCGATTCGTACCTCGAGACCGTTCGCGCCCAGCGCGACCTCGGCATCACGCAGCGCCGCAAGCTCGCGAATCAGCACACCAAGACCCCCGTCTTCTTTTCCTGGGACATCCCCCGCACCCGCGAGGGCTTCTACCACTTCCGCGCCGGCATGGAGGCGGCGACGAAGCGCGCCATCGCCTTTGGTCCCTACGCCGACCTCCTGTGGGTTGAGACGGGCGACCCGAACGTCGAGGTCGCGACGAAGCTGGCCAGGGCCGTCCGCGAGGTGTTGCCGGGCAAGGGGCTGGTCTACAACCTCAGCCCGTCGTTCAACTGGATGGCGCACGGGTTCACGGACGAGACGCTGAAGAGCTTCATCTGGGACATCGCCAAGGAGGGCTTCGTGCTGCAGCTCATTTCCCTTGCCGGTCTGCACTCCAACGCGACCATCACAAACGAGCTTGCGCGGGAGTTCAAGACGGACGGCATGTTGGCGTACGTCAATTTGGTGCAGAGGCGCGAGAAGGAGGGCGGCTGCGACGTCTTGACGCACCAGAAGTGGAGCGGCGCGAGCTACATCGACGGCATTCTTGGAGCTATCCAAAGTGGCAGCTCGAGCAGCAAGAGCATGGGCGAGGGCAATACCGAGAGCCAGTTCCACTGAGCCGAGAGCAGTGACGACAAAAGAAGCATTGGGCGGCGTTGAGGATCTTTCTAGCCACATGAAATGAGTGAATCAAATCAATTGAATACTATCAACCATGTCCTATGCTCGCGACCCGCGATGCATCATCATAATGCTGACAAACCCCATGAACGGCAAATCATGTCAATTGTCTATTCACAAAACTTCATCATCATAACCATCACCGGTATGCCCCCAGCTCTTTACCAAGCGCCCCGAACTCCAGTGCCTTGCGTGTGTGTTTATATGTGTTATTCGAAAATCGGACAGACCAGCCAGCGCATCCTCTGCATTTACTCGAGGCTGGTGCGGCTGGCGTTGTTGACGGGGGCGGCCGGCGCGGAGCCCTCGGGGGTGACGTAGGCCTTGGTCATGCCGCCGTCGACGACCATGTCGTGGCCGTTGACGAAGCTCGCCTCGTCGGAAGCGAGGAAGAGAACGGCCTGGGCCTGCTCGATGGCCTCGCCGAAGCGGCCGGTGGGGAAGTGGACCTCGCGGCGCAGGCGCTTGGGGACGTCGTCGCCGAGCCAGTCCTGGAGGAGAGGAGTGTTGAGGGGCGCGGGGCACAGCGAGTTGAAGCGGTAGCCCTCGCGGGCGTGGACCATGGCGAGCTCGCGGGTGAGGGCCAGGACGGCGCCCTTGGAGGCGGTGTAGGCGAGCTGAGGGGTGGCGGCGCCGACGAGGGCGACGACGGAGGCGGTGTTGATGATGGAGCCCTTGGTCTTGCCGGCGCGGCGGAGGGCGAGCACGGCGTGCTTGCTGCCGAACCAGACACCCTTGACGTTGATGTTCTGGGTCAGGTCCCAGATCTCCTCGGGGGTGTTGACGGCGTCGTCGTCGCGGGCGTGCATGATGCCGGCGTTGTTGAACATGACATCAACGCCGCCCCAGGGGTCGACCGACTCGACGAGGGCCTTGATCTGCTCCTCCTTGGAGACATCGCAGAGCTGTTTTGGTGCGTCAAGTCAGCCCATGTTGCCGTTGATGTGTGTACTCGTACGGATGCATCTTCGCCTCTAGCTAGAAATGTCGCGATGTTTCGTGTGGAGGTGAGGGAGGGTGGCACAAGGCGTAAATGACGGATTGGCAATGATGGGATGGCGGGGCAATGGCGGGGTAATTTGTTGCGAAAATGCGAGACACCTCAGATTATTTTTTTTTTCTCTGGGCGCTGCCTGGTGGTGCAGGTGTGCAGGTGTGCAACGTGTTTGTGGTTGACTCGGCGGTTTATCGGAGGGGCGGGAATGGAATCTTCCAACGCATCTCATTCGCACTGGCGGACGTGCTTCGTTGGCGGACGTACCTTTGTGTCGACCTTTGCCGACGGAACGAGCTGGAGAACCTTGGCCTTGGCCTTGTCCAACGCGGGAGCAGAGATGTCGGCCATCATGACGCTGGCGCCCTCCTTTGCGAAAAGAATGCTCGTCTCGAGGCCAATGCCGCTGTCGGGAAGAAAAGAAACGGTCAGCTTATCTTGTCTTCGTATTTGTTTGGTGCGTGTGCGTGCGTCGTCGGCGCTTGCGCGCTGCCGTGTTGTCTATCTCTTCAACGCCCAGCCATTGGGGTCGTCTGGATGCGCCGCCCGAGATAAGGCGAAATCGAAAGCTGGGAGGGCGGTTTTGGCTTACCCGGCAGCACCGGTGACGATGGCATTCTTGCCAGCCAGTCTTCCGCGGATCTCGGCAGGAATGGAACCCATTGTGCTGGTGATTTGAAGAGGTGTTTGGTTGTGATGTTGAATCGAGAGTGTCGACTGCGGTATGTGGCGGACGGACGAGTTGGGGTCGCGGAGGCGAAAGGAGAAGGAGAAGCGTCTGGGTATAAGGTGTCTGAGGAAGGGACAAGATGAGAAGAGGAAGAAGATTTGGAAAAAGCCACGAGAACAAGAGCTGTGTTTAAACCACCTCAGACCAGGACGGGGTTGGATTAGTAGAATGGAGCCGTGTAAGGGGAGACGGAGACGAACAACGGAGAAGCGGTCGTCAGGTATGGCAAGGCAAGGTAGGTAAGGTAGCAGATGAGTCAAGAAAATCCGGGGTCCAGGCCCCTTTCTCCCGCCCCGGCTACCTTCATGGCTTACGATAGTCGGATAGATGATACCTACCGTCTACCGTCTACCCTCCTTCTTCCACGCCTTAGCTCCTGGCTTGACCGAGAGATAGACACAGAGATATACACGGAGTAGGCACTGGATACATCTTACAAGGGAAGGCGATGGCGAAGGCGCGTGCGAGAACGGACGCGGATACATGTCGAGATACCCATCAGCCTGCCTCTTCCTGATCCTGCCAAGTACCGTATATCAAAAGTAGTTTGCGATTAGCCTACCAAGGTGTTGATCTGGATGTAGATACCTGGACGGGAGTACAGTTGTCCTAGCAGGACGGTGACGACTTGGTTGATCTGTAGATCCGACAACGGCACGGCATCACCAAGGTCTGGGGTCAAGGCCATGAACTCGAGCTCAACGTCGACATCAACTTGCATGGTGTCCTATCGTGTGCATGGGTACTATACACGATTCGTCGGTGAAGCGCAAACAGCATTGTACTGGACCGCGAGAATGAAGACGAGAAGGTGTCAACGGCCGCAACTCCGATATCGCGTTATCTCTTATCAGCGGGACCCGGTTGGTCAGTTCAGTGTCCCGCCAGGACCGCGCTGGCCCTGGACCGCGCACCGCGGCATGACGGCAATCCAAGGCCAGGACTCAGGAACCAACCCCTCCGTCACTGATAGAGGGGGAGGGGGGAGGGGCAGCCGGGTCATGCTCCTGGGAGGGTGGAACACAGTGAGCGCCGATGGAGTGGGTGGTGGAGGATGAGTGAGGGCGCAGCAAAGGTAATCAATCCGCGATGTTGATGTGTTGACGAGACCTTAGTGTGAAGTTCCCCGGACTTTGTTTTGAAGTCTTATCAGTTGGAGTTGATGTCCGATTTGGAAACAAAGGACCAAAAGACAAGACCCTAGGTGCATCCGATTGTGCATCTCGGAATCGAGCTAAGGGTGCGCCAGACCAATGGCAGCAAGGGAGCAAGTCTTGGAGCAGAAGCAGAAATGCCCCGATAAAAAGGCACAGACGTCTTTCGGAATGATCAGACACGTCGCCACTGGCAGAATGCACGGCGTAGGTACTCTGTGCGATTAGCAGGAGGCGAGGCGAGGCGAGGTGAAGCGACACCCGCGACTGCAAGTGTCAGTGAGGGGAGGCGGTCTGGTCGAGCCCCTCCACACTCGCAGTCTCCTCCCTTGTAGGTCGTCATGTGAGATGCTTGGCTGCCAACGGGGAATGACAAACGTCCATGTGGTGTATTGACTCCGAACGGGCCGCAGAATCTATTACGATTCGCAAATACACGATTCGTGGATCGTGGATACGTCGTGCAAAGTGTAAAAGCGCGGTCTCGTTTCCGAATGCCGGGAGCGCGATAAAATGCCACGATGCGATGCGCAACCGCGATTGATGTCCTGGTGATGCGGTCGGCGGTGAGCTTTTGCGTAATAGAAATCAAGACGAGCATCGTGATATGCTGACTTGAGTAACGCTGTCCCTGTTGGTGGCACAGTGTCTTGGGAATCGCTTTCCTGTACAGTATCAAATCAGTCTTGGACCAGCGAAGGGAAAAAAGGGCCTTCCAGCAAGGTCACATCGCCATCTTGTTGGTCGTCGGCATCTACCCTAGAGACGGGATCTGGATGGTATCGGCTGAGTGTCGGGAATGTTCCTTCACCATCGAGATAGTGGCTCCATCGTGCGCGGCGTTTCATTTGGGATGATGAGGGGCGCAAGGCGAGCGAGCTGAATGCCCTCCCTTCCTTGGCTTGATCGTGTGAGCTGCGCTGCTATCGACTGGCGTAGATGCAATTCTGAAGCTGGTGACCCCAAAAAGATTTTCGAGGAGGAATTGCAAATTTCTCAGCCACGATAACGGCAATAGAAATGGCAGTCGCAGTCGAGCAAGTGTTCCTTCACATCTTTCTTTCCAGGTTCTTCGCTCCTTCTGCTGCTGTGTTTCGTCGCTATTGGAAACCACGACTCGACTCGACTCGACTCGACCCGACTCTGAAGGAAGGTGGGGGAGATACGTACCCACGTTCATGGTCTGTGCTTCGGTGCTGCTCCTGCCGTCGATGACGCATGTTTCCTTCTGTTTTTAGCGCGCTGCTTCCCTCTCGAGTCTCAACTTGACATCGCGGTTGCCATTTTGCGCCGGAAAGCAGCAAGCATTCCCCGCTTCAAGCCGATCTGGAGTGGAAGGCGCGGCTTCAGCTGTCCCAGTGACCACTTTCCGTTGCTGGCATTCCAAGTGTCAACACCTCAACCAAAGATGCATGACAACAACCGCCAGAAAGCTTGACGGGCTGGTCGCAGATGGCGCGCTGTCTTGAGGCCCCGGCCCGATGTCATGCTTCTCCAACGTCACTATCGCAACCTCTCATCATTGGCTGTCGCATTCTCTTATCGGCCAAGCATCCACTCCTGCTGCTGCACAGCACCCTCTTCCAGCGCACCTCGGTGCACGCACGCGGCACGGGGGACCTTGGAATCTGGCAAACAACCCCAGCTTCCAGCTTCCAGGTTCCCGCTTACAGCCTACGGACCGCGCCAGGCCTTCACTTCCAGTCCAGTCTCGTCTCCAACCATCAGGCCCCACGATCCGTCCGGTTCGGCCTCGTGTCCTATCCTGCCTCGTTGTCCAAGGAATAAGGTCGTCTTTCTCGCGCCTCTCACTGTCTGTTCATCCGCCTCTCTTCCATCTTGCCATCTTCACCTCACATCCTCCTCAAAATACTCGCCTTCACCAGTTAGTCGCGCATCACAGAGAGGCAAAGACGGGAGACCTCGCGCTACACTGTACCTTGCCTACCTCCCTCAATACCCCGCTGGATCTACAGAAACCCCAAGGCCAAGGAGCACTTCGTCCCAACCCAACGTCGTCATCCAAAGTCAATTGACAGCTCCAACCCTCCTCCTCCTCCTCCTCCTCACTGTACAGCTGCCGCCATGTCTCCTCAAGATACCGTCACAGTCGAGTCGCTCCCGGAGCTTCTCAAGAATGACAACAAGGTCAAGCTCGCCGGCATCGATGTCGACGGCATGCTCCGCGGCAAGCTTGTCTCCAAGAACAAATTCCTGTCCATCGCAAAGTCCGGCTTTGGCTTCTGCTCCGTCATCTTTGGCTGGGACATGCACGACATGACCTACATCAAGGAGCTCAAGATCAGCAACGCAGAGAACGGCTACCACGACCTCATCGCCATTCCCGACCTCTCTAGCTTCCGTCGCATTCCCTGGGAGGACAACGTGCCCTTCTTCCTCGTCGACTTCCACGACCCAGACACCGAGAAGCCCATCTGCGCGTGCCCTCGCGGCCTGCTGAAGACAGCCCTCGAGAAGCTGCAGGCCAAGGGCTACGGTGCCATGGCAGGAGGTAAGCACACACTGCCCGCGCGAAGCTCACTCACTCGGAAGCCGGAATCGAAGCTGACCGGCACTTGCGTTTTGTAGCCGAATACGAGTTCTACCAGTTCAAGACACCTGCGCGCTCCTCCGAAACCTCAAGTTCAACGGCCGGATATCTCCAGGAAAACCCTCCTCAGGCTCTGCCTTCCCTCACCGAAGGCATGTTCGGATACAGCTTGACGAGGACGGTCCACAACAAGGACTACTTCTATGACGTCTTCGAGACTTGCGCTCAGTTCAAGTGTGATATCGAGGGATGGCATACCGAGAGTGGCCCCGGTGTCTTCGAGGCAGCCCTCGAGTTTGGCGAGATTCAGCAAATGGCCGACAGAGCCAGTCTGTTCAAGTAGGTTCCCCCAGGAACAAGAATTTGCTCGTGGTTGAAGCGGGCTGACAGTGTGCTATCGCAGGTATGTCGTAAAGTCTGTCGCGACCAAGTATGGCATCACCCCGTGCTTCATGGCCAAGCCAAAGCAAGGCTTGCCTGGAAACAGTGGCCACATGCATGTCTCGATTGTCGACAAGGAAGGCAAGAACCTCTTTGCGAGGGAAACCGTCGACGAGAACCCCCCATATCCCGACGTCGCCGCGCTCTCCGATCTGGGTCGTCACTTCTTGGCTGGATTGTTGGAGGGCCTGCCAGACATCATGCCACTCCTGGCTCCCACGATCAACTCGTACAAGCGGCTGGTAGAGAACTTTTGGGCACCGGTGACAGTCTCCTGGGGATTGGAACACCGAGCTGCCTCAATCCGTCTCATCGCGCCCCCGACGTCCAAGCCTGGAGCCACTCGCTTCGAGGTGCGTGTTCCTGGAGCCGATACCAACCCTCACTTCGTCTTGGCAGCTATCCTCGCTCTCGGATGGCGAGGTGTTGAGAAGAAGCTCGAAATCCCTACTCCGCCGCTGGGTAAGGGCCAGGACGTCGGCGGCACGAGCGACAAGGGCGTCAGGCTTGCCAAGAGCTTGCGTGAGGCCAATGATCGTTTCACCCGCAAAGAGAGCATAGCAAGAGAAGTGTTTGGCGATGACTTCGTCGACCACTTTGGAGGGACGAGAGACCACGAAATTCGTCTGTGGGATGAGGCCGTAACGGACTGGTACGTATTCATCCCTGACAAACCCCCATGGGCCGTTGGCCAGGATCCTTTCGTTCTGGTGAACTCGGCTAACACAAGTTTTGCGCAGGGAGGTCAAGCGATACATCGAAACGGTATAGAAGTCCGCGGTCCAATGGAGCATGTTCTTTTTATTCCTTGCCAGGATTTTGTTTATGGATATTTCATCATATCGGATCAGTCCGGAACACACGTCAAGCCACGCGATTATGGAGCTCACAGGTCGCTTTCTTGACCGCGGTTTGACAGGTTTGAGCGGGGAGATGAGCTGGCGTCCCCCACTGGACCTTGGCTGTCCAATCCCACCTCGCTACCTAGGTTTTCACGCCAGGTGCCCTATCTAGATACCCTCATCAAATGCCGACGTATTGATACATGCAACAACGTCTGCGGCAATTTGGATCTTTTGTTTCTGCCCGAAAAAGAGGAGAGAAATTGGAGCACAGTTTTGTCATGCCGCGGGATGAGATGCTGCGGAAGTGAGCTTGATTGGTGGCATCGGATGCGCCTTTTGTGACGGGCAAGTGCCGCAGTGCAGGCCCCATTGCGACGAGCGAACCGTCAGTCCAATGGACGGCTAGACGCCGACGACGCTGTGATGAGACCCGTTCTCGCATCTCGCCGGAGTCCTCTCGTTGAGAAGGATGGTGTGATGGGACGCAACTTTGAACGTTGTTGGTTGACGAGAGCCAAATGCACGAGTGATGATTGGCTTTGGGTGCGAAGTCGGTGTAAAACTTCCCGTGACAAGTCGAGTACGTGAGTCAAGAGAGCCTCAAGTCTGTGTTGGTTCCGTCTTCACAGACGATGCAACCATGAGCTGCGCCTCGAGAACCGGACGCTCCGGCGAGAAATCGGACTAGATAAGGTCGGTTGCTCCATCCGCAAAATCCCGCCGAAGTTTGCCTCCTTTGTGGAAGAATCGGTGAGAGTCTCGGCTCGTCTTGATATCGACAGTACGCCTTAGAACCAAGGAATAGTTCGGGCATTGTGGTAAGGCGACGACCCCATCAAAAGATGTTTACACCGCAGGAAGGAGAGCAGATGGAATGCACGTTGTCGTAATGTCAAACGCGTTTTCCAAGCCACTTTCGGGAAAAAAGAAGTGAATGAAGACGACGAAACCTGGAAGGAGCTGAAACTATTGAGCCTGCGGTTCACGCTCACCGCATCATCTGGGAAACACCCCATAATTCATTTCTCATCAAATTTCATTCTCAGCATGTGCCGGGCTTCTCGAACGGCGTGGGCGTCATGTCACCCGTATTTGACAGGCAGAGGCAGCGTGGCACCCTGGGCGGCTGGGGTTCCCAAGGTAGGCAAGTCAAATCGCGTCCTCGTGGCTTTTCTTCTTCCTCGGGGGCTCGCGGCGGCGGCGGCGAGACGTGCGTGCGGTCGGGGACTCAGGGTTACACTTCTAGGATCTCATAGAAGGCCGGCGGCGCCCATAAAGCATTCAACGGCGGGCATTGTCTGCCATGTCTGCCATGCCTCGGCGTGAAGTCCTCAATCATGGTGGCCTACTACCGCTTCGGGCCGGGCTTCCTGCAGAATGGCGACAGGGAACCAGCGATCTCTCTTGTGGGACTACTCGGTGGAACAGCAGGGGATTCCTTCTCTAAGGACTCTAGCCGGCCACTAGAGTGTTCTATAGATTGGCCCTGCCGACAAGGTTGCATCCCGCTACGAGATGATGATTACTTTAGAGTCTAGGCTGTATCAATCAGGAGTGGTGACGAATTGTCGCCTTTGGTTCCTGTCGTCTCGAGGGGGTAGAGGTCCGAGGCATTGTGATCAGTTGCTCATCAAGCATGCATGGGTCAGTCTGATATTCCACTGTTGGACGACCCCGGCTTTGATGTCCGTGCCGTTCTGATTCTACTGCCCTGGCTTCGCAGTACTTGACTTTGACTTGGAGGTTAGAACAAGGTGATCTTATGGCCCTGTTAAGACCCAGGTTGAGGCACCGCGGGTGGAATGGGATGAGGGGAAATGGGATTTACCTTAATATCGGCACGAGGAGAGGGATCCCTTGTACGGATAATCATGAGAGTGCAAATACCAGAGATGGCATACGTACGCCTCCGGATAAGGCACTGAAGTAAGTGTAAGTAATTACGTGCGCGACTGTACAGAGACAAGGTGAACCGTTGAAGAGCCGGGATTTGATTTGATATTGTCTGATATTACTTGATTTTGACTCGACTGTGCTTGATCTGCGTTTGGACTCTCCTTGCCCTTTTCTCTCTCTCTCAAGCCTGGAGTTCCTTGCCTTGCCCTGACGATCGTATTCAAATGTCACTGCCTTACAACATTCAAAACCTAACAACACGAGAAACCGTGCCTCTTCATCTGGGCCTCACCTACTGCATACTCTGTGCTACTCGAAGGGCTCGAGCTCCGACTGCCACACATGCTCTGTCGTACTTTTCTTGCTGCTGCTTCCCTGCAGCTTATCCTTGCCCATGAACAGGCCCGGTTAGGTACCGTCCCTTGTGTCCCCTCCAGGTTGGGTTACAATGAGATTCTCTCCTGCAACCTTTCGCACTACGGCCAGTGCTAGCGCCAGCCATAGCCTAACTCCCCCCGTTCTTGACCCCCCCCTCCTCTGCATGCACATCTGATGGGGGGGGTGTAGTGTTCTCGAACAATTTTTTTTTCTTCTCTTCCTTCTCCATGTCCATCAATATTATCCCTCTTCCCATGGAGTGATTTTCATGTGGCCCGGCACACGCGTTCCACGTTCCATGGCATATCCATGGCGTCCATGACATCCATGGCACTTACGGGCGCCGTCCGCTCCCGCTCCCCTCTTGCCTTCGTCGACCTCGTTGGGGACAAGTGCTCCGACCGGGATTCAATCGTAATTTGACGGCGTCAGGTCCAGGCAAACAAGCAAGAAAAGAAGGACATGGAGGTCCATCCATATACAGTACATGGCCAGTCCAAGTTCAACAACAAGTCCGAGAACAGTCAATACAAGAACACATAGTCTCCGGGTCTCCGCGGCCGAGTACCGCCTTTTACTCCTTTCATCTGCATCTGGGCAACAACTCCCCGTTCTATTTCCCTCCTTCTGCCCTTCCCCCTTTCGTTTGGGTAGTGGTCTTTCCCATCCTCGTCCGGTCTGGTGTGCCTGGCGCGGTTCATGCCCCATGGCCCTGTCTCTTTGTCCATCCGTACTTCAGTAAACGACCAACATTGAAACGAAACGGGCTCCCCTTGTCATTCACCTCGGCGCCTTTTATCAACTACCATCAAACATCATCCAAGGGTAATCAATACAAAGGGATCCGCCAGCCCTCGGCCCCATTCCACCAAGACACACCCGTCTTCCCCGCGCACGACAAACGGGCTGCGCATATTATCTCGTCTTCATTCCCATCCCTTCCCTTCGGAGAAATTCCTAAGCCATTCCACGTGTATCGGTTGTATGCCAAGACCCCCACGAGTACTGTTTGGGAAGTACGAGACCCGTTGGCGCACTGCATCGACGTTGAGACACATCCAAGAACGAGAGAACAAAGAATAAAGACGTGGGTCGCACGGCATTCCATCGAGGCAACAAGAAGCTGCGGTTTGTTATGTCTTTTCTGGGTATCAGGCTGTTGATCAACTATTTGCAACACTCGTCGACGGAGCATCAATGGGCGAAGACGTGGATGCCGCTGCCGGAGACCCCGGCGTCGGCGATAGCTCCGGGCGCAGGGCCGATCGTGCCGGCGCAACAAGGGGTCGGGACGATCACAGGAACCGGAGGCGGCATTCCCGGCCGCAAAGTGCACATGTTGCGGACGATGACGAAAATGACGCCGACTCGGATGCCGGCTCGGATTACAGCTCCGTTTCCGTAGACGAACTCCCGCCTATCCGGGCCTACGGGCATACTTACTACGGATCTGGCGCCCTGCTCATGCCAAATGACGAATCCGAGCGTGCTCGTCTGGAGATCCAACATCAGCTTTTCAAACTGTGCCTGGAAGGTAATCTGACGGCGACGAAACTTCCTCGAGATCAACCACTCAGCATTCTCGACATCGGGTCTGGGACGGGGAATTGGGCCGTTGAGATGGCGCAGCAGTACCCGCAAGCAAAAATCATGGGCGTGGATATTTCTGCCGCGCTCTTGCCAACCAACGTTCCCCCCAATGTCCTATTCGAAGTCGAGGACGCAACCGACCTCTGGGACCGGGAAAAGGACAGCCTCGACTTTGTGCATATGCGCAATCTTGTCGGCGGGGGTGTTCCGGAATGGAAACCACTATTCCAACAGGTCTACGAGCACCTCAAGCCAGGCGGGACGGTCGAGTTCTCCGACGTTAGAACACGGTACTTTGACCTCGTTGACAGCAGCGGAGACGAGCCAACGACAATGACGGACGATGAAGAAAAGGGTGGCCGCATGACAGCTTGCCGGGAGTTCGAAGTGCGATTTGCACAGATGGCGGAAAAAGCGGGCGTGAACTTCGATCCTATCCCTAAGATTCCTTCCATTTTGACAGACGTGGGCTTCGAGAAGGTCGGCCGTTGGTCGGATCTCGTGCCCATACAGGCTGTCGGTCACGATGAGAAGATGGTCAGGAAAGGAGCGCAGTTCGCTCAGATGATTGAATACGGTCGGCCGCCTTGTCTCCTCTGATTTCAATTTCGTCTTCTAACTACGACTAGGACTCGAGAACTACTCGCTTGCCGTATTCGCCAAAGGAGGATGGGATGAGGATAATACCCGGGCCCTCATTCAGAGAGTTCACAAGGAGTCGCGCGACCCTGCGAACGAAGCGTACGGAAAGGTGTAAGTTGAAGCATCAAGCGTCCCGCTTTCATCGTGATAACCAACGCCTTCTAGATCTTTCGTGACGGCCAGGAAGCCGATGCCATAATGGCCCCGTGCGATCCTCTGCTTCAAGACTCCATAGACCTTTGCCTATAGATAACGGCACAACTACATATTTTCTAATACACACTTCCCGTCACCATTCATAATCTGTGGTGAGAACCTGTGCATTCGTCTCATCAACCTCAAATGCCCTTGACCGAAGCCGATAATGGCAGCGAGCTGCATCAGTGGCCTGCATGTAACTCGGTTCCATTTGCCGACAGGGCCTGGATCGGCCTTTGGGGACCCGACTACAGTGCCGTGAACTCGGGCTTTCTTCGGTGCCAGCCGATGTTGCATCCTACATCCTCCTCGAATCTCAACGGCATCTCCTTGTTTCCAGTATGCTTAAAGATCAACCAAGCTCAAAATAATACACCGAATGTCAACCCGTTGCAGAGAACCCCCGAAGAGCCTTATCCTTGAAATGTTTCATCGTCTCGCGCCGCTGCTGCAAGGTCCAGGAGAGTAGGTTAAATGCCCTGAGTCTTGTCCAAGTGCGTGTAGTTAAGTGCTCCCCCCCACCCCTGCGGCCGGCAAACGTTCGCCTCTTTGACCTTGGAGGGGTGGTTACAGTATTACAGATGAATGGTGTGGCTTTTATTTGCCGTGGCTCCTAAGAAGGTCTCACTGCCGTCGGACAATCCCCGAACACCACATGGACCCGTCTGTCGATCCCGCTAAGCGCCCGAGATGCATATCTTGACTTGCGGGAAAGGATTGCCATGTTTGGAAGGAGGGGCTAGGCCGACAAACTGCCAAAGATGCGGAGGTTGGGAGGATGGTTCACACTAAGACATGTGGTCGCTCAATCGCCTCATCATCTTCTACCACACGATTGACTTACCGAGCTGATCGCCGGGGCCGATAGCTTGCGGCCGGAACTGTCCTTGCGTTGTTTTCATAGAGTTGTTCATGCGGCTGACACTAATTACCATGTCGTGAGCCTAATTGGCGGTTACAACATGCTGTATCGACTACTCTGTACCCTCCCATCACTCACGGATCGGTTGTCTCGTCTTGAACGGGCTGAATAACCGCGAATATTACGCGTCGCTCATGGGAGCTGACCTGCTGCTGTTCTCGTCAACTCGGATGATCCATGGTTAGTAAGTTAGCACATCATGATGTTGCATAGACAAGGCACGCCAGCTTAGCCATGAGTTTGATACACATCACACGTCCATGGATGGAGTCAGCTGATTCAACACCAGCCGTATTCGTCGTCAACGCCATCCTATTGCAGAGAACTCTACCGCACGCCATTGACCTGGGCAGCCGCAGGGGCACCCTCTGTAAGGACATAATCCCTCACGGCGCCCTTCCAGTCGCTGATTCTCATCTCTTTGATCGTGACAACAATGACTCGTACTTCCTCGCCGGCAACGAAGCAACCCCTCCCTCCGTCCTCGGCCTGCACGCTCGGGTTGAACGTCTGGCCGCCCTCATCAAAGGTGTTGTTTTCGAGATGCGCCTCGCGGTAGAACTTTTCTTCGTCGGAGCCGTTGTCGACTAACCTCGCCGTTCCGTTGATTGTGGCACTGATGCTGGATACCGCAGCTGTGTTGAGGTTGAGGAGGAGCGAAGCTAGGCTGGAGCGGTGTTCGGGACCGGGACTGCCGCCGGAGGGACGTCGGCCGTGGGTTGGGGGTCGGTGGGAGGACCCTGGATGTATCAGTAAGTGAGGATTCACAAAATATTCGGTGTAGACGGATTCGTACAGTCATGGACGAGGAGAGAGACGTTGGGGTTCGATAGGAGGTTCTGCGTCTTTCTCGAGGCGGGGTTTGTGGTCATGACGATGACCGGACCAGACGAGTAGGTGGACGAGGGGAGGTAGGTGTAGTTCATGAGGGAAACATTCGGGATGTTATCGGTACACGTAGCGAGGTGAAGCTATCGCAACAAACACAACATGGTCAGTTTAGACATTCTACACAGTTGAGACTCGGCTTGGAGAGGGGCAGGGTAGCTTGGAGCTTACGAATCGCGCGTTCTCCAGGCATTGGACGACCTCTTGGGGCAGAGTCGCAGTAACCTGCTTGTTAGTATCGCCGGCCGAGGCCTCGTAGTTGAGGGGTACTTGTTGATCCATATCGTGCTACTCGTGCTGTCTTGGAGATAGAAGCTCTAAGTCTCTCAAGATGGAGGTCTGCTAGAGATTGATCGGCTGAGCTGGAAATCGGCAGACAAATCGCCTGCGCTGACTAATGCGGGGCATGCAGGTTGCAGACCCATCCCAAACGGGATGACGTAGGAGATTGGTCGCTTATCTTATCGGAAGGCTGGCCAATGCTCCCGCATTCCATCCCATCCTGGCCAGCTACACTACTGCTGTCTCTCCCAAGCCGGCATTTCAGTGACAAGATCAAGATGCAGAAACAAGAACCTGATGGTTTTCAGTCAGGTACCGGTTTTTTGGCAGCTCAAGTTTCTGATCTGGGGCAATCGCACTGGATAGATTCAACACGGGGCTCAAAGATAGTGGATATGTCGTGTAGACCTCAGGTCGCATCAAGTTAGTCAACGACGGCGTACTTCGAATGTGCGAAGAAACCCGCCAATTGAATCCATATTTGAAGCCTCGGTCACTCTATCAAAATACTACCAAACTTTGGTTAATTCGATCTCATTGTCAGGGGTTCTTCGGCGCCTGCGTGGCTGGATGAACGCGGCCCGGGCTTTCTGGGGTCTGGGGTCGCCTTCCAGCGGCTTTCAGCGCCCCGGCTATTGTCGGCACCGCATCCCCAAGTTAGACTTGTTGCGCTACCAACCGAAGCTCCTTCAACACCTCGGTCTGCCATGGTAAACTTCCATTGTTTTGCTGACCTTCAATCCTCTTAGTCCGCCAGCCTCAGATCTCCAAGTTTCTTCTTATTCAGTGCATGACGAGTGCAATTGAACTTTCGGCTCAAATATCTATCATCAATTCACCATGAGGTCCATGAAGGCGAAGCACCGGCTCGTCCGACCCCTCCCTCGACTCCTCTCCTCAGCTGCCGGGCAATCAATACCCGCCTCCAGCCAAATCACACCGATCACCTCTCTCCTGATTGCAAACCGTGGTGAGATCGCTCTGCGCATCCACAAGACGGCGGACAGACTGGGTATACGGACAACGACGCTATACACGGATCCCGATAGCTCTAGCCAGCACGCTGCCTGCTCTCCGCACTCTCTGAACCTGGGCGAAGCGAAGGCGTATCTTGATGGCGAACGCATCATCTCCATAGCCAAAAAGCACGGCATCCAGGCCTTGCACCCGGGCTATGGCTTTCTTTCCGAAAACTCCAAATTCGCCGAGCGATGCGAACAGGAAGGCATTGTCTTCGTCGGCCCTCCGGCGCAAGCCATGGCAGACATGGGTGACAAGGCGCGGAGCAAAGAGATCATGACTGCCGCTAGCGTACCTTGCGTACCGGGATACCACGGCTCTGATCAGGGCGAGGATCAGCTGCTGCGGCATGCCAAGGACATCAAGTTTCCCGTCTTGCTCAAGAGCGTCAAGGGCGGCGGTGGGAAAGGCATGCGTATCGTCTTGACCGAAGACGAGTTCGCGGCCCAGCTCCGCAGCGCCAGAGCCGAGGCCCGCGCATCTTTTGGCGAGGGCGGTGAGGTCATGCTGGTTGAGAAGTACATCGTGCGTCCGCGCCACGTCGAGGTGCAGGTCTTTGCTGACAAGCTCGGGAACTGCGTCGCCTTGGGAGAGCGTGACTGCAGTATACAAAGACGCCATCAGAAGATCCTTGAAGAGTCCCCGGCGCCGGACCTCGACGATGCGACACGCCTGGATCTGTGGGATAAGGCGAGGAAAGCAGCTCTGGCAGTAAACTACGTCGGGGCCGGCACCGTGGAGTTCATCCTCGACCGAGACACCGGGGAGTTCTACTTCATGGAGATGAATACCCGTCTACAGGTCGAGCATCCCGTTAGTGAGATGGTTACCGGCACCGACCTAGTTGAGTGGCAATTTCGTGTTGCCGCTGGCGAGAAGCTGCCCCTGACGCAAGAGGAGATTATGGAGAACATCAAGCAACATGGCGCAGCCATTGAGGCTCGTATTTACGCAGAAAACCCAGAGAAAGGATTCATGCCTGACTCGGGCAAGCTTATTCACTTGACAACCCCGAAGACGAATGAAGATATCCGTATTGATGCTGGGTTTGTCCAAGGGGACACCGTCTCGGAAGCCTACGACGGCATGATTGCTAAGCTTATTGTACGAGGCAAAGACAGAGAGACTGCGATCCGACGCATGGAACTTGCTCTCCGGGATTACGAAGTCGTTGGTCTCAGCACCAACATTGAGTTCCTCAAGCGGCTCTGCAGGTCACCTGCCTTTATCGAGGGTGATGTTGAGACGGGTTTCATCGAGAAATGGAAAGAGGAGCTCTTCAAGCCTCGGCCGATTCATAGCGAAGTCTTTGTCCAGGCTGCTCTAGGCTCTCTTTCCCCCCAGCTTGCGAATGATGGACCCCACGGAGGCAGCCTTGGTTTCGGCGAGGCAAGCACGCTGGGCGAGAGAAGATTCGCCTTCAAAGTGCTCGACTCGTACAGCGAGCAGGAAGGGGAGGTTGTTGAAGTCAGCATCACGCAGACAGCTCACCAACTGTTCACTGCGCGGGTTTCAAGGAAGGGACAAGATTCACCCGATGTTTTCGAGAATCTCGTCAGCAAAACATTGTCAAACTCGGCCACAACTAATGCTCTGGCGACATTCTTCCCTGCGGAACGCTTGACCTCTACCGTTGTCCAAAATGCCCAGAGCGAGCAGGACACCAAGATCATTGTGTTCCAGCATGGTGTGAAGACGGAACTCTCCCTCATGCCGCCCACTTGGTTTGAGAAAGCTCTTGGTTTGAAGGAGGCTACTGCTTCCGTAGTAGCACCCATGCCTTGTAAGATTCTGAAGAACGAAGTCGAAGAGGGCCAGACAGTGGCCAAGGGAGCTCCGTTGGTAGTGTGAGTGTTTCGCGGGATCATATAGCTCGGTTGAGTTTGATGGCTAACCTCATGATTCCAGGATCGAGTCGATGAAGATGGAAACAGTCATTCGGTCACCACAGAACGGTGTCATCAAGCGCTTGGCGCATAAGGAGGGAGTAAGTCATGCTCTTTTGTTGAAGTTGAATTCCGATACTAACTGGGCCTAGGATATTTGCAAGGCTGGAACGGTTCTTGTATTGTTTGAGGAGGACGCTGCCAAGGAAGAGACATCATGAGCGGGATTGGGTGCGCTTCAAGGATGATGAACATCGACTCGAATCATGTTGAATAGTTGAATAGCGGTAGTCATCACGAGATTTGAAAGTTTAATATGTTTTTCATTCCTTCGTGATTCAACAATGGTCCTTCATAACAGTGCAGGCGCCTTGCCTTATGCCATACTTCCCATCTCTCCCTTAGCAGTGTATGGTTGCGCTGCTACTGGCCAGACCGCCGATCAAGAAGGTACCGAGCCAAATGCCACCTAAGACGGAAAGAAAATAGCCGACATTCATTGTCATGATGGCAAGCATTCTGGTGACATCCGATGTCAGTATTTTGTTAAAGATGTCGCGACTTGCCACGATTTTACTTTCAAGGTACTCACAGAAGATATCCAACGCCTCCAATGATGACCTCGTAAGTGGCTCTCGCGGCGGAAGCACCTGCTCTCCAACCTCTCCATCGACCAACCAGATCTCTTCGTACTACGGCAGCCCCCATTCCTGGGTCAACATCACCGTGTTGCTTGTCGGACTCGTATACGGGGTAGTTCCTCCAGAACCGCTCTTCCAAAATCGGCTTCAGGGCTAAGAGTAACCGGAGGATGCAGGCGAGAGCAATGAGGAATATGCAGGTCCCCGCGTATTCTCCTTCGCTTGTCGGTGTCCACTTAGTAGAGTACAGTGGGGTCTTGAATGCTTCGAAGAAAGTCATGGTCATATCCTCCATGGACATGGACATGCCGGACATGCTGTCGGACGTACTCGTCGACGTTGCCATCGCCATGGCGGTCGTGGTTGGCATGTTCATGTCCATCATCGTGTCGGTATGTATGTTTCCACTCAGCAATGGTAACAAGGAGTATCTTGAAGCTAAGTAATAGAAGTCTCGGAGAGTTATGTGGTGAAAGTCACGAGTTGCTCAAATCGTCGTTGTCGATGAATGGGGAGGTAGACAACTTCGCTTGTCGGTCGTATGCATTTCATGGCGACAAAGTCAAGCTTTTTGTTTGATGCGGTCTACAAATACGCAGTTGCGGCTCATTGAGAGCTTGTTTCCGGAAGATGGGGCCGCGGCTCAATATGAGCAAGTTTTCCAACGCTAGGAGGGATGGCACGGCACTTAACTTCCGTGATGGAGTCGAAACGGGAGAGTGGGGGAACCAAAACATGGACAGTAAGTCCGCTCTTCACGTGGTTCATCGCTGACCGTGGAAAGTCGGCCAATAACAGACTGCAGTCTTTATCGAATTGGACCACATCGTTGGGAACCCGGTTGGCTGGTGCCGTGGGATGCATCGTAATGAGCTCAAACTCGCTCACCACCCTGGACTCTGGGCAAATGTAACATACAATTTTCAGGACGATGGATCAAAAAACGCCCTCAATAGCGCGTCTTGTGTCTAATACACGGCTTTCGATACTACATCAAAACATGCTCCGTGTTTAATAATTGTCAACATATCATTGGAATGAAGACCTGGTTACTGGAGAACATTGGACTGTGATTCTTGAACCTTTCTCGCCCATTAAATCATTTCGACTTGCTGTCCGATCCGTGGCCATCCCGAATAGAGACACGAAGGCTTGCATCACACAACTCGGTCAACATGTCGTTACCATGGCTAGATCAACCCGTTATGTTGCACTCAAGCCGTGACGCAGGCATGTGTTCTATGACACCGGAGCAATGCGCCTTCAAAACTTCCTACTGGGTTTTCTGGTACGAAGCAGATCACCGCTACGCGCTTCCAACGACGGCATTCTTCCTCGCTGCCATTCTCTTGGTCAGCATCATTCACTTTGCATCAGTCTACGCACCCCGAAGTCTCCGGAGAAGCCCCGTCTGGCTGCGATTCACTTCGTTTGGTCGATTTCTTTCTTACAAGGGTTGGCGGATTGGATCTTGGAATACTCAGTCGCTGGCGACCTACCTACTTGGTGCCGCAGGGGCTGTGTTTTTCTTGGGTAAATCAAATCTTAATCGAGGCAGCAAACGATTATTCTGACTGACTTGCTCGTCATGTAGCCATGACATTCGGCCCTCGCCCCTATTATTGGCCCAACACAAAACAAATCAGTTTTGGCAACTCCCCGCCAATTGCAACCCGAGCCGGCTATATGGCTCTGGCTTGCATGCCCTTTCTCTTGTAATCGCCCCAGCCCAGCCTTCCTATCTTGTCAAGTAAACCGATGCTGATGAAATAATAGTGTTCTAGGTGCAAAAGCGAATCCGATCTCGACCCTGACCGGCATATCGCACGAGAAGCTCAACGTCTGGCACAACTGGGTTGCTTGGGCAATGTTTGTTCTTGCTCTCGTACACACCTTTCCCTTCATAGTCTTCCACAACTGGAAGGGGGATCTACTAAAATCATTCAATGATGGAGGAATCTGGGTTACTGGCGTCATTGCGCTCTTAGCACAAGCATGGTTGACGTTTATGTCAATACGCTGGATACGGTATGTGCTTGACCTCGCGACGCGAACAAGGGCTAATATTTCTATTTTATTATTATAGTGATCGTTATTATGAATTCTTCAAAGCGACACATCTATTTGCAGCTGCTGTCTTTTTCATTTTCTTCTTCTTGCACTGCGACTTCCGCCTGACCTCGTGGGACTATTTCATCGCCACCGCTGTGTTGTATTCACTCTGCTGGTTTTATTCGCAGTTCAGAACCTTCATGGAACATGGAGTGAACCGCGCGTCACTATCGATGGTAACGCCAAACTCGTTGATGGTGGTCATCAAGACCAACACTAGGTGGACCCCGGGCCAACATGTTTACCTTCGATTCTTGACGTGTGGCCTCCACGCTCTGACAGCACACCCCTTCACCATCGCTTCTGTTCCTCGCCAGGGACGACGCAGCGAAATGGTCTTCTATCTGGAGCCGCGCGGAGGAGTGACCGGCCGTTTGGCAAAGATGGCCGAAAAGTCACCTGGCATATCGGTTCCAGTTCTCCTCGACGGACCGTACGGAGGAGTGACTGGTCGATGGTTCGCGGGTTTTGACCGAACTCTTGTCGCAGCTGGCGGCTCAGGCGCAGGATTCTCGTTGGCGATGGTCGAGCACTTCCTGGAGACGCGGCCCGCCGGCTCTCAACTGGACGTCGTCGTGGCCTCCCATGACCCTGGCTTCCGAGAATGGTACCTTCAAGCCTTGGACAACATTACCGAGCGCAGGCAGGCGAGCGAAGACCTGAAGACTGCAAAGATAGTCGTAAAGATCCACGAGACTGGATCCCAGGATGCAGGCTCTACGACCACATCCGAGCCTAGGACACCAAACGACAAAGAGATCGTGGATCGTTCAACCGCAGTCTCAACCCCCACGGGATTAATCAACGCGCAGACTGTCTCCGGACGACCAGACCTCCCATTCATAGCTCAAAGTGTCACCGATAAAAACGGAACACTTGGAATTGTCGTATGCGGGCCCTCGTCCATGGTCTTTGACTTGAAAAGATCTGCGGCTTCGGCCCAAAGAGACATCATGCAAGGAAAGTCCAAGGCTGATGAGGTCTGGTTTTACAACGAAAGCTTTTCGTAAGTAGCCTTGCTGGCTTAATTCTTTTGTATATAAACTAACGTACTGGCGCAGTTTTTAAGCAGGGTGGTGTCTGTCTGCCTTCATGCATAGAGTGTAGTTTCATTAATGCAATATTCAATTGGCCACGGAACGTGCTTATGATGTTGTTTCATACAATATGGTCGTGATTGGGCAAAAGCGTGACAGAACTGTAAATTTGGTGGTATCATGGAGTGCTACTAGAAGAGTCTCGCCGCCGAAAGTTCCCTGTTTCCTGGTCGTCCACATTCGTAAAATCTCTGAAAAGGGAAATGTCCTCAAATCTTTGGGCCAAGTTTTCCACCTTGGCCGCCTCGGGATCAGTCATTGCTAAATCAAGATCGATCATGAAGGTCGCCCTGACATCATCCGCAGTATGACTTCCATCCGCGTCATGAACCTGCTTCATCAAGTTCCGTGCCTCGTCACTAGATATGTTACCTCCGCGCAATGTCATGGTCAAGAGACCTTTGGAAATGACCTCGGCAACGCGGTAAGACTTGCGCAAGCCTTCGTAGCCATAGATGCATGCCAGAAAATAGAATCGCCAGTCAGAATCTTGCGTTTCGTGAAGGACGGCATTTGCTACGTAGATCAGCGCTGTCTGCCATAGCAGAGTATACGCGGATGACTCGTAGTTGCATCTATATCTGAGTACCAATTCTTTCAACTGGTTCACAGAGGCCTGGAAAGCTGCTTCTGGGTAGCTTCGGCGGGCAGAAAACGTTTTAAGACGTTGGCGTTCGTGTCCAGACCGTTGCAGAAAGGGTCTGAATATGTCGAGAATGGCCGCATGGAACCATATGCTATGGAACATCTTAGCTGGAGACCAAGCTTCTTGGGGAGGATGGCCACAACGTACTGGAAGACGACAACGTGATGAGGAGACTTGTCTCTTAGGACTTGATCGGATGGTAGGTTTTCTATCCAAGCAAGCAGCTCACGATACTTGAACTCTGCAAAGTCCAACGAAACGTGGTCCGGAAGCGGTGTGTCTCTGTCCTTGTGGTAATGCAGAGATACACCATGTAGGATACGCCAAAACCTGCAGAGGGTCGGAAAGGTTTGGCCCATGTATGATGGCGACGATTGCTCTGGGGTTTCGGAACCGAGACTGCTAGATTCGTGGTCCGACTGTTGAGGATTCGGGTTATCGGGTATCGGAAACGTAGGTGGATGGCTAGGATACTCGAGTCCTGGCTGTTGGTAGAAGAGGGTTATGAGACTGCCAAGTTAGCTCAAGTTCAGGCAGTATAGGTTAGGATGCACGTACACTCCCCAGTTGAAGATCCCCCAAGCGGTATATGAACTTGCCCTCCGCATATCTGGAGACATGTCGTTGATTTTCGGCATTGCTTGTGATGGTTCAACCCCCAGTAAGCACATGCGTGTGGCCATGCGCATTGCAGTGGAGAGATACTTAAGCACGTAATGGTCTTTGCCATGCCCCAAATAAGCGAGACTTAACAGCTGGGAGCTGGCCACATTGAGGAGTGTGTCATTGCAGTTTTCTTGGAACCATAACCGTTCCGCCTCTTCGCAGAACAAGTCTGCTAGCTCGCTCGCTTCGTCGTCAATAGCGGTATACATTTGCTACGATCCCAGCACGCTTTGATCAGCATACCCTTGTCGACATTGTTCCGGACTTGAAGGTCTGTTGACTTACGCATCCCCAGTACAACAGTGAGTTAACAAGAAGGCGAGAACAGTAAGTATGCTCTTTGTTGACGAGATCGGAGATGAAAAGGTTTGCATCGAAGATTCCCAGCAGCGGGTGATCGGTGATTATGTATAAGGAGATTACACGCTTTGCGTATTCGTCGGTAATCCGTACGCTCGTCCAGAAGCCGATGTCGAGATGTTGAAGTCTCGAGTCGCAAAGCTCAGGGTTTGTCCCTGGATTTCCGTCTGGATAATCATTGGCGGGGGAGTCGTCTTTGCCAAGATGAAGAAGGCCATCAACCGGTGAGAGCAAAATTCTATCGCCAGTCGGAAGTCGGGAGGTCAGGCCGCTCCATACGTCTGATCGCGACCCGTTCAAGAGGTCAGTAGCGTCCAGCAAGAAAGGAAACAAGGGCACCGTCACGGGACATACATACTGGTGGTCAAGGGACTTTGACCTGCGAAGCTTGTTGGGGGCAAGCAGGCCAACACGTTCAGAGGCTGTTAGGGGCGTCCTCGGGGCGGGATACGCGGTGGGGTTCTTGACCATCAGTTCCAACTCTAGCGATGATTGAGCTGTACGACTAGAGGAAGTTGAGGCTCGTCCAGACGGCCCAACCGCGCCATTCATCTCAGTCTTGGCAAAAGACAGGACAGAGGTTAGGTCATCGGTAGACCTTAACAAACGAAAGATCCGCAAGGCATGCTGTTCCGGAACGGCTCTCATAATATCAACTACTTCTTGGAGAACTTCAGCGGACTGTGCAGTCTTCGAAAACTCTTTCTTCTCCACATATATACACTCGCTCGATCGTTTCAGGCACGCCTGACATGCTGGGCGACGTCCATCACACTAGGATTCAATGAACCGCCAAGGTGTCAGCGAAAGTATCGAAAGACATAATATGGTACAAGTCGAACTCACACGTGTCTTTCTTTTCCGACACGGATTACAAGCTATCTCCGTACCGACACGTTTTCTTTTCGATGAGTCGTCGCGAAGAGAGTCGAATGTCAACTTTGGGGCGCCCTCTTCAGCCGGCAGCAGAGGGGCTAATCTTTTCGGCATTGTCATTAGATTGGTAAATCATGGGAAAGGCAAGTTGAAAAAAGATTGACTAGAGCAACGATGATCAATCATCCATTCAAACAAAAGGGAGGATGGTAAAGGACGAGAGAGGGGACATGGGCAGAACCTCTTGCGCACAAGCGGCTGGCTGGTCTCTATGACGCCCCTGATTGGCTCGGCGGCACGTCCGATCACGTGAGGCCAAATCGTCATAGCAATCAGCACCACCGCCAGATCGTCTGTGTTCAGGGTCGATTTCTTGTGACCCAATGAGAATACCTCACTGCACTCGATCTCGATGAGATGACCCGTTGGCCCATTTGAGCCAAATCCCACTTTTTGCTGCGGCGCAGGGCTCTTGAGTCTTGACACTGTAGACACAGCTGTTGCAAATATGTTTGCCCATGTTCACCTGCCTGTCGGTGAACGTTGGGCGCATTCCGTCAATATTGGCTTGGTCATCACCTTGGTCAAAAGAAACTTGGCCATTTCCATCACTACATCGATACTCACGAATGAAAATTGCCTGTCTCTTCAGGGCGGGTTCCTATCTGCTCTGCACTCAATCGATGCGGACTTATGTAGATATCCAGCAGGTGGGTGAAATGCAGTTATCCGCTGTGAGTCTAAGCAGTATATCTATATTTGTATTAGTGAAGGTTCTACTGTAAAGGGGTTTGGATGCGAAAGGCCACCGACTGGTGTTGACCGAAGCCAGCCCCGCTCACCGAACGAAGCAGAACTTACCGAGAAATCATGAAGCCACGATCCCCGTATTTGAACCCGACGGCCATCATGCTCCCGCGCGTTTGTCGTAAGTATCAGCCCCTTATCCAGCCCCTGATGCGGAGGACACATCGATATTCCTGCGCTGATATTAGCTGAGTCTCAATGAACTGTCATGCGAGAAAGTGTTGGTGAATGGATCATGCTTGATGTCTTGAGCACCTGCATGGCTGTCAAGGCTGCTCCCGCGCAAGCCATCAGGAATGGACTTCAACCATGGCCATGGTTGGCTTTCGAGGCTCACGCGTGCATTCCGTCAATTAAGTCCCGTGGGGCGTTGAGAGCCGATCATCCACTGCCTGCCGCCTATCTTGTCTGCGATCTTGAATCCCCTGAAGTGGACCAGAGTCGAAATGTTTCAACTGGAGGGGCGGATCAGGGGAAAAGGATGCTGTGAGGTACCTTATGGGGATGCCGCGTGGGTCTGAGATCGATCGCGGAGTCGCCGCGGGGAGATCAACGCATGCTTGGCAAAGCCAAGTCTCTAGCTTCACGTCAAACTAAGGACGAGTGAAGTTTCCTCTGGAGTACATGATCTTTTTCGAAAAGAAAGATAATGTCCTCTAATTGTTCTGTTTTTCGTGAAGAAGATATCCAGCTCATGTTTTTTTGCTCGGAGGTAAGCCTTGACGCTTCGACAGGGTGGCGCGGTGCGTCTTCGAATCCCCTAAAAGCATATTTGCCGACGCTTCTCCGTGCCGCAGACTACAAGGTCCAAGGGTCAGGCCTCCGTAGGGTTACATCGAGTCTTCGCATTCAATGTGTGATGTGCTGTCTTGAACTTTTGATTGTTAACCCTTGTACTTTGAAAGTTATCATGTTCTTCTTAGATGTCGGATGATCTGAATCTTTCAAGCGCTGCGCCGGGTACCTGTCATAGTTGAGTTTGAGATAGGCCTCCGCGGTTCCGGCTATGCCATCCTATTGGCCCATCCTCAGAGACCCTGGAGCCACTCATCCAACCGGTCCAGTTCGGTATTCTGGACTTTGTTCGGGGCTTTCCCTGGTAGTCGTCGCTAAACAGCTCAACTTAGTGTGTTTAGGTGTGTTCACTGATCTCTTTCAGCGACATGATAGTGATACCATGAGGCTCTGGCTCAAGGTTGACATCGAGGCAGATCATAGATGGCAGATGCTTAATTGCACGTAAACCTTCACAACGCAAATAAAGTGGCAAACATCAACTTATCAATCAAACTTGTCATGTGGATCTGGTAATGAGATTTGCGTCGTGTCTATCGGCGAGCCCTGTTGCCCGAGAGAAATGTACGCGAGCGTGAACGTTGTGAACCACGGCTCCCGAATTGCCGTTCCATTTCAAGTGCCGTGAAGTCGCAGTTAGAATCCTGACTAGAAGGGAATGAGAATACTACAAGGCGTTCCGAAGCATGGCCTCATGTCTAGGCCAGCGGTCTTTCAATAGATCACAATGCTATACCGAGCCGGTCCCAAAATAATGATGTTGATCCGTCTCAAGTGATGAAGCAGTCTAGTTACGGATGCGGGAGCGTTGTGCTCCGGAATGGAGCCTACCTACAAAATTCCCACAAGCGTAGGTGCTCAGCAATGGACAATCCGGCCTGACATCATCAAACCGTGGGAGCTGAAAGATACCCCGCCTTGTTTGGAGTACGTCCATTCTAGCATGTTTCTTTGGCGGGGAATAGGTCGATAACTGGCCGCTGGGCCCCTTCGACTTGTCTTGTGGCCGGGGCTCCCTGTTTCATCCGAATCTTGAACCACTTGAACTCTTCCCTTTCCGAGTCAGAACCACAGCCCCATCCCTAATAGCACGCGGCTTATACCGGTCGGTTTACCCCGTACTGGGAATACCCAGATAACACCAATGTTTTGTCTATCAGCTCTGTTAAGTGTGGTGCTGAAGCGATGACCCATGTGCATTTAATATTTAGACCGATACAACTCTGGATAAAATGTCTTGATTAGTGTAAGTGCCGAAGACATGATACAGATCATGGAGACTTCCCCGGACTAAGACAACCACAGGGCGGCAACGTTGATCTACCGTATTGGCCAGTGGGCTAAGCCTCTTCGCTGAGACGTGGAAGACGAGGGCGGCATGTGTCTCTCTCGAATCTCGGAACCAATAAGAAAACAGGTGTGCAGCATCATAGGTTCTCAAGTTTTATTTTAATCATCAGTCGTGTAGCGACAGGTAACGAAAGGGACCTCCCTGTTAATTCCTCGCCGCAGTTGGCACTCTAAAGTCTAATGCATGAGATCAGTCATCCCAATGCGTTGCCCTTTCTGGGAAGTCGTTCTCGGCTGCTATCAGACCAAGTCAGCATGTCTGATCGCGCGGCGAGAAACCCGTCTTGAGACCAGGACATCAGATAAAAGGCATCAACCTCACTTGGGAAAATATATTCTATTTGGTGGCCTTCTACCTCACGCTGATAAACGCTCACAACCTCCTTGACGAGCAGCCCGTGTCTTTCATGGATCGAAAAGATTTCCAGACACCACCTTACAAGCCTCATCTGAACTCTTCTACAACATGAAGTTTATTGACAAAGCCAAGTCTGACTTCCAGACAGACAGCACAATCAACACCATACGGAAAAAAGTCCACGCTGGATTACCTAGGCTTCCTTCGGCAACAGGCCAATATCTCATCGAAAAGGTCCCCATTGTGCAATGGATTTCCCAGTATGACCCGAAATGGATACTATCAGACTTCATTGCGGGCATGACTATTGGCGTCATGATGATCCCACAGGCGCTAGCTTATGCTAAGATTGCCACCATTCCAGGGGAGTTTGGTTTGTATTCTAGTTGGCTGCCGGCAGCCATTTACGTTTTCATGGGCACTTCGAAAGGTAAAGCCTCAACTGATGAAGTCTTCGACGTACAAGTTTTCAATCCAACTAACACAACCTTCTGTTAGATCTCTCTACCGGACCAACTTCCATCATGGGACTTCTCACTGCGGAAATAATTGGAGACCTCAAGACGGAAGGATTCGCCCCTGAGGATATCAGTTCAGCTGTTGCTCTCATGGTGGGAATCTATTCCTTGATGGTCGGGCTTCTAAAGCTTGGATTCATCTTGGACTACATCTCAGTGCCGGTCCTGTCCGGCTTTTTGTCGGCTGCCGCTATCACCATTCTCCTCGGCCAAGTTGGTTCGCTCGTGGGTCTCAGTGACGTCCCATCAGGCACCGCAAGCATTATCAGCAACGTCCTTACTCGCATCCCCGACATGGAACCCCTAACTATAGCTATCGGTTTCAGTGGGATTGTTATGCTTTACATTCTCGAATTCATTGGCAAGAAGTGGGGAAAGAAGAGCCCTGCTATCAAGTTCATCTGCAGCAGCCGTGCTGTCATCATTTTAGTTCTATACACGACCATCAGCTTTCTGGTCAACAAGGACAAGAAAACGCCACTTTGGGCAATCAGCAAAGTGAAGGCAAACGGTATCAAAGCGCCGAAGATCCCGGCAACAGAACTGGTCTCCAAAGTCACAACAAGGGCGATTGCACCTCTCGTGGCATCTGCTCTCGAGCACTTGGCAATTGGGAAAGCATTCGGCCGCAAGAATGATTACGCCATTGACGAGAGCCAGGAGCTTTGCTATCTTGGTCTGACGAATACGGTCAACAGCTTGTTTGGCGCCATGAGTGTGGGAGGGGCCATGTCAAGAACAGCAGTCAACTCGGAATGTGGAGTCAAGAGCCCCTTAAGTGGTGCTTTCACTTCGGGCTTCATTCTCTTGACGTTATACAAGCTCTCAGGGGCCTTGTTTTGGATCCCAAAGGCCACTCTCTCGGCTATAATTGTGAGTCCTTAGCCTGCGGTCATTATTTGCAAAGCTAACAACATCTTTTTAGATCATGGCAGTTATCCATATCATCGGCCCAGCCTCTCTATTTTACCGCTACTGGCGCATATCGTTCCCGGACTTCGTGGCTTCCATGCTATCCTTCTGGGTAACACTCTTCGTGTCGACTGAAATGGGGATCGCATTCGCTGTCGTTTTCAGCATTGGATACACGCTAGTTCGCTCGGCATTTCCGAAGGTGAAGACTTTCTCTGCCACAAGTGGCCAAAACGGAATGATTCCACAAGCAAAGGTTGCAGCTCCTTCACCTTCTGGAGACAATCTAGTGCCGGAAGACGCCATGCTTGTCAGCTTCACAGATTCGATATTCTTCCCCAACGCCGGCCGCGTGAAGAGGTCTGTGATCGAGGCTGTCAAGGTTCAATTTGAGCCGCAAACTGCTATGAATCAGTCGCAGGCGAAGTCGGCTGATCGATCATGGAGCGTTGCATCAGCTAAACGCATCGAGCTGTTGCGAAAACGCAACAATGTTGTCCCGAGCAACAAGCAAATGACAGTCATGGTGTGGGACATGACACACGTACCGTTTGTTGACGTGACGGGGGTTCAGACTTTGGCTGAACTGAAAGACGAAGTTAAGCAATATGTTGGGAAGCAGTTGGTGTTGCGTCTTGTTGGGATGAATAACAAAGCCCGGCGCAGATTCGCCAGGGCCGGCTGGAAGGTCATTGAGGATCGTGAGGTGGACGACGGCATGTCAGGGGATGAGGACGTGATGTATGAGCGTTTAGATGCGGCTCTATGGGATAGACCATACTGCAATGAGCGGGAGAAGACCGGGTTGGAGGAGAGGGAATATTACATTCCAAGAGACGAGTCGCAGTAGAGAGGAGACGGAGTGGATGGCATCGGCGTGCCACTGAGTGGCCCGTCACCACACTCTTCTCTTAGGCCAAGTGTTGCAACTTTGGATCTCACTCTGTTTAGCGTGTTTAGATCGGGATGGTTTGTCTTGTTGTTTCTGAAGGAAAGATAGTTTGTTCTTCCATAGTGGCCCTGGTGGTCAAGATCTAGAGTCAATTTGCAAGTTAGGCAGAGTTCACCTGCTCATAAGTGAAGATCAATGCTTGCGAGGCCGCAGTTTTGGATTTGTTTGCGGTGAACCAAAACTTGCGTCTGGTCGGTGAATAACTTCCATTGCTCTGCAGCCTTTGATTTATTACTTCGTGATTACCACCCATTTCTAAGTCATTATCAATTCTACAAATTATACAAGCTGCGCTGCTGCCTCAGCCTCATTGCGCCGCATCATTCTTTTGCCAAGCTTCTCTTGCAGTGTTCTCACGGCTGTGGCTCTTGCTGTCCTCGGGGTTTCTGGGGATGGAGGACGTGGATCGTCAGGAGGTGACTGCAATTGATTCCTTCTTCCGAGCCTTTCCTGTAAGGTTTTGACAGCCGCTGCTCTGACAGTTCTTGGGGTTCCAGGTGTACCCGGCGTGCTGGGTGATGAAGACCCTTGATCGTCAAGTTGGCGAGGACCAGACTGAGCCGCTTGCTGCAGTTTCATTGCCCTCAAGCGTTTCGCGACCTTTGACTGCATCCTTGCCGCCGCAGATGTTCTCGGACGGGAAAAGTTGTGCACATCTGACCTGACGGTGGATGTTGGACTTGATGGTCTTGTCTCTTGTGGAGGAATCGATGGGTGGCGGCTCGAAGGGCGGTAGGTCTGGGACAATACTCGGCTATCCGTCTTGTACGTCAGGCGTCGTTTACTGCTGACGCTGGATAGTCTGCGACGTCTGCGTCCCTCGTTCGGTAGTACGTCACTGTCGGGACGAATGGAATTCGTGTTTGAGGCAATCAAAGGACCGACGCTAGCAATTTGTGGCAACGAGGGCGGTTCATCAGGGATGACATAAGCGGTCCGCGAGGTCCTCGACGTTCTCGATGTTCTCGAAGTATGCGAACTGGTTGGTCGGCTGCTGTGTGTCATCCGAAGGTGGTAGCTTGCTTCCCAGTCGCCGTCTCTCGTTGAAGGTCTCCTCCCGAGCATTCGGTGTTCGTCTTCCATCGTCATCATCGGTGTTGGCGGTCGTCCAAAGGGAACGTCTGTGAAAACTCCATCGAGGGGTGGCGATTGCATGCCGATTGCCGTCCACCGTCTCAAATCATATTTGCTTGGCTGGTCGAGAATCAGGGCTTGACTGCGAGGTGAGTATTGCACCTGTCGAGGCATTGATGGCAAAACAACGTCGTCAGAGGGCATTGATGCATTCGTGGAGATATCAGATGCTGTGTGACGCAAACTGATGCGATCTCTCCAGGCGCCAAGATCCTCAAACGTAACAGCACCGGCGACCCGAGGTGTGCCTTCTCTCGTAGGTGGTTTCCACGCGAACGCGGCATGGAATGCTGGGGATTCGGGCATTCGAGGCTCAGGGCGGTCGCTAAAGACAGTGTTCAGGGGAGTGGGCATGGATATGCTTCTGGCGTGACGTCTACGTAGACTGATTAGGTCGGAACTTAGTTTTGAACAAGATTCCACCCAACTTACAGTGCCCTACGCTGCGCCGCTTCGTTGGGGTTTTTCTTCGTCAATGTTTTTCTCTTCCTCTTCGGTGGCTTCATTGGTTTCGCGTTCGACTTTGCTTTTTCCTTCTGCTCTCTCTTCTCCTGAATAGTCGACAGCACCATCCTTCGGTTTTTGTCCTTGAAGGATGGTCTCTGCTTCTTTTCTTTGAACGTGGATGGTACAGGCTTATCCTTGATCATGGAAACCACTTCGACGAGACCGGGTTCCATATCATCCTGTTCGGGCGATAGCGGATCTTCTCCACGAACGAACCATGATTGCGACAGCCCTATCGTCGCGAAGGGCCGATCTGCCATCTCAATGGCCGCGAGTACGGCGGCTAGCGAAAACCTGCCATCCGGTCAGAATGAGTTACACGTTGTTTGGTGTGGAGATAAAGCGTCAGCTTACAGTGATGCTATGCTGATGATAACGTTCAGCCAGGGGATATTCTGTTGGACTCCTTTCGACACGTCCAGTCCAATGTTCACCGCGACGAAGATAGTGAGAGTAACGGCAGCAACCCAGACTGGCAATCCAAGCCGGGCGAGTAAAAACGCCAAGCCAGACACATACTTGCCGTACGCCCTAGGTGATCCTTGATTCTTGATGTAGGCGGTTTTGGAGGCGATTACGTGCGTCAAGACGTAGGCGAGACTCACGCAAGAGGCAACGAAGAAGACAGCTCGGCTGAGGGGGTCTAGAACTTCCGTCGATTCAAAATTGCGAAATAGGACTACCGCCGATAGAGAAATTCCAGCGCCGGCAGATAGAAACAAAAGAATTAGCGAGATGAGCGAGAGAACCGGATAAAGTCGAGTGGCCCTTTGAGATGTAGGAAGATTTGGGGACGATTTCGGCGGCGGCACTGGAGTCGTCGCGCCTTCATGTTTCCGGCTCATTAGTAACCCAGTTCCATTCACGCTCCCCAGCTTTTGCTTGACTTTCGGTACTCGTACGTAACTGCGGCGTTGTGTGTGGCGGTGGCATGCGAGAAACTGAAGGGGTCGTTGCGAAGATCCCACTTGGGTGTGATTAAGGGCTGGCCAGCAGGTATTAAAGTCGCAATCCGCCTGTTGTATCGACCTCGCCAAGTCAACGCCGATCGCATCGGCCTCTGTGTAGCTCCATGTATCGTTCGCTCGAGCGGTTTGACCAATCTATCGTCAAAGAGCGGACGGGAGGGGTTTTGTTCACACACGTTACAATTTCTGCCCAGACATTCGCCTAGCCGTCTGGAGTGGGCATGACGTGTCCACCCATTCATACTCGAGGATTGCTGGCACAATCCGATGTTGATGAGGTTCCATCCCCCGGCAATCTAGCCGGCGCATGGATGATGACTGAGCTTCTTTATGTGTGATCGGTTCTCATCTGATATTTGGACCGCAATGTGAAACGAATGCGGTGACCGGAGGGGCCCAAACTCACCACCAGCAAATCGGATGTGTATGTGCGACATGATGTTTCGGGTCATTGGGCGAAATTCTGTGACAGATGATTTGATAATATTTAGTTCCTCCCCCTTTCCTCCCGTACCACAGACGAGGCCGCGTCGCTCAGCCAGCCGTTGGTGAGACGAACTTGAGGTTCATAAGACGGCTTATTTCTCAACCGTGCCAGTTTCCTCACTCTCGAGATCTGCCGTATGTGGGAGCATTGACAAGCGCAGGAGGGGACGTTTTCGTTTCCTTAAGAAAACTTTTACGGTCGGGCTCAAAGTCACGACTCGCGGAAGTAACGGTGAAAATTATGTGACGTCAAGTCACAGTACCTACAGACGATAGCAGTCAGTAGACAAAAGCTTGCAATACTATGTGTGATGGCTTCTAACCCAAAGGAATGATGTGGTATCAGGCAACATATCTCAACGCTCAATAAAATCATGTCTGGCTTACTCTTCCAGGTCAAACGGGCTCTGTACTGTATGTGCATAGCTCTCGTGTCAAGCACGTGTCAGACTCTGCGCGCCGATCGCCGAGAGAACTCATTTCATCCGAGAATGGGTCCATGCCATGCCATGCCATCTCGCTCAATCACCCGTCGAGGCTCGGTTCAACCAGGGGCCGAATGTCCTGAGAATGTCAAATCAGTTCAGGCACCGAATGCTTCAGTGCTCGGAACCAGATATGAGAATAGGGTACATGATTGAGAGATTTCGCTCTGAGAGCATATAATCAAACTATTGTACAAATGGTAGGTCATTTCGATCATGCAAGGAAATAGAGGCTGCGTTCGAAGCTCCATGTGATGGCTGCTGCTTTCAACTACCCCTGTTACCTCGAGACTGGACCGTCAACACGCATGCTGCGCCTGCCCTTGAAGCCCATTTACCATCCCGAGTGTGCAAGTTTCAGTGGCAAACGTAGCATTCTATGACCGGAAGCGGTTGGTTTTGGAAGCTTTCCAGCCCTGATGTTTGTCTGTAAAGATTGATGAAGTAGCTTTGGCTCCCCCAGATTGGTATCTCTCTGTTTTCGCTGGGCCACGAACTCCTCTTCTGTGATGCCGTCTTTCAGATGCTTGTTCTGTGCCCTATGATCTTGCACTGTCATCCAAGGCACGGGGACAGCACGGCCATCTGGCGGGTAGTCATGGCCTGTCCAAATCTTCACGTGGTCAGGTAAACTCAGAAGCCTGCGGCCGGATTGAAATAGGTCGCTGGCACTTCCCCCAGGGAAATCACACCGTGCGGTGCCGATATCCACGTGGAAGAGGGAATCACCACAGAAAACATTGTCTAGAAAGGCATGAGCAAAGGTCACGGTGGTATCGGAGCGCTTTCGGGTCCTACCTCCAATCTTATATCCCAAGTGATCAGGCGTATGTCCGGGGAGATGTATGGCGGTTGCTTCGAGTTCACCAATCTTGAACGTTTCGTCGTCTTCAAAGAGTTTGTCAAAGGCTCCTTGGCGTTCGTCTTCGGGAACTCCGTATCTTTGACCGAAAAGCGTTTGCACCTTATCGATGCGTTTTCCAATGCCCACGGCTGGCTTGCATCCTTGCACGATCGCTAAGGTGTGTTGAAGATATGACGCGGCAGTAAGATGGTCAGCGTGAGCGTGGGTTTCGAGTATCCTGGTAATATGATAACCATTGTCCTTCACCAAAGAAAGTAACTTGTCTGCAGAGACTGTGCTGATGACTTGAGTTTGTCGATCGTAGTCGAGGACCGGGTCGATGATGACAGCGTGCAAGGTCGAGGGATCTGCAACGACATACTGCCAAGTACCAGTCTGGGCCTCAAATACCTCTTGAATGATAGGCTGCCCCGGCAGAGCCATTGCATTACTGTAACATGCCTTTCCGACAGCCGAAGGCATAAAAGGCAGGCAACTGGAACGAGAATGACCTAGTGTCCTGGTAGAACCGATGGGCCGCTTCGGCGATAAAGACGAGGCTCTCGTCGAAACAGGTGTGCATCTATGTTTGGTGGCGTGGGTGGTCCTTTCCCTGACTTGGCGACCGATGGCCTGGGGGCGAGCGAATAAGTCTCTCGGAGCCGCGAGCGATCTGCCACTTGGGCCAATAGTGCGCCTGATATGTGGCTGTAAAGCTTTCATGGCAAAAAATGAAAAGTCTTGCGGAAATATGGGTGTTGGGCAAAGTCGAAAATGCGTTCCCAAGTCAGCTGGAGCGTTCGCAACTGTTAATAACCCAGGACACAGCCCAGGAGTCAGAGATGGGATTATAACTCCACAATATTCCGGCGTTCCCCGTACCGATCGGGGATCTGCAGCCCAGCTCGGCGACCAACTCGCCGACGAGCCGGCCCGCCGGAGTGGTTCCCGACTGGCAACATCACGTCACCGTCGGGGAGGTGAGCGAGTTTGCGCCGGCAACTGCGGGCGGTTGTCGGTGGTGGAGACGGCTCGAGTGTAAGCCAATCCTATTCGCCAATTGGAAGACAAATGGTGGAGACAGATAAGCCCACATCTGCCTGACCGTTTTTGTTTTTTTCTTTTTTCTGGAGGATCGGTTTGCGCTTTTTCAATTTCTCCAGCGTTGACGGACGATCTCCATTGAATCGACTTTGAAGTCCACCACAGCTCTACTCACCTTGTGCATCTCACTTGCCACCACGTACCTAGCTCTTCTGCATCTCATCTCTTTCCCAACTCCAGAAATGTTTTCGAGCCGCTTAACAACGGTGGCGCATCAAGCCCGCCGCACCGGCTTGGCTGTTCATAACGCCCCGATGATCCGGAATTTCGCGGCCAAGGCATCCGTGAACTCAGCACCTGCAGGTTCAGCACCGGCGAGCTCAGCGCCCAAGGGCTCGGCCCCGGCCAGCTCGGAATCTACGAGCTCTGCACCCAAGGCCTCGGCACCTACGAACTCGGCATCATCAAAGGCCCCGACAACCGCGAGTCCGGCACCCACAGCATCAGCACCTGCGGACGCAGCTCCCAAGCCCGCCGCCGCTGCATCTGCTTCCAAGGCCTCAGCACCTGCGAGCTCAGCATCTAAGGCCTCGGCCCCCGTGACCCCAGTAGCCAGGAGCCACAAGGTTGTGGTCGTCGGTGGTGGCAGCGCCGGCCTGGCCATCAGCCACCAGCTCCTCCGAACCGGCAAATTCTCCCAGGACGACATTGCAATTATTGACCCTGCCGCATGGCACCACTACCAGCCCGGCTGGACCCTCGTTGGCGGTGGCTTGAAGAACAAGGAAGACTTGAAAAGACCCCTAGACAGCTTGGTCGACCCCCAGCTCAAGTTCTATCAGCAGAAAGTCAGCACTTTCACCCCGGAAGAGAACATTGTCCAGCTGGGAAACGGGGATAAGCTTGCTTACGAGCAACTCGTCGTCGCTCCGGGTATCAACATCGATTACGGAAGCATCAAGGGCCTCCCTGAGGCTCTTGCAAACCCCAACTCTCTTGTTTCTACCATCTACGGCTATGAGACCTGCGACAAGGTTTTCAAGACCATCGAGAAGCTCGAAAAGGGTAGCGCTATTTTCACTCAGCCTGCCGGTGCTATCAAGTGTGCTGGTGCACCTCAAAAGGTTATGTGGCTTGCTCTGGACTACTGGAAGCGTGCCGGTCTGTACGATCCCGGCAATCCTTCTGCCTCTCCCATCAAGATCAGCTTCGCCACCGGAATTCCTGCCATGTTCGGTGTTCCCAAGTACAGTGCCAAACTCGAGGAACTGAGGAAGGAAAGGGGCGTCGAGGGCCTCTTCCAGCATGACCTTGTTGCGGTCGATGGCAACACGGCGGTCTTCGCTCGACCCGACGGAAAGGACCAGGTCACCAAGCCGTTTGATCTTCTGCACGTCGTTCCCAAGATGGGCCCCCACGCATTTGTGAAGAACAGTCCTCTGGCCGACGCAGCTGGATTTGTCGATGTTGACCAGGCTACAACCCGCCACACCAAGTACCACAACGTCTGGTCTTCGGGCGATGCATCCAGTTTGCCTACGTCCAAGACTGCGGCAGCAGTCACGTCCCAGGCACCCATTCTTGTGAACAACCTGTTGCGGTCGATGGAGGGCAAGGAGCCAGAGCCCAAATACGACGGCTACACCTCGTGTCCACTTACCACGGAATATGGCAAGGTTCTCCTTGCTGAGTTCAAGTACGGTGGAGTGCCCAAGGAGACATTTGGTGATCTGATTGGTTTCGACCAGGCTGTCCCCCGCCGTGCCTTCTATCACCTGAAGAAGGATTTCTTCCCATGGGTTTACTACAATTCGATGGTCAAGGGAACTTGGGCCGGCCCCAACGGCTGGATGAATTAGGGAGTGCGCAGTATGTACGTAGTGTATCAAACCTGTAGCATCAGCCGCCGAACATTCTGGATATTCTATTTAACTACTGCTTCAGCTGAATGGGATTCTCCTCAACGTACCATGACAAGACGCGGCGAAGACCCCAACCGTTGACGCTTCACGATCTGACAAGGGGACGACTAGTCAGCGTGTTTACTACTTTATGTCTGCATGCTCTCCAATCACTTTCCCATACAAATGCTGACACATTCAAAGAAACCCAATGCAACGAGATGAAGACAGAAGACCATCGACTCAGTCGAGTTTCCCGACAGCGGCAGTCAACCATATACCACTTCCCTGCTGCTGTTTTCCAGATATGAACAGGTGATGTTATTTAGGTAACCCTGCCACGTTGTCATGCGACGCTAGATGGGAGCCCCCTCATCTTGTTGAAAATTTACTGCAAAAAGTCTGTGTCGCTGTTAATTTCCGGAAACGGAAGCCAAGATTCCAAGATGTCAACGCCGATATGGCATGTCAGCGAAGCAAAGACACGACTCTGAGCCGATAATGCGCGTAGGAGTAGCTCTTGTGAAGCCTGGGCATCCGAGACCTAACCACGAAACCGTCGATGAGGTGTGGGAGGTTAGGAATGCAACGAGATAGGTGGAAGACATGAGCTGAGAGACGTATGGACGGAACCCCAAAAGCTTGCTTTAAGAAAGCACGGGAAATAGGTGGCTTTCACGTGGAGATGGGCATGTCCGTCAAACATTCCAATTCTAGTGTTTTTTTGTGCCGCTCTAGACAACTCCCGACATCATGCTTGGGAATGCTATCGATCCCTCAGCTCAGTCAAGTCCCAAGACACGTGTTGACTAGTAAGAGTCAGAAACAGGAGGTATGCGCACCAAACTGTATCGAGCCAGCCGCCTCATCCATGTGTCGACGTGACTGGACTACGGGAGTTAGTACTGGAGGCTTGCAAGTAAAATATAAAGCGAGAGGCCGTCCATCTACAATATAGCAACTCGCGAACTCGACCACGACAAGCAACATTCATTCTTTATCTCATCCGTGAACGATGTCTCTCTTTAATCTTCGATCACTTCTTACAGCTCTATTGCTGGGACGATCCTTTGCTTTGCCCGCCTCCGATTTCCAGGAAGTCCGCCGAGATGGCAAGAATATTTGTAACGATGGAGGCCTTGCAGCTGGAAACCCTCGTGCTGCCTTCTTCCGCAAGGTCGTTGACGACTCGTGCTACACAAATCATACTCGAATACCCACTCCGAAAGACGTACCAATGAAGGTTGGAATCATAGGCGGGGGAGCCGCAGGGCTCTATGCGGGCATCTTACTGGATTCTCTCGGAATCGACTATGACATACACGAAGTATCAGATCGCATCGGTGGAAGAATTTACACCTATCACTTTGATAAGGAGACTTGGGACAACTCGACACCGGCAGACGGCGCGTATTACGATTACTATGTAAGACACCAGCCATACGTACTGACGAGTATACGCTGAATACTTAAAGGACGTTGGAGCCATGCGCTTCCCTCCGATGCCATACATGGATCGTATCATTGGCAACAAGTCTTGGAGCTTGATTCCTTACATCAACGAACGGGTATCCCAGCGTGACCAAGTAGTCAAGAAGCACTACATTTTCAAGACGGAGAACACCTTCAGGCGCTTCAACGATATCACTGCTCTGATCCAAGATCCCGCGTCTGCTTCGCCTAGCCGGTACGATATCCCGATCTTCAACTCAACTTTTGAGACGCAGTCTGCATGGGACGTCTGGTCGAACCAGGTTGAGATGCTCACGGATGCCCTTTCGATGGACTTCTCCACTGGATTCAACAAGCTCATGGAATACGACTCGATGACAACGCGCGAATTCCTGTTGAACAGGTCATTCACGAACCCTGAAATTGATTGGTTGGAGACAGTGAACGACGCAACAGGCCATTACGACATGTACTCTATGTCCCAGGCGGTGCTAGAGCAGTGGATTTTTGCCAGCGCTGATATCAACAACTGGTCTCTGATCAACGGCGGCATGGACATGCTGACCAAGGGGATGACTCTTATTGCCAAAAACAAGCCCATTCTCAACAACCGAGTCACCGACATCAAGAAGAATTCCGACGGAACTCTGAAACTCACTGTCAACGGCACACAGGACACGAACTACGCCCACGTCATCTCGACAGTTCCTCTTGGGGCTTTGCAGATAATCAACATGACAGAACTAGACCTCAGCTACTCCCAGAAAAGCGCCATTCGAACATTACAGTACGTGCAGCACAAATGTATGAGGATGGTACTTGATAGCGGAATACTGACATGAACTACTCTAGGTATGACCCTTCAATGAAGATTGGACTGAAATTCAAGTCGAGATGGTAACAAAGCCTTTCACATGCAATATAGGGCTGAATTCATCATGCTGATCCGCTCTTTCAGGTGGGAAAAACTGTCAACCGGCCCTTTCCAAGGTGGCCAGTCGTTTACCGACCTTCCAATTCGGCGCGCCGTTTATCCTTCTTATGGAATTGACGTGGAAAACCCTGCTGCTGTCATGATTGCCTCTTATGTGTGGGGGCAGGACTCCTCGCGCTTGGGTTCTTACCTCAACCCGCACAACCCGACGACCCAAGCACCATATCAACCGGAAAGCGTCAACACTCTCATAGATCTCACCCTGCGGGATCTGGCTGTTCTCAATGGCGTTTCACAAGAGTTCATTCTGTCGCAGTATGAAGGATACCACGCATACGACTGGTATGGCTCAGGTTATTCCACAGGTGCTTTTGCCATATTCGGTCCGGGGCAGTTTAGCAGCGTACTGCCGTGGCTCATGATGCCTGCGGCCGACGGCCATATGCATTTCGCTGGAGAGGCGCTCAGTTCAGGTCATGCGTGGATCATAGGTGCTGTGAACAGCGCATGGAGGTCTGTCTTCGAGATCCTCAGCACCGAAGGTTTGGAGGACAAGAAGAAGGAATTCATTGAAAAGTGGAACGTGATTGATGAAGTAGACATGGGCTGGTACAATTGGTCACCAGATGGTCAACCTTGAAGGCCAGACTTCTGCGAACGCATCGTAGTTATTTCCTGAAATAGAATTGTGGAATTAAATCCTTTCCGTATCAACGAAACACAGAATTCAAAAGACCGGGTTTACATAATGACTGCAGATTTGATGTTTGTAACAACATGTTCGACTTCTTACGCGGACATAATGTAACTCATGTAAGTTCAGGTTCAACTGAGCAGGTTCTTCGATATCAGTGCCTCCACCGACAAATCTGCCTTCAGAAAGGTGGCACAGACTTGCGGACCTGATAAGAATTGTTCATTGATGACGTGATGTTGATAACAGGTTCTGAAATCGACATTGTGAACAGGACGGAACCAGCACAGCATTTTGGAGATTGAAACCAGCAGCATCCACTCCAGATCTTATCAAAATGAGCATAGTAGGTCGTTAGAACTGACAAGAAGTTTGCCATACTTGCGGCGAGGCCGCGTCGAATAAACGATGGCAAGGTTATCAGAACTCGGGTGACCAAATACTCAACATCTTGACTTTAAAAGGCACTTGTATGCCACGGAGGCATCCAGTCCACACCATTTCAGGGCGAGTAAATCCGGAATAACGACAACTGGGTGGTGGATATGTTAGCCCGTCTTGTTGATCTTGGCTTTTCGGGGCATGGAAAGAAGACGGCCGAGTAGATGACTGAGTCGCGCAAGAATGGAAGTACATTGTATCAAACCACTACCCGGATGTCTGGGCGTCTTAACCCAGGTGGGTGATGGTTGTCGAGAATAAATGGCAGTGTGGGAAGATAGAAGAACAGCGCCAGCCAATGTTGGGCGCCATGAGAAAGGTACGCCTGGGCGCCAACGAGAACCGACAACGACACACATCAAACAGCCTGTGCCTTGAGATGACATTCTTGGCTATTCCTTGGGGGATTGCGCCAAGCCTGGCGCAATGTGGAAGGGAAAGTCTTGGGTTTTCGATAGTTTACCTTGGCCCGCTGCAATTGGTTCAAATCTTCGTGGGTCGGGATCCTCTCTCACGAACGCCGAGTTCTAGACCAGGAATGCCCTTTTGTGGCGTTCTACATATCGCGCATCGAAAGGGCGGCAGGTGGACAACTCGTTCACGAACCCCGTGGAGAAGCGAAAGGATTCTTGGACCCCACGGGGAGTGCGGGGTTCTTCACGTTCGAAAGTCGGCACAAGATTGGGCGAACCTGAATATGAAGTTGGCAGGTGATTCGTGGACGCAACTTGGCATGGGTTGGCGACTTGGCAAGCTAGACAAACCAGACCGTTGGAACTTGGAAAGACAAATGCAAACTGCAGCGGAGAAGTGTTTAATTCATCCCCATTTCCCCTTCGACTTCTCAACTTGTCTTCATTCTCTCTCGCGTGCCACTCGACGCCATTGTTTCATTACTCTTCGTAAACATTCCACAATCTGTGGGCGATTTCAACAGACGACATGAAGGACGCAGAAACAGGTCAGCCTCAGTCGGTGGCCAAAGCCAGATCGAGGTCCTTCGATCACCATGAGTACGGCGCATACACTCCCGATGTTGCACTCATTGAGGCTGCCGCCGCAGCCAGTGATGAGGAAGCCCAACTCTCCCGGAAGGAGCTGTTCTCCAAGTACTGGCCAGCAGTGGTTTATTCTACGCTCTTGAGTCTGGCCCTCGTCATGGAGGGCATGGATGTCGGCCTCATCAACAACTTCTTTGGACACACCGCCTACTTAAACAAGTTCGGCTGGCCAGACGCCAACGGCATACAGCATATTCCCACATCATGGCAGGCGGCTATCGGCAACGGCAACAATCTTGGCAGTATTGTTGGCCTACTACTGAATGGTTGGCTGCAGTCCCGCTACGGCTCACGAAAAGTTTACATGGGAGCAATGGCTCTTATGGGTTGCACCATCTTCGCCCTCTTTTTCTCTGTCAACGTCCAGATGCTCTTTGCAGCCAACATTCTTTGCGGTATCCCATGGGGCATCTTTCAGACACTCACCACCGCCTATGCCGCTGAAATTTGTCCTGCGGCTCTACGTGGATACCTTACCGCTTGGGTGTCTATGTGCTGGGGTGCCGGATCATTCTTGGCCGCCGGTGTTCTGCGTGGCTCTCTGAATCTTCCTGGTGATCTGGGATGGCGGGTTCCCTATGCCCTGCAATGGGTGTGGATTCTGCCTCTGATCCTTGTGGGCTTCCTTGCTCCCGAAAGTCCATGGTACCTTGTCCGCCGCGGCAAATTGGAAGAGGCCGAGAAATCTTTGCGTCGTCTCGCGTGCAAGAACCACTACACAGAAGAGACAATGGCGCAGACGCTAGCATTGATGAAGCACACCAACGAAATGGAAAAGATAGAAGCGGAGAGCGCAAGCTACCGCGACTGTTTTCGAGGAACCAACTTGCGTCGCACCGGGATTGTGTGCATGGCATGGGTCATTCAAATTTTGAACGGTCAGTCCATCTGCACGTACGCCACCGTCTTCCTCAAAGCCGCCGGCATGCCCGAGGTCCAGGCATTCAACTACAGCATGGGCATTCAATCAGTCAATATTGTCGGTACAGGAGTCGCCATCTTTCTGATGGGAAAGGTCGGGCGTCGTATTTTCTACCTCTACGGCTCTTCCATCATCGGCGGTGCTATGTTGGTGATCGGAATCATGGGCTTCGTGCCAGGCGCAAAGAACGTGGCCTTGGCCGTCGCCGTGGTATTGATCATTGTCAATCTGACGTTCAAGACGTCTCTGGGGCCGACGTGCTATGTCATCGTGGCAGAAACATCCTCCAGCCGTGTTCGTGCCCAGACAATCGTCCTCGGCCGCGCCATTTACGTATGTGGCCAAGTCATTGTACAGCAGCTCAACCCGCGCATGTTGAACGACACCGCGGACGCGTGGAACTGGGGTGCAAAGGCCGGCATGTTTTACTTTGGTTTGTGCCTTATCTGGGCCGTCTGGATTTTCTTCTTCCTGCCCGAGACGAAGAACCGGACTTTCGCAGAGCTGGACTATCTGTTCCAGAAGAAAATCTCGGCACGCAAGTTTGCCACAGCTCCCATTGACTGTAAGTCAAACTTTGATGCAATACTCTGAATATCTTGCTAATTAGTCTCAACAGTGTTTGAATTCACCGGCGGCGATAAGCTACAGGATAATGCTGAGGACATTCCAAGAGAGAAGACTCTGTAGAAGGGAACCTAAGATGCGTGTTTAAGATAAAGTTGATTGACGTTACCCATCTTAGAACTTAACCTTAGCTAAGCGATGCTTGCTAGAGTTAGGGGAAATCGCTAGGACTTAGTCTCCTATTTAGTATTTAAATAAGTTAAAATACTTAGTCTATTAACTATAATATAGTCTAGACGTACTAAAGTAGAACCTATTAGTCTTACCTACTATACTATTTTACTAAAACTATTTCCTCTAAGATCTCATTATTTATTAGTACTATATAGCTATAGGTATAGCTATAGTATTTCCCTTATAGTATTAGTCTTTATACTATAATATATTAAGTAAAGTAAGCAGTAAATATAGAGCTATATTTATAAGATAACTTATAAAATACTTAAAGAGGCTATAATAGTTACTTTATAGTACTTATATAAATAAGTCTTAGTATTTAGTTAATATTATTTATATTAATTCTTAATAGACTTTTATAAACTAATAAATAGTAATAAAGTAAACTTAGTCTTAATAATAGTTATATCTTTTTATTATAAAGCTAATTTAGTAGCGGGCGCAAACGGCCCTAGTAGGGTGGGGTTAGGGCTAGGAAAAAGAGGTTTAGGCTAGGAAAAGGAGGTTTGGGCGGCTAGGAAGGAAAAGGAGGTTTAGTATTAGGAATAAGCTAGGTTATAAAGTTATAGTTATATTACAGCTAGCTAACTGACAGTGGGTTTGTGTTACGGCCAGCTAACTAACAGTGGGTTTATATTAGCAGTAAGTTAGGGATTGAGAACTGGAAACAGTATTAAGTCGTTCTATAGGTCTAGTTGAGTAATTGTAGGTCTTTAAAGGTCTTAGTGATTAGTTAAGGCCTCAATAAGAGTCATAGAGTAATCGTCACTTAGGTATAGCTAAAAGTCTCAAGTGAGAATCACAAGTTAATTACTGAAGAGCTATGGAAGTCTGTCCTTGAGCCGGACTCAAGTCCATCCTATATACAAGTCCTAGATACTTCTCTTCCTATGTGGACCGCAATCTAAGAGTCGGTCCTCCTTAAGGACCGCCCTTAGTACGTTAGTCCTAATCCTTATCCTAGTCCTAGGACTGCTTATTGAAAGTTAGTCCTACTTATCATTACGTGACTTATACTATAGTTCTTCCGTTCCAGGTAAGCCCCTTATATTCCCGTAATCCTATATATAAAGGTAACGTTCTAACCGCCTAGTATCCTTATGGGGCGTTCTTTATTAGTTATGCCTAATAGGTTATAACATTAGGTCTCCCCTCTAAAGGTCTAGTCTCTTAGACCTTATATAAGTAGGTAGTTACTCCTAAGTTAGGGAGTTATTAATTCTGCTTCCTTATTTTCTATAATGCTAATACTATATTAGGTTGTATTTAAAAGTTAAAGTCTTAAAAGATAGAAATAAAAGATTATAAGCATTAAGCGCTTCTTGAGTTTGTGGATTCTCATTCCTTATATGCGGATATGCCTTATACTTGTTATTTCTGTGTGAAGGTTGCCTATTAATTTGGTGAGGGGTTATCTCATTGCTATAAGTATATTGAGGCAAAGAAGCTATATGATAGTATTTTAGTGGCTTCTATATATAGGTATTGAGACTTTTATGTTTTTCTTCTTTTCTAACGTTTTTCTAGTATAAAGATTAAATGCTTAATAGAAGGAGTGGGATAAAAAGGAGGAGAAGGTGGGTAAAGAGTTTATAGCTCTTTATGTTTAGTTAACTTGCCTTTAGGCTAAAATAGTAGCGGCAGCAAGCTATCTCTTAAGGATCTATACTATTTAGAAGTAGGTTTGCAATTGTTAGTCTAAGACGTTTTATTAGGGGATACAGGAGGTTAATAAGGAGGATAATATCCTTCCTGTGTTAGATGCTTATAAGTGGGGTGTTGTGGGGGACCTCTAGTTTATGGGTGTTGCAAACGACCCTTCCTAGCTGGACTTTGGAATTAGTGAGGAGTTTATAGACCTAGGCCCCCTGCTTAGGAGTACTCCCGCAGTAGCTGCTAGGAGTGCTAGAGGTTCTTAATGGGTTCCCATGAGTTTTCTTTATATCTATATCCTTTCCACTTGATGAGATATTCCGTATTTCCGTTATTACTATAGTAGTCAATAATTTGTTTAACTTTATATTCTAGTTCTAGAGGTTCTATAATAATATAGTCTTCTATATGTGAACCTTATGGTGCTTTTTTGAGAAGTGAAATATAAAAGACTAGATAATACTTTATAGTGTCTAGTAGTATAAGTTTAAAGTTAATATTAGATACCTTCTATATAATTTCAAAAGGTCTAAGTTTCTTAAAGTCTAACTTATTGCTTAGTCGTTTTATCTTGATGTTTCTATGGAGAAGGTATACACTATCCCCCTCCTATAGAGTTAGTCCCTTAACTCTTAAGGTATTAGCGTATTTGCGTATTTATTTGTATATAAATTTAAGTTCTTTAGGTAGCCCTTACTAGATTTCCTTAAGTTTATTAATGTCTGCCACAGCTTTTAGAGCTGCTGGGCCCTGTTGTGGTTCTCCATAGGCTGTTGGATTGAATCCATAGTTCAGATAGAATGGTGATTCTTTTGTGCTTTCTCCTACTGCGCTATTATAGGCGAACTAGGCTATAGGTAGTAATTACACCTAGTTGTCTTGCTGGTAGTTGACGTAGTAGTGTAGATAGGTTTCCATGATCTAATTGATTTGTTCTATCTAGCTATTAGTTTATAGATAAAAAGCGGTAGATATCTTGTGATTAGATCCTAGCTATAAGATTAGCGATCTCTAAAACTTAGAAGTAAATAACTTATCTCTATTAGATATAATTTCCTTTAGCGTTCTATATTAGCTAATAATTACCTATAGAAACTTATAGGCGAGGTCTTCTATAGTACTAGACTCTATATATAGGATAAAGTATAAATACTTTATAAGTCTATTAATAATGATGAGGATACTATTATAGTAGACTTTAGTTATTAGTTCTTAAGACTTAGGTAACTTAGTGATAAAGTCTAATGAGATAGATTCCTATGCGGTTTATAGCACTAGGAGTAGTTATATCTTACTATAAGGCTGATGTTAGCTAGGTTTGCTTTTCACGCAAACCTCATAGTCCCTAATTGCTAAAGATACTTTTTATTATGTAGCCGTTTTATTGTGGTGTTATCTAATACGTTTCTATGTCTTAGTTACGCCTTAGTGGCTATGTGCGGGAGCAGAGTATATCTCCCTAATGGCTTTAGGAGACATCCTTCTAGTCGTACTGGTTCTATCTCTTCTGGCTATTATTAAGAGTCTGGCTGCTGGCATAAGGTCTCCTTCCTTATCTTTTTTGAGGATGACTTGGGTTTCCTTGGGTACTTGGACTTTGTGGTCTGGTCTTCTGCTGAGAGCGTTTACTCTTCCGTTTTCCTTGCCTTTCTAGTATATAATCTTAAAATTAAATTCTAAGAGGAATTTAGACTATCTAATCTATTATTTATTAAGTTCCTTTAATATTATAAAGTAGGTAAGGTTCTTATAATTAGTATAGACTTTAACTTTATACTTTATTCCTAATAGTTAAGGTCTCTATTCCTTAAATGCTTTAATAATTACTATAAGTTCTTTATTATAAATTTAGTAGTTAAGTTTTAGGCTATATAGCTTATATAAGAAGAAGGCGTATAGGCGTAGCTATCCTTTATTATCTCGTTAGCCTAGCTGTCCTCCTATAGCGTAGTCTAAGGAGTTAGTCTCAACTTTAAATAGCTTCTTAGGATTAGGTATAATAAGTATAGGTTCCAATATAACCTATTACTTAATCTTATTAAAGGCTTATTCTTGTTTGTCCTCCTATTGCTAGGGGACTTTTTTCTTAGAGAGTCTTATAAGAGGGTCGTTCTTATCTAAGTATCCTTCTAGAAATCGCTAGTAGTAGTTTATATATCTAATAAAGGATTATACATCCTTAACGTTCTATAGTGTTAGCTAGTTTTATACTACTATAATTTTATTTTTTAATATCTTAAGGATTCTAGGGGCTATTATAAAGCCTAGGAATTCAACTTCTTAGGTGTGGAATTTGCTCTTTTCTAGTTCCACTAGGAGTTTAGCTTCTTGGAGTTTCTATAGCACTTAGTGTACATGCTTCTTATGGTCTTCTAGGTTCTTTAAGAAGATCAGGATGTCGTTAAGATAGACTATAACGAATACATCTAGATATTCTTATAAGACGTAATTAATTATTATCTAGAATATTATAGATATATTAGTAAGTCTAAAGGGCATTATAAGGTATTTATAATATCCTTAGCGTGTTTAAAACGCTATTTTCCATTCTTCACCTAATTTCATACGTATCAGGTTATAAGCTCCTTTTAAGTTAAGTGCTATAAACCACTAGGCTCTATATAGTAGATCTCTAAGTTCTGAGATGAGCGGTAGTAGGTAGTAGTTCTTAATTGTGATGTTGTTGAGTTTCCTATAGTTAACGTAGAGTTATAGTTTGCCATTCTTTTTAGGCATAAATAGGATTGGATATCCTACTAGTAATATAGAGGGTCTAATATATCCCTTCTATAGGTTTTCTTCTAGGTAAGCGTTAAGTGCTTCCATTTCCTTCTAATTAAGTCTATAGATTGCTTCTAGCTTTAGCTCCTTCCCTTCTCTTAGGGGTATCTCATAGTTATAGTTGCTATATTCTAGTAGTCCTATTTTAAGTTCTTTAGCAAATAGTTTCTAGTATTGCTAATATTCTTCTAGGATAGATAGAAGTTAATCTTCTTTATTAATATCTATTACTAATAACGTCCTAGCGTTTATATCCTTAATTTATAGGTATACTAAAAATCTCTTTACTTTAGGAGTTCTAAAAGGTTCATTTAAGGCACCTCTTCTAGGTTGCTACTCAGTAACTAAATCCTAGTCCCAATAGAGTTAGCCTATTCTCTAATCTATCTATAGGTTACTATCATATAACCATGGTCTTCTAAGGATGACATTATACTTATCTCCTATCTCTA